TCTATGTCCGCTTCGTCCATTGTGTGTGTGTGTGGCCTTTGGCCAATTTTCTTATTAAAAACAACAGAGAGCCGAAAAATGTTTACCAAACACAATTCCGGCAAATCCGCAGTGTCCCTGGCCACAGGATCCGCTCTGCCCTCGTCCTGTTTCTGTCCCGAAAAACTGTAAATAGAGCGCGGCGGGCAGTGAAAGTGCGGACGGACAGCAAGGACACCAAATCCCTGGCACCACATGCTGAGAGCCCCTCCCAACTCTAACCCTAAATCCGGCTGAGGCTGCAGTCGAGTCGGAGTCCTTTCGAAACGAGAAAAACGAGAGCTGAAGCCATTAAAACGAGCCCCGGAGTGGAACAAGAAAAATGCCAACCTGGCACTGTTTTTACCCATTATTTCGATGTCAGGAACTCAGTTGGCAATAGATCTGAAATAGCAATTCGTCGTTTATGATAATTGATTGGCGAATAAATATATTTCAAAACAAATTATCATAAACTTGTAGAAAACTAGCATACCTTTTAATACCAACTCATTTTTTCCCCTGATTTTCCTAGTTACTTAGTTACTCAATCCATGACTTTCACTTTGGCTGGATTCATTCGGCTCGGAACATATAAATATTTGGACAAGGATTGATTAGTGGCCAGTCTCCGGGCTAACAGACCAAATGCCTGTCCGCCCAAAATCGAAATCTTTAATCGAAACTTTAATACACCGACTTCGTTCGCCCAGCGCAAACAACAACTAACAGCACAAACATCAATCAAGACCCGAGTTTGGTCTCCTCTTATTTTTTGTCCTGAATGCTTGTATTTTTGTCAACTTCTTTTCGGGAAAGTGTGGGAGGACAACGTCTTGAGCATTCGCATTTCTTTGGCGTATGTACAAACACACACACACACACACACACAACCCACATCCTCTGGCTTCCACTTACCTCACGGCTCCCACATGATTTACTACAACATTTCCTGTGGCCGCTTGCCACGCCACCGGTCCCCTTGCCCCTTTTTCTGGTAGCTGCCATGTTTGACTTGATTTCGTCTAAATTGAGTTCAGTATCAACAGAAAATACTTCCGTTTCCTATGCTCTTCCCTTTGCTGTTGTGTACCTTTACCTGATTTTCCACCAGAAGTACACAGGGAGAAATATTTGTAGAAAAACTGTGTAAAAATGTTTGAGCTAGATTTATAGATTTGAGTGCAGTTTTGTTGGGAATTGAATTATGAACTCAACGAGGTATAACATTCAATATTCCGACCATTTTTTGGCTTTGCTATGAGAAAAAACTCATATTTAGGGGGTATATTAGGGTGGACCAAAACTCGCATTTTTGTGAATGGGTAACATCATATAATTTCATGAAAAATGATCGAAAGCATCATATAATTTCATGAAAAATGATCGAAAGCTTACACTTTTTTAACTGTAAATGCAGTTTTATTAGCAATTAAGTTGCGAGCTCAACGAGGTATAACATTCCATATTCCGACTGCTTTTGGTTTCACCTTTTTTGAAAGGATCCCCCAGGGCCTCCTGCCCAAAATGGGCAAAAATTTCCATTTCATAAAAACTAGAACTTTCGATTTCTTGCAGTGCACCAGAAATACAGGGAAAAAATTAACTTTCCACCAGAAACTTTCCCTCGTAGTTTTCGGTGTCGTCTTGTGTGTTTACCTTGGCAGCAACTCGTCTTCGTCTGTGTCCTGAATTCTGGGTCCTGGCTCCAGGGTCCTGAGTCCTGAGTCATGGCACCTTCCTCATCGTCGAGGTGTTTGCCTTATTTTGAATGCTTTTTATGTTCAATTTGTTTCAATTTAATGTTGTTCTTGGCAAGGGATCAGGCTCGGTGCCAGTGCCCAGGCTGCATTGTACTTTACATGAATTTGAAATGTATGTGCACCTCAGATGATAAATGGCATTAAAGGATTTGCGTGAATAACTCAGTTAGGACTTACATTTTTCCATCTGCCAAATAGTTGGCAAAGACTCTGCCATCCAAACAAAATGTGCAATCGTATCGATGTTACTAGAAAATGAGTTAGAAGTTGCTTTTTACCCAGCTGGGATTACCAAAGGAATTTCGATAGCTTTTGTACTAGAAAATGCTTAACCAACCGAAAGTGGCGTGAGTAACACTTTTGTTTCTTTCATTTTACAGACAGATTACTGTCGATAGTTGACCCTAAAAATGGTATTTTTAAAGTATTTTTTTTTTTCATTTACTTTAAGCAATGAAGATTTAAGAGGACTTGCTGCCCACACCGTAGTGTTTTGCCAGTATTTCTCTCTTCACTTTCTAACTCAGTGTCCCCCACTGTTACCTGCTGTCTTCCAATTAAAACCAATTCCAAAATGTTTTGGTTTTCTATTTATTTTTGTGCTTGTCCAGTTCTGTGGAATTGCGGCGCCAATGAACGAAATGGGCCAACTCGTTTTACTCATAACAACAATCTCACTTGTTAGCTATTGGATTGTAAAAATATATATAGTGGGAAACTCATTGGGAATTTTCTTCAACGGACTCTGTTATTGGTTTTTTGACCAAAAACCAAAATTTATGCACTACTACTTCCAATGAAACATTAAAATTCCATTAGCGGAAGCTAGGCACATAAATTTGTGCCCTCCTCCACCATGGAAAACTGCGGGAGGATTGAATTTCCCCAATCGAACGCCAAGGCTTATCGACAAATGAGCAGAAATTATGCATTTTGTTTAGCTTTAATTGCAGTCTCTTGTGTATTTATTTAGTTCGCTGGCCATGGAAAGGGTAGCCCAGCAGCGATAATCGAAAATAATTTATAGAAAATAAATATTTCCACACAATGGGCCGCCCTAGACGATGAGAAACTTGAACTTCCATTTTCTTAGCGGATCGTTTTTTATAAGGGGTAGTTAGAGATTTCTAGGGCTTGTGAGGCATGTGAAGTTATTTGTTATATGAAAATATATAATCTATATATATAAAGTACATAATATGACTGAATTCTATTAGTGACTCACTTCTAGAAACTCTGCAATAAGAAACTGCAAAATCTTCATCAGCACTGCATACTAGTAGGTATCTCCTAGTCGACGTTTCCCTGCATATTTCTTCCAACTTTAGCTCGATTTTCTTCCCAACAATTTCCCTCGCATTGCCCCATTGTTGATGTTTATTTAAGTTGTCATTAGAATGGTGCAAAGCAACGGCAGCACTGGCAATCCGTGGCAGTTTGGCCATATAAACTTTTTAAATTATCACCGAAGCGCAGTCGGATACCGAGTGCGGGTGGTAGGGTTAGACTCTACGATATGGAAGATGGGAAATCGGAGGAGATTGAGGGCGCGGCTGCCACTTGAGGCAGACGTGGATGTAACATGGAAATCGCATGGCCATGTGAAATGGAAATGGTAGCTACACTACAAGCCTCCCACCCAAACCGTTGGGTATCCCCTTTTCAGCTTCCCGGGAAATGTTCGGGAAAAGTACATCGGCATTGATGATGAGGTGGGGCTGGGTTGGGAGTAGTCTCTCCTCTGAATGAAATCAATGTTGGTGGCTCTTGTCTGGCGTTGGCGCCCCAACAGAAGCCGGAAATGCAAGTCAGTATTTTGCTTATCGTCTGGGCAGCTTGTTTACAGGGGGAAAAAGACGTCGAGAGGAAGTGCAGAATTTGAACATGGACAGATATCGGAAGCGATCACTTTAAGATTTTCAAGCTAAAGTAATTTAGGAATATATCTACTCTCAAGAGTTGATGAAGATATAACATTTACTCTCCCCTATTTTCTATTGAGAAATATAGCACTAAATAATGTCAAAGTGCATGAAAAGATAGAGTTAACTTCACTTAAGTATTTATGTTCCCTAAACTCACATTCATCAATAGCTAACGTGTTGGCCTACGACTCCAACGAGACAGCACCTGCCCTCAACCAAGTTGGCCAACAGCTTGCATTGGTCCCTTGAATGCAGTCAACATGCCACATTATCAACTAATAAGTATAAACAAACTATGCGCTTAAGTACACTGTTTGCGTTTGCGTTTGCGTGGGGGATCGTATTCGTAATGCCCTGTTGTGCCATACGTGGAATATATATTAGCAGCAATGACGACAAGCCAAACAACAGGAATAGCAACAGGCAGCAAGTTTAAAGCCGCTTAAGGCTATAACCAGAAATGCCATGGCAAACGGAGCAGGTCAAGTCGCACAAACACGAGGATTACCAGGAGGCAAAGGCAACTATGCTTGTTGATGTTGTCCTTCATAGGTATAGTGCGGGGCAGCAGGTGCTAAGGATAAAGGAAGTTGATGCTGGTAACACAATGGCCAAAACGCCAAAGCAAAAGCAAAAGGCGATTCTGTCAAAATATTTACGATATGTCGTCGACGTTGACGCCGTCTCTCTAGCAATGGCTTTCGAAGTGTAAGGACGCCCGCCCACGAACACAAACACAATAGCCAAAGGACGAAGGACATGTGTAGCACATGCTATTTGCGGGCTACACTTTTCCCAGGACCCAGGATATACATTTCCGAGCTCATCTAAGCTGCCAAGGACACTTGCCTTGAACCATCAAGGGTGTGAGTAAGGCGGAAAAAAAATTGATTCATCTTCCAGGGTCTCTGGGAAAATTCTTTTCAGGTTAAACCTACCTACCTCCTCCTCTTCTTGAGCCCAAAAAACATTGTCATGTAAAATTAAAATTTATGGCTAATTTGTGTGCGTGAACGTAACTTTGTTACCAGGCCTTTTTCTTGGGTGCTCTCGAGTAGGAAAGCCGTAAATTTCCTTCATTTGCCTGGGCGATTTTCACCAGAAAAGTGTGGGAGACAGCCTAAGCCACGACCTCAAGGTTCCAGGAGGAGGACCCAGGCGTGACTTGTGCTGGAAAGAGAACCCTTCAGAAAACGGTGATAAAACCTTAACGACGAAACCATAAAATCGGATAAAAACAAATTGGTAATTTCAGGAATTGTTTTGGCATACATATAATATATATATATGAGTGTATATATGTGTGTGTATATATTTGTATATCATGTTTTAATCTCTCATATAAACGGTAAATTGTCAAAAATGCTAAACATACAACATGTATTATATGCATCATAAATATGTAGGTGTTATCTTAAGGGCTTAGGCTTAACTAATCCTATTTATAAATATCACTATATTTGATTTCGGCTTTCGTTTTTAGCTAGTTTTGATGGATTAGAGAAGAGGGAGATGTGCAAACTGAACTATTTGATCTATGTGGTAAAAGTCAAGTTTATCGTAGAGTAAGCTTAGTGATAAGTACTTAAAGAGCTTTGAATATCTTAACTATATGTACATATAATGGGCCAGGGCTTGGCTAAACATTCGATTTGGCAAATCTCTTTATAACAAAGTAGAGTAAGCTACAGGACTTTATTTAACTAAGGTTAAGTCTCAGCGACTCTTCAAAAGAGCCGATCTCCATGCGGATGAACTTGATAATCTTGATGTCCTAGACATAGCGCGTGATTTGTGAATAGAATTCGGAGAGGCAAGATTGCAGCTGGGCAAAGGTCGGACGCTCGGCAGGTAGAAGAGCCCAACAATAGGCCATGATCGTAAACCTTTAATGAGCAGATAAAGAAGTACCATTAAATTAGTAAAACAATCGCTTAAGATATCTATCAATTCGAATACTCACAGCTCATCGGGGCAGTTAAAGGGCTGGGCCAGCCGATATCCATCCTTGAGATAGTGTTCCATCTCGAAGGGATCTACCTCGGCATAGGGTTGCTTAGCCGAGGTACACAGCTCCCACATCAGGACTCCAAAGGCCCACGAATCGCTGGCCTCGGAGAACTGTTTGTGCTGCAGAGCCTCCAGAGACATCCATTTAACAGGCCTATTCTCACTGTCTCCCAGGCAGTTGTAGTCCGAGGGGAAGAGATCCCGAGACAGAGAACTGTCAGACAACTTGACCCTGAGCTGATCGTCAATTCTGTAAGGGAATTAAAGGATGGTCATCGATAAGATTGCTGTAACTAAAAAGATTATTTAAAATTAAGTATACTTACACACAGTTCCTGGTGGCAATATCTTTGTGTACCACACCATGGCTGTGCAGATGATCCAGGGCCATGGACAGTTGCGATGCCATCATCACAATTTGAATGGTAGTCACAGTGCGAGCACAAGCCGGATCCAAAAGGAACAGCTTCAGATTACGGGTATTATTCAGAGCAGGATACAAAACGAATGGGGTGGTGTGATCCTCAATAGAAACGCCCAGAACGGAAAGAATTCCCGGATGAGAAGCTCCATAGAGCAGCATTCCTTCCTGGAGAAGCAGCAATACCTGCATTTGGCTAGCATGCTGGGCCACCGTTTTGACCAGAACATCCTGATTATCATTGTATGTACCGCGATAAACTCGGCCAAAGGTTCCCTCTTGCAGGAGACTGGAAAGTCGTACCCTGCAGCGTTCTACGGTCAACTCGGAAATACGACGATGCAGCTCCTCCGGATGTTGTTGTTCCACGGACACTGGGACTTTCCGAGGCAACGAGGAACCATGAATCGGGGCTATTATCGAGGGTGTCATATATGCCGCCGATCCCATGGAAGACTGACAAGGCGGGTGGGTGTTTAATCTCTGGAAACTCGACGTTCTCATCGGCTGTCCTCCGTGCTGATGATGCTGCCTCTTATTGGCTGCTCCTTTCACGCAATAGGCAATCATCAGCAGTAGGCAGACAGAACCCATGGCCACAGAAACACCCACAACTAGGGTGATCAAACCAGTTGGTGGCAACATCACAGTCTCCAGTAGCTGGGGATCATCCATATCATCCGATAGATCTTCAGCATTATCACTCACAAGACAGATCTTCTTGCGCCGGAATACCAGGTGAGTCACATTATTTAAAGAACGATTCAGCACCACTTCCAGACTAACAGTCACATCCACCTCCGCAGCCTTCAAACCCGCTGCACTTGAGGGCAATGGACCACGTTTGAATGCTTGTGGGGATTTCCCCACTGTGGGACACATTGATTGCTGGCCGAGGCAGCACGTCCTGATCAGAGCTAACCACATTGATGCTGTAGGGAAGGCCACGTCCCGCCAGAGATTGCCAGGTAAAACTAATGTCCTTGACATTCGCCGGAACCGGAACAATGAAATTCAGTGCGTAGTTATTTATATGACCTTCGCGAACGTAGTAAACCTCAGCAGAGACACCTGGAAAATGAGAAAGATACGGGAATTCGTTAAGTAAATATTATACGAAAACATTTTATAGTTTAAAGATAATAATAAAGATAATCTTCTAAAACTCCATTGATAATTTCGTAGTACTATTTAATGTTCTATAAAATAAACAAATGCACATTCCATATCCTCCACAAGAACATTAACATCGCCCTATGCTAGTTGATAAAACAAACTCATCCACTACTTTGTATGTAAATCTTTCGAAATGCACTCAGTGCAATGAGTTTTTGTAGAGGCTTGTTTGCCCAACCCGATCCACAGACGGTCGCCGGCAACATTTTATATAAATAAACACGGGCGAACCGCTCGAGTTTAGGGAATTCCTTGGAAACTATTTTCGAGTTTATCATCGGTTGTATCTTGTATTTTGTATCTGTATCTACTGTGGCCGCTTGGAAATCTATGTAGAACAACAGCACGAACTGGATTTAGGGAGAAACGGCAATGGAACACCGTGATGATCTGAGGTTGGCAAAACAAGAACAAGGTAAAGACAAACAGAATGAGCCATGTCTGGGATTTGTTCCCTTTTCTTACTTCGATTGCCTGTCTGGCCGATTGCGGTTTGACCCAGGCCGATTCTTCGAGTTAATGAAGCATCTTCGGTAGTGTTTTTATTTATTTTTTTTGTTTTCCCCTCTTTTTTTTTTTGTAGAGATGTCTGGCCGCGATTGCCAACTCATTTGGTTTGTTATGACGTCTTATGCTAATGATAATGATGCAAGCAGGTAGTTCTGTACTGGTTCCAGAGGTTCACCCTAACAAGACTTTTCTGGACCACACACAAATCGGAAATTTTAAGTAAGTCACATTGATCAACAATGACGCTCAGTCGTTGCCCAATTTTCAAATGCCACTTGGGTGCAATCAGTGCACTCAGTGCATTCAACTTTCCTCCAAAATAAAACTGGCAAACTGTGGCACAGGAAATAATTTACGAAAATCGCTGGAACACCCCAGTAGAGGAACGCCACGCGCACTTCCTTTGACAACTGGCAATAACAATAAAAATCAGCGAGCTTGTAGGTAGACAGAGTTCCTCGCCAGACATCGCCCTAGACGTAGAAGTAGATATGGTTGAAGGCGATGGCGAAGGCAGACCCGGCAAATGGCTCAACTTGGTGGCGTATAAATTGTGTCAGACATGCGGGTATACAGATGCACTTGAAAAAATTAATCTATTAATTAAAAAAGGGGATTTACAAACGACTGTTGAATATAGCTACTAATTTAATCCAATTAATAAACCGATATTAAAATGAACATATTTTTTAAAGATGTTTTAACATCATTTCTCTCTATTTCCAAGCTATTTTCGAGGTTATTCTCGTCTCCTGGCAAGTCTCATGATTTTCTCCAGTGCATTATTTACTTGGGCCATGCAGACTTGGCTCCCCAATGAGCCCTGCCGACTTCCTTTGCAATGTGCAACATGTTGCACGTTGCTGTTGCGGCTACGACAAATTCCTCGGCAGCATTTTAAAAATAGCGCCCATGACTTCTTAATCAAATGCAACGCGTCTCGACCCTTCTGTCGCAATTTCCCTCTAGGCAGCATTTCAGCCTCAGACACGCTCTCCCATTTGACCCTTTTCACCGAGGCCAGAAAGATGTCCCGGCCAAGAGTCGTCGTCACTTGGGCTTAGAGTTCACAGGTTCATGTGAAAGTTGCCGCTCTATTGCATTTTTATAAGGTGCATGGGGTTGGGGATTTCGGATAGGGTATATGCTATGGGATGGGTTGGGGATTGTCGAGGGCCGCGTCTTGAAGTGGATTCGTTGTCGTCTACCTCATGTCACGAGCAAATGTCACTTGCATGCGCCCAACGCGGGTCGGCTCTTGAACTTTTTTAACCTTTTTGTACTCGTATTATCCGCCATGTTCATAACTGGCTGGTTTTTCTATCGCACATAGAGAATATCTTTAAATCTTTACATAATCCTATTAGTTTTATAGGAAGTTGGAATTAAAGAAAGTTGATACAAAGATATTTTACAAAAGATCAAGTTTAAAACTATTTTCATTTTTGATTTTTAAAATCGGTATCTAGAATATGAAACTCTATCCACAGATCTATAATCATTTCTCTCCGTGTGGGCGTGCCTGCAATGAGGAGCTGCAAAAAAGAAGTGGCGGTGGTGGCGGCGTCTAGAGTCTCCCATATCGTATGTCGAATTTTTCGGAGCGTGCAGTCATGATGCTGTCGTTGCGAGTATTTTTTTGTAACTTTTTAATAGCTTGCTACTGCTCAGAGTCGCCGTCGTGACCATTGTTACACCGCTTCCAAGGAGCGGTGGGGCATCCACATAGAACCGCCGAAACGACTGGCCGGAGACACTCGGCAGTACACCAAAATAAAAAAACAAGAAAAAACGGAAAAAATGTCTACGGTTCGGTTTCCATTTTCATGTAATTAGCGTTGCAATTCGTGAAGTGCTTTCCGCTGTGCCGATTTCCTATGCTGATTTTTCCCAAACCGAAACAAAGACTAGCAAAAAAAAAATTAGAGTTTTCGCTGGGGTCATTCTTTGGGGTCAGCGGTTTGGCAGTGGCCATCTCATAACTTTGTTTTTCTTTTTGGGCAGGGAGTGGTGGCTGGGTGTGGGGTGCCATCTGAATGGGAGTTTCCAAAGGCCAAAGGCTAAAAATATTTGTTTTTCAAATTAACTACTCGAGGTTAACGAGGCTGTTCCATTAAATTAAATTTTCTGCTAACTTTTTGCAATTTAATTTCGTTAAATTTTGTATAGTTTATAGAAAGACTTCGTACCTAAAAGAAACTAGATATTTTTTTACATTATTTATAGACTTCTTAACTAGGTCTTCTGTAAGATAAATTAAGGCTATATCGACGATAGATCCCTGATGTATATAAATGAATCCAAAGTGATGGGTAATTTATGAAAAGTAGTGGCAGTAGCAACACCTTCGATTTGCTGTCGTATTCCTTCATCAACTTCATGGCTTCGTTGGCCATTATCTCCATTTGACAAATATCCCAGGCTCAGCTTGTGACTACAAGTAATTTTGCTTAAGCAAACAGACTTGTACGTGGTGCAGATGGACAACCCTTGGCTTGTTCCGGGGTCTTTGGGTATCTCTGGCGTCTTTTATCTTGTCCAATCCTCCCAGGCAAACAAAATTGCAATAGATGATAAATGATGGCCCAGCGACTCCATCTGCACCGTAACCGCATTGAACCGACGACTCGGCAACCCCACCATCCAGGCCAATATTCCAGGCTTCGGTTTTCCGGCTTCCCCGCCCACCATCTAATGGCTAATATGTCACTTTGGCTGCATTGGCTTGAAATCTGCTCCGGGTCTTTTGTGCAGTTTGTGGCCAAATCGAAAAATAAATAAAACAAATGATCGGCGCCTGCCGGGAACCGCCTTCAAAGCTTACCCCCGAAGTCCCTCCCCCCCGCATTCTCTCAAGCTTATCACGCACAACAATCTCGCTTACAAGCTCTGGGCACCACCCCCAAAACGAACGCCCACCACATGTCAACATTTAACATGTTTTTGAGCCATGTCTCCAACTGGCACTCCAACCCCCCTGGAAAAACCCCCCACTCGCATCCGTATCTTTGTGTGAATCGTTTCTTAGTTGCCTCACGTCGTTATGATAAATGATGCTGCTCCTTTTGTTTTGCCTAATATTTTTTTTCTCCTTGCTTGGTTGGCCTTTTTTCCAGCCGCGGGCTCATCGTTCTCGGTTTCGGCTTTTGATTGTAACAAATTTGTGCCAGCAAAATTAGCCATCTCTTTAGGGCAAAAATCTCTGCCAACTGAAGCCATTTTGGCACAGTTAACGCGGAGATTTTATTTTTCTTCTTTTTTTTGGCTCTTTGGGGCCCACCGAAAATTAGCTCAAATTAATCATTCAAATTTCAAGAGTTGACGTTTTCCAAACAGTTTGGCTGGCCAGCTGACAAAAGCAACAAAAATAAAAGAAGCGACCGGCTTATTGTAATATCCAGAATCAATAGTAATTAACCTTAATCGTTATTCATTTTTTTGTCAGTTTTCTATTGTCTTTCGAGTGTTGAGTTGCCAGCGAAGAGGACAGACAGCCTGCTAAAAATATGAATAAATGATGCGGGTCAAGAGTGATGGTGTGTGAAGATAATTGAGCTTCGAGAGGCTGCAGCTGGCCAAGCTAAAACTGTTCGTTAAGACAAAGTTTCCAAAAAACCCAAACAATAATAACCTAAAGCAGTACTAAATTTTAAATTTTTCTTCAACAACTTCAAGTCATATGTATAAGATAAATTCCATAGAGATAAGTATCTTCCAGATGCCACACTATCTGCCAGTTAGCAATGCCATCTATACTAATATACTTCAAAGCGTATCACGAATTTTCCCATTGTGGGAATGTCAGCGAAATCGTGTTAGCAGCACATTCATCTCACGAATTGCCATAGTATGCCTAGTTAGCGATGCATCTAGATGTTGCCACAAAACAAGCAGTTGGCTTGTTTTTATACAGATTCCCTTCCAACACCGCCCACTCTTATGGGTATTATTCGCCATCCCTTCAATACTTTCCATGTAACTTTCTGCAACGGAAAACTCCCACAGCGCATAACCCAAATAAACACCGAACAACTCAATAAACACAGTGCAGCGACAACAAAAGACCAGATGCACCCACTGCATCTGCATCTTTGCATCTTTGCATCCCTGCAGTTGCCCAAAGCTGACACGCCCCATCTTGCAGCGCCCACATGTCATAGTGACATGGAAATAAACTCGGTTCCTGCGACAAATCTACAGAGAAAAAAAGGATGGTATTGAAAAGCTTTTACATAAGCCTGGATTTGAAAACAGATTAGGAAAATAGTTCTTTAGAATTTCAATTTAAAAATTTGTTAAATAGTAAAGAAAAAATAGGCTCACCCCTTATACTCTTTATTCATTGAAATCTTAAAAAACTATTTTTTTATAAGATTTCTTTGTTTCTAAAATAGCCCCTTAAGCTCCGTTTTCTCTCTCTGGAAAAACAGAAATCGGGCTTCATTGATGCCGCTTGTTGTTGTTTAAAGTAAATATGATTATTCCTTTTTCGCCATACAATATATGCATGCATATTCAACTATATATATATATATATATGTTGTATAGGGAGCACAAGCCGGGCAAACAATGGCTGATATTTATTATTGACATACGCTCCACTGCCTCATCGTTGCTCTGCATCTGGCATCGTGCAGCCCCCGGCGGGGTTATCAGAGTTGTCAGTTCCCAGTGATAACCACACAGTAGCAGCAGTCGGAGGAGCCATCGTCATCGTCTCTCCCCTCCACCTCTCAGTAAGCCTTTGACAAGAATCGTGGCCCACTCCATTGAACGTTTATTATTATTTGCCAGGAAAAAATTATTGCAGTCAGTCGCTTTTATTGCCTGCAATCGGTTTATGCGATTTTCATTTGTTTAAATGCCAATTTTTTTGTCAATAGTTTTGGATGGTAATGGAAATGGCTTTAAGCCGGGGCTTAGCCAAGTTTATGGCGGTTTACAGTCACCAGACATATGAACCCATAAAATAAGTATGCAAATGGCCCTGAGCCTCACATTTGGTCGATAAACCAAGCCTAATCAAATCGCAGTTCCCAATGTCAAACACGTCGACGGGTAATGCGACACTCTGTTGCTATCAAATAATCGTAATGAAATCGGAGAAGGAGGAGAGATCTTGTTTGGGCTTTTGGGGAGGAGACTTTATGACCCGCCAAATGCCCATCAATTCGAAATCGATAGGCCTACGAGGCCGCACGATCTTCGATCGCATTTAGAAATAGATTGAAAATAAAATCGAAATATTGATCCCAATGCCCGGACACGACGAACTTTTGGGACTGGCTCATAAGTCACGTACGAACAGATAAATATCTCCGAAGATCGTGGACCAAAGAAAGCTGCTGCGGAAATGATCACAGAACAGCGTGATAAACCGAGGCCATAGAAGATAATAGATTTAATGCAGTCAGAGATGATCGGATAAAAATCAGGTGAGCAATAGATTTCAGTTTCTTTTTAATAACCAAATGATTGCTTTTTAAGATATTAAAAAAGTTAAATCGATTTTATACGGCGGAATCTTCAATCTAACACCCAGCTCAACCCATAAATTGAAACATTTAAATAAACAACTAATTTATTGTGAGATATAAAACTAAAGACATTTTCCAAGTTAAGAGGTGTTACCCCGAATCAAGATCTTTCCAGTTTATTGCCCGCTTTCGCGGTCACACTAATTGAACAGATAAGATCGGCTGACGGGACAGCTGTGTCAACTCCTTAGGATAGCACTTTTTACGATCTGTCAGGTGAGCTGTTAATGCTAGCACATCGTATAGCAAAAACTGGCACGATCAGGTCTATAAACTTTCCCCACCCTCTCTCTTTGTATATAGTTTTTCTTACCATTTTTTACTTTCAAAGAGGGGACAGCTTCATTAGCTAATGGCCACTTCATTATGTGTGACTCGACTAGCTAACCCAACGAAAGGCGAAGCTGGACAATAAATTGCCAAACACCAATTAAAATATAGATCATGCCTGCTGATCATATCCAAGTAGCAAGTAGCAAGCCAAAGCAAAACCGTTAGCAGGGGGAGCCGACACCACGGTGAGGATCGGTGGCGTTTCTCGGAAGGCTTTTAGCACGACCAGATGAAACGGCCTGCTCGTTTACAATTATCGGATGGCGAGATCTTGGAAAGGCAGCCAAGAACAAGCCATAAACTGGAGAAGCGCACAAATGTCTCTACTCTAGGCTGCGGGGAAAAACAAAACACAAGATACAAAAATATATATACAACAAGAAATATAAAACACAAAAACAACGGAGAAGTAAACGAGATACATGGCTGGCTTGTTACGGCCGTCCGATGGATACAAGCAACATCTTTAGCTTCGGTTAGGTGCTAAAAGTTGCCACAGTAGCACGTCGTGTGTATCTTCGAGATACTTTTTTTCTGTACCTTGGCAGCTTGTTTGCGTTGTAAGCCGCTTAGCAGCAGCAGCAGCAGCAGCAGCAACAGCGGCTCACTTCAAATAACAAAAGCCATCAATACATGTTTCCCGATAGCTAGGCAAATATGAAAATATTTAAATTGGCCTAAACAAAAGCCAGCACACACTTTGGGCCCTCGGGCTCTCAATTCATTTAGCACAGTTGGTGGTAAATTTAACACATCCAACTTGGCCTTTTCACCCATTATTCTCTACAGTATCATCTTCGACTTCATAGCGGCTAATTTATGGCCCAAAGCGGCTACCAATCGATCATTCGCGAGGGGGCGTGGCCATTTTAGCACATTCTTTGGTTCGAGAGTGTGAAAATCGTGCCAAAGCCATTGGCAAAGTCTCTACAATCTCCGCTTTTCCCCAATTCAGTTGCTTCTTTTTAATTGCAGCTTCATTAGCATTAGCAAGAAACAGTAAAATGAAATCAAGGCACCCCAAAAACGGTCGCCATAAAAAGTTGGAAAAATTCCAAATCGTCAATAAAATGCCATAAAACGTACTGAAACAGGGAAAACTACGAAAACTGTAGCAGGGATAGGGAAGGACAGGCAATAAAATTAAATTTAAATAACGCACTTTTGGCTATTTAAAATGTAGCGCGTGTCACAGAGGCAAAAAAGTCGTTAAACTTTTCCCTGGGTGCTCTTCTACGGCGAGTGTGATGGTTTATTTCTGAGGAATATGATTGGAATCGAAATGAAAATAAAGTTGGAAAATGTACATAATGATGATTCGATCGTGAGCCCAACCCATTTCAGCTGGATCGTATTTCATATGACTGTCAGATCCCATGGACTTTATGACTCAAACTTTTTAGCATTGAACTTTGCCGGGACCCCTGTCGGGATGATAAAAAATAAAGGAACTTAACTTGTGCGATCATCGGCGAGCTATAAATTACGCGTAAATGCAAATGAAATTTATTTAAGCCGCCAACTTTGGCTAAAGACCGCGCAGAACCCACCATCACTATCCCCACCCCCAACCCATAAACCCCTTTTTGCGCACACAAATCAAATGCAAATTATGCAGCTTAATTGATTTATGGCCCACAGAGTGAGGAGTACAAAGCATTTGCGCATTTCTTTATGACCATGGTTATATGTATATATCCTACGCAAGTCTGCGAAACTTTTCGACTTTGTCTTAATTACCCCGCGGATCTACAAATTGCAACGTTTTGCTGGCAAAGTGCAGCCCACAGACCCCGGAATACTCTGTATACTTGATTTCACGCCCCCGAAATCGCAAAACCGAAATGCATACGCAAAATTATGCGCATCGTCATCGTAGTCGTCGTCGTCAGCGAAACTGCTCCCACACATGGTTAGAAAAAGATAAAGAAAACTTCGATTTAACAAGGCACGTTGCATGCCAAAATCTGGTGCTGCAGCAACAGCAACTCCAGTGGGCAGACTTGTCATGCAAAATACTGCCAAAAATACAGTGAGCCCTCTGAGGGGGGAAGAAGGTGGGGTACAGTGGGATGTTTCTGTATTATATGATACGTAAAATATTGATAGTTAAGAACATTTTATTAATTAATTTAAAACTTTTCTAAATAAATGATATTATTCGAGGAAAGGAATTTGAAACTTTTGTTTTGTATCTGTTTTTCATGGCATTTATGAAATCCACCCCACTGTGCATTCTTCCGCCCCTCACAGCTGATTCCCCGCCCACCACCACCCGCACCCACTTCTCTTCTTCTTATACACCCTGTTCCTTGCAGTCACGTTTTCGTTGTTGTTTTTTTTTTTTTTTTTTGGTTTTGTTGTTGTCGCCTTTGCGTTGTCATCTCGTTTGCATGTTCGTCTCTCTTTCTTTCTCTTGCCCCCTCTTCATTCCATCTCATTCTCAGCAAGCTCTCATGCTGTTTTTTTATTTGGGGAGCTAAAGAATTTGAGTTCCAAGAAATATTCAAAAATATTCTCCACCAAGGGAGATAAATTGAATGCAGCATGTAGATTTTCAGACTTTGTTGTTGTCTTTATATTTTGCCGTGTCTGCTGCTTCCTCTTCATCTTCATCTTCTTTTCTGTTTTTTTGTTTTTATACGAAGCGTAAAATTTCCTAACGAAGCAAACGAAAGTTGGCTGTTGGCTTTGCTGTTGTTGTTGTGGGTGGTTTGTTTATTTGTTTTACTGTTTAACAACACCTGCGGCATGCGCAAGACAGAGATGGAGAACGTTGGAGGGAACGAGAGAGGCGACAGAGCGAGGGCAAACAAACAAACATAATTTTAAAAGGGAAGTACGCTTTTTTCAATGAATAAATGAATGAAAACTTAAAGTTGTCTTTTTAATTGGTTGACACAAATTGCTTAACTTTTGTTTACTTTGCACAGACAGAAAGTGAGGGTTTTTAGGGAAGAAATTAAAAAAAAAAAGGGGAAATACTCACCTAATAAACGCATTACTTCCACGGGATTTAGGAAAACATTCAAATGTGCCGCTACCTCGCTGCCCGAGCGCAGTTGCAGCGCAGCCAGCGTCAGCAGAGAAAGCCACCACATTTTCCGGCTCATTTTCGTAATATTTTTTGTGGTTGTGCTTTTACCGCAATAATTCACAGATTCCATAGGATTTTATTTTCTTTTACTTTTTGCAAGTTTGTTTTTTATTTGCACTTTTATCACACACAGCTATTCGTAAACAATCTTCAACGAATGCCCAGCATAAAGGCAAATCGTAAGTTGAGAGGAGGAGGGAGAGAGACACAGACGCCGCAAGAGAGAGAAAGAGAGAGTGCGAGTGCGACGGCGTCGTTTTAGCACCAAAAAAGCACCAAAAACATTGTTTAACCGTGAATATCCCAGTTAAATTGTTATATTTATCAATATATTGCTTATTAATGCACGCACTGTTATTTCTTAGCTCAATTTACACGCTTTTCCCTCAGTTTTTCACTGTTTTTAACAACGGAGCAACGAACATTTCTGCGCGGCACGAAAACGGAGAAAGAAAAATTGAGAGTATATGGTATACTTATATTTATAGGTTTGACGAGTTCAGGGGTTGTGTCGGAGTCGAGTTCGAGCCGAGTTCGGTTCAAACTGTTCGAATCAAACAGGTCAAACATCTATAGAAATTTTAAAAATACAAGGTATGTTTCACAGAACGATAAATAAAACATCAAATACAACCAAGGATAAGCGATCCATTTAAACTTTTAACGATACCAATAATTAAAAAACTTTAACACCACCCATATTATGCATTTCTGATACATTTTTGTAAAACGATCTATGATAGCAAATTTATAATTCTGCGCCTTCGACTAAATGAGTTAACTTCTGCTTTTTGATTTCATTATATTTAAAATCATTTTTGATACAAATTTTTAACGCTCAAATTAAATAAAAGAAGGGACAAAATTTAAACGGCTAATATTTAAATCATTTATTTTTTAGTTCTACCCGAACCGGCGGCTTGAAGTTGCAGCCGTTGTTCGATGCTCGTTTGATGTATGTTGCTCTCGCTCTCCTTCAACTGTTGGCTTAGGCGAATGAGCGAATCAAAGGGAAATGCCAAAAGGGCAAGACGCCACCTGGTGGGCGTTGCGAGCAGGCAGGCGCTGCATACATATATGTACATACCAAATGTTCGAAGAAAGAGCATATTCGATATAACAGTTTTATAAGGGGAAAACAAATTATTACAGTGGGTCCAAAATTTGAGGGAAGAGATAAGTTGCATTCGGATGGGTTCGCTGTGGATCCCAAACTGAGTTGCAAAGCGGATTACCCATTACCATATGGATGTGTAAGGAATACCAATAGACTAAACAGATCGTCCTTAAATATGTACAGACCTATGTTTTAAAACTGGACGTTAATGATTTGTAAAATTTTTGTACTAATATTTATATTTATCCGTTTATTTTTCTACTTTCTAACTTTACCCATAAAAGCATGCAACACTTCAGGCAGAAATTAAAAAGTATCATTAATATGATTCGAACTTGAAGTACATTAGCTTTAACGTTCTTCGGTATTATGGAAGGCTAAAGGGAAGGGAAGGAACTAGAGCTTTTAATGTTCGTGATCTTGAAGTAGCCCAGTAAAAAGCCTTATCAGCAAAAAAAAGCCAAATCAAGCGCTTTACTGATAGAGCACCCCGCTCACAGTGATAATGCGTGGCGATAACGCCTTGATTCGAACTGCTGGCAGTTTTACTTCAGCACAATGCCGAAACGACGGACGCGGAAAAAAGATTGCAAATTTCGATTCGAGTTCATTTTGGGCTTATCCTTATGGCTCCTCCTTTTCCTGGCTCACTCGGTGAATGGAGTGCGGTGCAGAATACCCTATGAGAGGGTCCGCGAAAACTACTGTTACTTTGTTGCCGACGAAGAACCGCTGGTGAGTCAGTAGTTCGGTGAGGTATGTTTAAAGTAGAGTCCGATGTTCGAATAGGGTTCCTTGAAGTCTCAACTGTGATGATTAATAAGAACTTACTTAAGAACAATATGTTTTTCACAATGCTTAGCCTCTCGAATCGACTTTATTCTCGTTTTGTAAGTAAACAATACTTTGTTGTCAATCAACGGAATTGGCTTAAGTCTCATATCAGCAGGAAAACACTGTCATTATGCATGTTATATATACGAAATATATATATACGGATAGGCGTAAAGCGCAAAATGCCGTTCCTAATCGAAGCCAGCCGTTTTCGACCAAGCCGGCTGGTAGACTCCCTACACTGTTCAAAGACTTGGTTTAAACTCGAATTGAAACCAAGAAAATGCCTAACTGTTATATTTGGAAACTTTTAATATTTAGAAAGTTTTTTTTATAAAATTTCTACAAAAAGAAATATAAACTCCAAATTAATAAGAACTTAAAAAATGTTGATAAATTCCCCTTTATTTTCATATAATACTTGTTTTTCCTTACTTGTATTCTCATTATCAGCAGAAAAACACAGACATTCTACATGTTCATACATTCTTTATAATGTTTATTCGAGTCTTGATCTACTCTAACGACTATGGAATACCCTATATTGCTAGCAAATAAAACCTAGGATTAAGCAAGATACACCCCATTCATTTTTTATATTATATTTACTACACTTTACTATATTACTATATTTCTGTTTTCAAAAGTTGGTTAAAAGCCACAAAAAGGAACCTCTTATGACTTGATCTCGGTTAGTTAGTTTAAGGGGTACCAAGTTCATCGACCGTTATGGCTATTTAAAAGTTTTTAAAATCATCAAACTAACGGTGCTTAGAGCTTTGTTCTTACCAAAAGAAGCTTTTTCCTCAAAGTTTGTACAAAAACAAAAAGCTCCACTTAATTAAACTATTATTATAAAGGTTAATCAATGGAAAATATTTATTCTTACTTTGGTCCACAGCACACATCCTTCCACAACTTTTGCTACCAGGACAAGCGCACCTCGAGAGTTTGCCTGGACAGTGATGAGGAGATGCGCATTCTGTCCCAGCACTTGTACGAGTTGGGCTACCCGAATGGCACCCAGTTCTGGAGTGCCGGTCATCGTTGGCCGGGTGATAATCAATTCTACTGGAACTATTTTGGCAGAGCCAAGGCCCTAAATTATACTAACTGGGCGGTGGATGAGCCGACTCCCCAAATGGGTCGCAATTGCATGATCCTCACGCTTCGCGGTGGAGAGCTTATAATGAGCAGTGAATCCTGCTACACCCGAGCGGTTGATATTTGCGAACAAACTCTGAACGGCACTGATTCCCGTTCTGTGATACACTGATCATCCAACGATTTATTATCTACAAATGTACCTAGCTAAAGTGGCGAAATCTCAAAATAATCGGCTCTTTTTAAGAACTATGAATACTATGGAAAGTTTAATCAAAGTGTAAGTGATCAGCGAGATAGTGAGTGATCAGCGAGATAGTGCATATAGATACATTTCAATTCAACAATTTCAATTGATTTTTAAAATGGAAGCCTCCGATTACGAGATATCAATAACCATAACAATTCTATTCCTTTTATTTTACACTTGTAAATTGATTGCTACCTTTTGCGTCTCATTTAACACTCAAATGACAAGTTGTAAGTCCTCAAATACTAAGGAATTTTTGTTTTTGAAATACTAGTATAAGTATAAATGTTCATTGATAACCCTAAGTTAGTTTATTACGATAAGGCTTGCCTGGCAAAGAGCTGTGTGCACTTTTCCGTCAAAGCTCAGTTCGGAATTATCTTCAAACGGGAAAACAACGCAAAATGCAATCGAGAATATTTATAATGCTCTTACTTATAGCTGTGTGTAGAAGTGAAGATGATTTTATTAGGATCGGAGATGGATTTTATTATATTGGAAACGAAAAGGATGTGAGTTGTGAAAGTAATAAATAAAATGGAAAATACGTTTACCGTTTTGTCATTAAATATAAAAAAGGTTAGAAAAAATAATACATCTTGTTTCTTATTATAATTTTTATGGAAATTTAACAATCTTTTTGGGATTTTCCTAGACTGGTCACTACTTCGACTGGTTTGTTGCGAGGCAAGACTGCTGGAGAAGAGTGTCAACACTTGTGTCCGTGGAGACGTCAGATGAACTGAGTCAACTGGAGGAAACTATCGTATCGAGAGGCTTTCCGGAGGGTAGTACTTTTGCCACGTCAGGCCACAATTTCGAAAGTACCTATCCCTATGTCTGGCACGAAATGAATACACCTCTGAACTTCACCCGTTGGCTGCCTGGCACGGAGCCTGATGTTGAGAAAACCTACCTAAGCCTGGTACTGGTCAACTCCTCGCTGTACATGAGACGATCTAGTGGTATAGATGACTACTATATCTGCGAGTACAACTTCACCCCTTGGCAATATTGGGTCTCATTTGAAACACAGACAAGGACTGTCATTACCTTAATTTGTTGTTTTCTATTGCTCGTACAATTATTACTTTTCTTTAAATTTATTAGAAGAATGAAATCAATGCCAAACAAAGGAGACAAACTCCTCAACCAACACCCCATACCAGATGAAAGTAAAACGTATAATTTTAATAATAATCCGCTTGAATATAAGTACATAATAAAGGTATGATGGATGCCAAAGTCATCAGTGTTGTTAAATATTATACTGTGTATATTGATGTTATTGGTTTTTGAAGTTATAAAAATATAATACGAGGTGTGTTCAAAAAGTAAGGTGACTCTTCAAATTTCGCGAATTTCAAATTTTTCGATTATCGAAACCTTTTAGAAGTTATACGAGGTGTGTTCAAAAAGTAAGGTGACTTTTCAAATTTCAAATTTTTCAAATTTTTCGATTATCTTCAGTTTTGGGAACAAGAAAAAGTCACATGGGGCCAAATCCGGTGAATATGGTGGCTGAGGCATTATTGTGGTGTTGTTTTTGGCCAAAAAATCCAAATCCTTTGATCCATATTTTTCGATAGCAAAAAATCGCCGAGCTCGCAAAACAACTTGTAACTTTACGCCTCTCACAACCAAACAAAAGAGGATGTTCCATTGAAACTTGGTACAGATGTTAGGGAAGAGTGTACCAATATAACAAAACAAAAAAATCGATAATCGAAAAATTTGAAATTCGCGAAATTTGAAGAGTCACCTTACTTTTTGAACACACCTCGTATGTTATATTTTTCCACAAATTTTTTGATTTGAGCGATGATTGAGCGACGCTCTCTCGAGCGACGTTAATGAGCGATCGCTTTGAGTGAGGTGGCCACGCACTGAGCGACTGATATTAAGTCATTTGATTAAATAATGACACTTTAAATAAATATATATATTCATATACACATATTAAAAAAAATTATATTTTAATAATAAAAAAAAAAATAAAAACGTTAAATAAAAGCTTCCTGTACAGTTACAAATAACTCCTACTTTATGTCATTTCTATTTTTGTACTCTTTATGAATGTCGTTCCATAAAACGGTTCGGCTTTGAACAGCCGAAATTAAACTTTCCGGGCATATTTTTTGCATTGTTTGCATTTTGTCGCTGAGCGATAATAGAAATCTGAGCGACGACGCTCTGACGCTCAAGAACTTCGCTCGTCGCTCAGCGCCTACGTGGCCCCCACAATTCTTTAAGCTTTAATATTTTACGTCGCTCGAGAGAGCGTCGCTCAGTCGCTCAGTCGCTCATCGCTCAATGCGTGGCCGAAGCCTAAGTCAACTGATCTCTTGGCTTTCTCACCAAATGTTTGGCATCAAATTTCTTCTAAGGAAATGTTCTACACCTGTAGGGCTCATATATTTTGAAAGCACCTTAAGTAAAGCTTCAGTCAATTGAGAGCCCCTGGAGAAAATGTCAGCGTTGGGAAAATCATTTGTGGGTCTTACGGGCTTACTACTCCTGACGATCGGATATATCTACATCTTCAAGGACTGTTGGCAACGTAAACTTTGTGTAAATTTTAAAAATCAATTTTGAATATTTAATATCCCAGCTCGCTGCTTGAAGCCCTTTGTTGAGATTGGAGATCGCTGCTATTTCTTTTCCTCCAATAAGCCGGTGTGTAAGAGAATAAATTAAAACCTTTTTTTTTTAATAAGTATTCCCTTTTCAGCCCTCGTTTGAGTATTACAGAATGGTCTATAAGGACCGCGTATTCAGCGTTCCGGTTATAGTAAGAAATATGAAAGCTTTACTAGACTAAAGGTCTATCACAAATGTTCCGCGAGTTAAGTTTTTTATAAATATTTTTCAGATGGATTGGATGCACGCGAACTTCGGTTGCGAGACGATTGATCCCCAAGCCCGACTAGTGACTATACGCAGCTTCCATGAAATGAGATTACTCTCGGACTATATGCGTTATCGGGCCCACGCCCAGACCCATGCCATATTCTGGAGCGGCGGACATCGAGGAAGGCTGTCCGATTCTAAGGACGTCGATCATGGAACTTTAAAGGATTTTTACTGGCACCAGGATTCCTATCCCATGAACTTTACAAATTTTGTGCCCACTGAGCAGCCGCAACGGAAGTTTGAGAATGGCTTTTGTGTTTATCTGGAGTTCATGGGAGAGGAGCTGGTAATGGGCGTGGAAAAGTGTGATAGAAAAATAGCGTTCGTTTGCGAACTAAATTGATTGGAAGGTCTACAAATTGGAATTGTTTGTAATTCCCTTTGAGAGCAGTGTAAATAACCATTAGTTAGTGAACTAAAAAGAGTCATAAAGTACTATTATCATTTTAGAGCTGATACCACATCGTCGTTTCAGCAGTCAGTAACAAGTTAATGATCTACTCTACTATCAATATTTTTTGCTAATCAAGATTACTTATATATTGCTGACTAGGCATATATTAAAGAAATCTTACACTTGGGAAAAGTAATCCCTATTTAATTTCTAATAATTTATATTATAATTCTTTTCTGATATTGGTTCTCATCGTGGTTATAAACTATAATGGTTCATGTGTACTGCGTCGTTGATAAGTTGTGGTTTGATAAGTTTCTTCAAAGCGGAAACAAAAAGCACAATATAAACTATTTAATGGTTTATTTTTATCTAGGGTTTTATAATCTGGTCATTCTAAGTTCTAATTCTTGATAAATACCACTTCAGTTCAGAGCCTTAGAGCCTAGTAGGTATATGGACGTAATCAAAAAAGAACTAACTTTCAATCTAATCTTTCACATTTAGACCTTGTTCCTAGCTGCTGGTCTTGAGAACGACTGCAATTTTTGGCATGTAATATAAATAAATTTGGACTAAACGCTTTTAAGCAGTCACAGACAATGCGACGTCGCGTCGTCTGGAAAGGAACGACGGGCGGAATAAAGAGGGGGATCCCCAGACCGGAAGCGAGCAGCACAACAGCAATGGCGGTCGTCATCCCAGAATGCCAACGTTCTGCCCAGGATGGCTGCGGCAATTAACTCAAATTGATAATGACAGCGGAAAAGTTGTAGGCAACCTGAAGTGTTGGCAATTGGTCTGGTCTAGTGGATGTGGGCGGATGCTGGTTTTGGCAGGGGGCGGGGCAAATCGGTGACGTGATTTCATTTTGAGTGCATCCAAAACGGCGACACATTCCGACACGTCCTTCGACAACGCCCTTTGGCATAATTAAAACGAAATAATTTTCGACAAGTTCGGTTGGCATCGACTTGGCTTTTTTGCTTGGTCCTAACTTGGCTTACTCATCCAATCGAGGCACGTAGATTGAGTCTGTCATATGGCTGGCAATCCACTCCTTAACAGGATGCTAAGCTAAGTGCACTGTAAGTTAGCTAACTATTATAAAAGTAAAATATTTTAAGTATTTATATTATTATTTACTAACTACCATTAAGATCAACCTAAGACTTAAAGCTTTTAGTATAAGAGTCCCCTTTATTTCCTATATTTCATCCCAATAACCTACTACCCATTGTTTTCAGTGCAGCTCAACTCTCTACCCGGTAACGTTCATGCTGGAATTTTTATTTAATTTGCTTCTGCTGTCGTGGGGTTTTAGCTTCTCCAGCTTTGTTGTTTTCGGAGTTTGCTGCATTGTTTGAAATTAATTTCACTTGTCGTACATTGAACCATCAGAAGGGCGGCCCTAGCCCCCCCATTTTCCATCCCCACAAGCCGTCAAAACCCCTCTCCTACCCTTGCAAAAACGATGTGTGCGTGCCGTTGTCAATGCCGCTTAGCACTGCATAAGTTTAAGGACATTCCAGGAGGGATGGCTAAACGGAGGAGCGAAGTTGGCAAGTCAAACTCTGTTGAGGATGGCTGAAATGTTGGCTCGGATGCACTCCACTCGGCAATCGGTTGCCAAATCAACGCGCTAATCATGTTGGCAGCTGGCAGCAATGCATTTTCCAGCTAACTGACGGACGGAGTGATGTCAACAGCTCGTCCTCGTCCCAATCCTTCCTGGTCGATCCTATGGTCTACGGTTTCTTTTTTTTTTTCGTGCCCGGCCTCAGGCTCTGGATGTCGATTTTTTTTGTTGTTCTCTGCCAGTCGGCTTCGGGTTTGGGCCAGATGACAGCAACAGCTAACTTATGTGGCTCAGAACCAGAGTCAAATGCAGAGCCATCGGCCATATCCCAGTCCCAGGATCCATCCGCGCTTCTTGTCATTAATCACTGACAATAATGAACTTCCGCCGTTTCAGAATGCAGGACGACTTCTCTCGATCTGGGCAAATGCACTAGGAAAACATTTTCAGCTTTTGTGGGGGTGTTCTTTTCAAAAAAGGGTGGAAAAATTAGCCATTTAGTAAAGGTATTTTCTTCTCAGTTATTCTTCTGTGTTATATAGAATCTAAGTAGATATTTTTAAAATAAAATTTAGTTACTGGCTTTTCTGCAAGTGCATTGTTGTCATTAGCGCAATGTTGCAGAATTTATCGTGTGACTTATGAGAGATACGATGGGCCCCAAAAGTCTAACTCAGTCCGGTCTAGACTTCGGACTGACCTCTCTCTCTCAGTTCGCAGGCTTGTTTGTTTTTGTATCTCCATTTTCTTGTGATTTTATCGCTTCGATTTACGACTCATAAAAATGTTAGAGTACAGAGCGGGACTTTTATCTGTCTGCATGGGATGTGCTAGAGCTGTAGTAAGCTATTCCCAGACCCCCATACGGCGAGATCCACGGCCCTCTGGCCCTTCGGTCGTGGCCATTTAATGCTTGACTGCTCTTGTGACCGGGCCTGCAGTTAGCAGTTAGATGTTCATATGGACGCCGTCTCAGAGTTGTTGATTTTTATGGGATTTTGGCGATGCAGAAATTATTCTTAGGCTGCCAGAAGCGCAATTGAACCAAATAAACACAGTGAAAGCCATTATAAGTTTGAACTCTGAATGGCTGGCCTGGATAGTTAAATTGTAAGGAAAGAATTTTAAGAGCAGATACTTTAAGTAACCAACTTTGTATCTGCAGATTGTATAGAACAAGAAACTTTTTCAAATACTGCAAGTACTTGTACAGAAAATAACATTATCGTTTTATATAAATTGTTATAGCAGAGCAGTCCTTTCTGTTTCACCTAATCCATTCAGGTGTCCTCCAGCTCATCTCCTTTAACTACAATTTAGTCGCCACTAGAAGCGAGTTAGCAGCAATTTTGCTAGCAATCTGAAGTACCAACATCCTGCATTTGACAGTTATTAGATTAACACCTAACGGCCAACGGGATGGAGCTCTTTATTCCTGACACGAGACAGACAACGGATACTCGATTACTCTCTCTGTCGTTCAGACCAGGCGATGTTGCACGAAATTGGACAAACAATAAAGCGCTCAAAATGTATGCGAACATAAAATCTCGGCCGGACCGTAGGAGTACGTAGTGGAGAGTAGACCGGGTCTAAAACAAAAGGCCAAAACCATGTTAGCCATGTCCATGATGGTCGGGATGGTTGGAAGGAGAGCTTACTGAATACAGGGCACCATACAAGCGATGTCAATTTCAGACAAACAAGCCAACGAAAGTAGATATATGTGAGCGCGTGTGCATATTGATATATGGCCAGGATATTGATATATATGTATATGGCTTATATGACATTCAAGATGGGCTCGACTCCATTCTCCCCCGACGACTGTCCATTTCGAGCAGCAGCAGCAGCAGCAACAGCAGTGGCACATAAAAAAGTGGGAGTGAGTGCCAGTTGAAAGCTGTCAGTGGCTGTTTAGATTTACGTGCCGCACTGCAGCCATGTCAGCCGAATGGCCACCACCCACAAGTCATTGGGATTGGGATGACTGCCACAACGATCCACCCTTCCCCCCCATTCCCCATCCAGAATTGCACTTTGTAACAATGCAAAAACAACCAGACAGGATCCCTTCCCCAAACACCACACCCTCTGATATGCCCGTTGTCATCGCTCTGACTTTTTGTTAATGAAAGTGTCAGCTAGACAAACGCACCCCAAACCCCCTGGATTTCAAACTCACCGATGGCTCACCTCACCTAAAACCCTTTTTGAAAGCCACGGCCTTTTGTCCATTTTGTGTGCCCCGTAGCTCTTGTTGGGAATACTACCCATTTTGGGTCCAATAAATTATGATCCGGCTGATTTGCGTTGTGGCCATTGTAAAAGCGTTCGCTTCCAGTGCGAATTTGCGAGTTGTCGTCTCTGCCAGCGGCATCTTTTGTTTCGATTTTCCATTGAGCAGCCGTCTGCCAAATGGGGAAAATTTCATAATTATTTCACATGTGATATATTGCATACTTTGGGGCTGATCAACTGAAATCGAACAAAATTGAATTGAGAGTGGGAGGTCTATTGAGTTTTGATTTGATTTGATATTTAGCCTTTATAATAACTGATTTATCAGAAAACATCGGTTTGTTAGTTATAATAGCGTAATAATGGTTCAATATTTAAAATATATACTATCCTGGATATGCCAATGATATAGTTTAAAATAACCAATAAAGTCAACAAAGCCTTCCTTAATAACCTCAAATTAAACCTAAAAACTATACCCCACCCTACTAAGATGCATTTAATTTTATAATCCTCACTATTTCCCACATATATCCTAATTTCTCCCCTTGGCCCCATCATATTTCCCTGGAGAAATGCTTAGCAATTAGCGAGTAAGTCAGAGACTCGTCCTTATGCTCCATAATCCTAAATGCCTTTAACTCAATTTACATGCCAGAAAGCGACAGAAGCTAAGTCGGGCCAAAGGCTGGGCCAAGTTAAGGAGCCCAAGTTAAGGAAGGATTCAAGGGATAGCAAGCGCCAACCCGGGTCTCTCTCGACATTATTAAAACGGATAAATCGCGACGTGCAACGATGTGTTGGGCGAAAGTGAAAAGCTGTGCGTGGGTAATTAAAAACAGGAGCCTGGAAAAGCCAAAGACGAAGCTGGAAAACGGAGTCAGATAAGGACAGTCGAGTAATTCGCATGTCGGATTTTAATTAATTCAGGGCACCAGAAACACAAGAACTGCGATGGAGATAGGTCGACTGGGGAATCTGTCTCGTTTCCTCACCGTTTTAAGTAGGTTAATGCTGTGAGATGATGGTGGGCTTTTTGGCAATGGTCGGGGGATTTTACAGTAGACGCCTTAATTGGTGGGCGTTACAAAATATTTACCGTTACATTTACCGCTACAAAAAGTGGGTGGGGCGGGAAATGGGAAAAGATGATAAAGTGCGCAAATGTTTGCACTTTCCCTTTATGACTATTTAGAGACACCGAACACTTCTGGGTGTGAAAAGTCGAAGGGCGCGACGGCACCCCAAAAAATTATTTTGGGTTTCACGGATGGACGGGGGGTCGAGTGTTGACGTCTTGATAACAACATGTGTATAAATATTTTCCCATTTAAACGCATAATTTATTTACATTTTATTATTGGGACTTTCGAGAATGCTGTCAACGAACTTTCGATTTTCCACTTTTCGTAAATGCTTGGAGTGGCATTTTTACACAGTAGCCCATTCAAAAAACATCCGTGAATATTTTCTAAAGCAAATCTAAAAATCTAGTCTACAAATCGTATTTACTACTTAAGTTGAGGCCTTAGGCTCTACGCATTTCTTGGTTTTTTTTATTTATTAGTTTTCAGTTGCAAGTAATTTATAATACTACTAACAATGTGCTCCAAAACCAATGAACGTGCAACTAGGCTCCATGAGCCAGGAAGAGTTTGTCGGGAGTTGCTCTACCTCAGATCAAAGATGGTAAATATCGTAGATAAGGATCTTAAGATGTCAGGTATATTGTATTTTTTTAGCCTGTACGTGAAGTTCCTGCTTTTACCTATCAGGCACTGCAGCCCAACACGGTAGTAAAGCCTCCCCCAAAGTGAGTTGGTTCTTACTAACAGAATTTTAGTATATTTTGTAATCTGAAATCTTCAGAATCGACATCTTCAAGCGAAAGCCAGTGAAGGAAACCGTTTTCAAGATCTATTTCAATCGCGGGGACATTCCGTGTGTAATGTCCGGCCGGACTAGCAAACAAGATCCGACCAAGGAGCGCCCGGTGAAATGGCACTGTGTTCCGGAGAATCTCGACTATTGCTACTATTTACCCATCTTTGTGGATGGACTGGCGGATATGGACTATGACACCCGGTTGCTGGCTGTCAATGGAGCCATTGACCTCATCATGAGGTCACCCAAAAAGGTTCTACCAGTCCTGCCCAAACTGATCCTTCCGCTCAAAAGGGCCTTTCAGACGCGCGACAAGCGGATCATCATATCCGCCCTTCAGGTCATTCAGCTGATGGTTCGCCTGGGTAAGTTTTTAAAGCTATACACTTACACTTTTATTTAAGGGTAAAACACATTCTTTCTTATATTCATGAATCATTTTTCTCGCATATAAAATTGTTTTTTACATCGCAGTTTTCCCCGTTGACTTGATGATTTTTATTTCCTTTCAATTCAATGCAGTTATTTATATTAATACGAATTTTTGTTGCCCAATCTGGTTCAAATCCAGTCATAAATTTAGCATCCGAAATAACATTATCGATGTCCACCCAGTAGTCCAACTTCATCTGCAGTTTTTCTTTAACAGCAATCCATTCCTCCTCACTTTGCAGAGTTGCCAACTCTCCCCCAATTTTTTCACATTCATCGTTAGCTTTATACCAACCCCGTTTTTCACTATTTTCGATGTGATACGATTTGTTTCCAACTTGCTTAAAGTCTGGTACCTCTTTGACTTCTTTCCATGTAACTTTTTTTTTTTTACTTAAAACAAACTCTTTTTCTTTTTTTTTTTTTTAAATAAATTTAAATTTTTTATATTAAAATTTTTATGGCAATTTCCCCAAAAAATAACTCAAATGAGGTCTTGAACTGATATTGGTTTCATTTTCACCTGATTTGATATCCAAATTTTCTCAATTTTCCCTTTGCGTTTCTGGTTCAAAATCATTAGGATTTTCACTTGAAGCCAACTCATTTTCCTTGGTTTCTGGTTTATAATCATTTGGATTTAGGGCTGTAAATTTAACTTCCCTCATGCCTAGAATTTCTCTTAGCATTGTATTATCTTCTTCGTTAGAAAAAATGTCCACCTGATTGGTGGCGACCCTGGGATCAGAAGTTTCCGAAACCGACGGATTTTCCATATATTTGTTACCGATTTTCATAAAGTCTTGATATAAAATCTTTTCCAAATTCTCCTTTGGTTCCGATGTAACTTTTGGGTTTTCACTAGAATCCAACTCAATTTCCTTTGTTTCTGGTTCAAAGCCTGGCCATATGCCATAAAGGCCTTTTAAATCGTCGTTATGAAAATCAATTACTCCTTTCTCAAACTGTTTAGCTGCAAATTTTGCTTCATTGATCAGATCCGAGAGTTCCGTAGCTGCTTGGTTGTCTATATCATTGCTTTCAATTCCAAAAAAATAAATTATCCGAATAGTGCACTAAAGTATTTACAGGTTTTAGTTTAAGTAAAATAAACAAAAACTGCATCTTACCAGTATAACTAAGATTACAAAAGGATATACTAAAACTTTTTGCGTAGTATTGTATGATTAAGTATGATTATAAAAAATAGTCCTTCGCTCGATTGCAATATACTAAACTGACTCATTTCACATGGAAGTCATTATATATGCGTGATTGCCGTTCTCTCATTGATATGGTTTATTTTATAGAAAAGTGATTACGGAATGGGAACACAATATGTATTTTCAGAATTCTTTATTGCCATTTCTTTTTTTCTGGTTTATTATATTGTACATCAAGTGTAATCAACTCCTATGGCAATGCACTGCCATTGCAGTGGAGCTCAAATTCGTCTTATGTATGTATTGACGCTTTAGAGCTGTGCACTGAGAGAAAGAAAAGCAGTATAACTATTTCATTATTTCCTAACGAATTCATCACTTATTACACTGCTCTGCCAAAAATTGTATCCCAATACTCCCGTTAATGGCTCACCGCGAAATAAACTGTAAATTGCAAACTATGCTACTTTGTTTTTGTAAATGCTCGCTGCTATGGGCTGGGGCGCTATTCCACCAACAATTTTTCGTTTTCCTCTTTCCGCCTCATTCCGTCGCCAACTCTAATGTATTTTGTTCTTGTTTTTTTTATAAACACTTGCACTGGAATTTATTCTTTAGAACTTCTTCGATGTGGGTGTTGAAATTAGCTAAGAATCGGTTAGCAAAAAAAAGGTTTTTTTTCTCTCAGTGCACAGCAGCAAACCAACACAAAAGCGTCACTACATATCTGCACTTTTTCTTGTATTTACGATAGTAAAACTCTGTTGAAGACGAATTTGAGTAACACGTTTACACATTTATGCATACTAATTTGATTAAAATACTCAGGTCCTTGTGTGGGTCAAGCCCTCGTCCCTTTTTACCGTCAATTGCTGGCCGTGTGCAATCTTTACAAGAACATCAATGTGAATCTGGGAGAGGGAATCGATCCTGATCGCAACTGCCGCATCGGCGACGTCATCGAGGACACCCTCAAGTTGCTGGAGTATTGCGGAGGACCCAATGCCTTCATCAATATCAAGTACATGGTGCCCACGTACGAAAGCAGCGTCTTCCCAAAATGCGAGGCACCCCAGCCACGAGATCCCTGAGTCTTCCGCTTGCCGATTTGCTTTTCTTTGGTTAGCGTTACCAGTTAACTGAGTTTTGAGAACAAGTTTAAGCTGCCAAATTGCAATTTGTAAACTTTTAAATCGGGGATGAGTAAAGGCTAAATTTTTGCATTCAATTATTAGGTGAAAATATTCAAAGGAATTATAAAATTTTTTTTTTAATGGGTACTATAAGTATGTTATATAGCGCTGAGGGCAATGCCTACAAAGTTACAAAGCTCTTTACGTATATTTATAGATGTTGCTGTCGCAGTTTAGATTATTTAATCATTCCTTTCTGAAGAACTTACGCCATGCTTATTCCAATTAGCTTTTACTGATTCTACTTTTGTAGAACGGATGGCATTTCATAGGAATTGAAAGAAGTCTCAATTACAAAATTCATTAAACAATCACGTATTTTATGGCATAGCAAAGATATCCAATTAGAACATAGAATCGAGTTACATTAAGAGACATATCTAAACCTTAAGGGCACATTGTAAACTGTAACTTTCATGTAAATATCTCCACCTTAACTATATTTCCGTGTAGGAGGACTTTTTGCCTAAAGGAATATCCATGTTCGGCTGCACTTACCCCGTACTTGTGTCAACGACTTACCACCCGAGACCCCCTGGAACACGGCCATCTGTTAGACAGTCAAGTGATAAATGCCTAATTAATTTTTAATTTTCGAAAACGCAAAAAAGGCGGCCGGAGATAAACAAATAAAAGCAGACGTTGCAATACATATACAATTTTTTATGTTTTACTGTTTCTGGCAAATAGAAGAAGTCGTGCCATAAATAAAAACCTCATTACAATAAATCATAAAGAGAAAATTGTTCAATTCGCTTTTGCTCTTTTAATGGAATTTCCGTGTAGCGAGTGTCGAGTGTCTGGTCTGGCTGGCAGCATTTGTCTAAGGATACGTGTTCGGGAGAGGGTGGATCGCCTGCTCCTCCTGCGACTCACTATCCTGTCAGGGATTCTCCCCCTTATCTCTGGCTTAAATCAGCCGAACGGGCCATACACTTTTGACTTTTGAGCACTGTTCTGCTACGCAACTCTCCGTTGAAAATCGAAGGATGGGCACACTCTAAATTTAATTTACCTAAATTGCTTAGGGTGGATGTGGTTTAGACGTAGACCTCTGCTTATGCCGCCGCCATCGCGCTCACTTGCCATTTCCAAATTGCTCATTGCGCTTTTCGGCGTAATTAAGGGCGACCCTTCAGAAATTTTCAAAAACAAATCTTGTTATCAACGGGCACCAACACGAAACAGTTGCTCCTCTTCGGTTTCTGGCCAGGCAGTCGGTCACTCCGCCTACACTCAGCACATTTAACTGCCTTAATTCATCGGAATTGGGATGCACAGAGAGGATCTTTTTGTTCCTTGGAAAGCTTTGAGAAAAAATGTTAAATTATGAAACTAAAAAGTCGATCCAATATATTAAGGACAATAAGGACATAGTGCTAGATCAGATCTTAAAGCTGTTTATATAATTTATCGTCTATATTCCGATTTAATCTCATTCATAAATACTTTAAAATATATTTTCCAGTGTATTTTGAAATGGGATGGTGGTTTTGGATGGTCTCTGACCTGCTGACAGAGGGTCTGAGACCCCCGGCCCGGCTCGTTGGCCGGTTGCCTGGCTGACTGGCTGGCTGGCTGGTTGATTGTGGTGCGTAGATAAAAACCTGCCAAGTGTTGCAACTCAATTTGCCCCCCACGCCAAAAACCACACCCCATCTGAAAAACACCCCTCATTGGGCTGGCCTCGCATCGTTCCAGCACACAAGTTCTTAATTCACTTTTTGGTGGCTCGTGTTTTTTTTTCGCCCGCTTGATTCTATTTCTGAATTTCTATTTTTTTTTTTTTCAATCTCCTGTTGACGGTAAATCAAACAGTCCCCCTGGGTGCAGCGTCACTTGACGACCCTCCCGTTTGGCTAAATTGCATTTACTTGCTGCGAATTTTTCGTTTTATTGTAATGCCATCGGATTCAGCATCCTGGTAAAACGTTTTGACATTTTATACGCACTTCTCGAAGACTATTTTTTATTGCGTAGGAAGACTTTGGGATTGTCTTTATAATGACTGGGGGTGGAAAAGGGCAAAAAGGGTTCACTACAGGGCGCCAAAACTTTGATTTAAATGCTAAATCCTCTCAAAAGATTATTATCGGAATTGGAATATAATGAGTTGCCTAACCAAGTTTGGATCAGAAAGTTAAAATTGGTTTTGTGATCTCTTGGAATGTAATTTTTAACTCCTTGTTTGATTTTTGAGTACTATTAACTTTAACACTCTCAGCCCCTATAAAGCTACGTCTCCGCCCATTTTTACCTTATCCAAATGTGATATCATTTTTTCGACGAGCTACCGAAACATTCTCCTTTCGATGCCATGGATTCACCCACTCTTTCGCTTTCTCCAATGCCCAAAAGGGCTTTTCCGTCACACCCAAACTGGCGAGCAGGGAGCTTTCACATGCAGGACTTCCCCATTAAGTCATGCCCATGTTTACGGGCGTATGCTGTGGCCAGTGGGTTGGAAATTGCTTTAATACCCCGGAAATTGCAGGAGAGTTGCATAAATTGACACGCAACGCCCCGTGGGCGCAATCCCATCCAATCCAATGTAATGAGTATTTCAGACATCGAAAGTACTGACCCACTCCACTCTCTTCATTCTTATCGATTGAGGTTGAGAACGAGGAAAACTATTTTTCGTGCAAATAAGCCAAACAAAGGCGAGTTTCCAGAGAAACTACTATTTAAGTCACTAGTTTAGCTGAGAAGATTGTCATTTAATACAGATTGCTAGAGATGGAGCACTTGGCTTTAGTCATTTTGCTGGCTACTCTTGGAGTAGCTGAAATTCAGGCCCAAAACTGCACGCTTCCCTTAATGAGGGTCGGCGAAAAGCAATACTTTGTGGAGAGCAAGGATAAGGTGAGTTCTTAGGCTTCATGAATTATTTATAATTACTCATAACTCTCAATTAGGCCAACTGGTACGATGCCAACGAGCGCTGCATCCGAGCGGGACTCCAACTAGCCACTGTGGACTCCGAGTACAAGTTCAACGAGCTAGCCGACTTCCTATCATACATGGGCTATCGCGGGGATTGGATCTGGGTGGGTGCAATTGGTCGTCAAGGCAGTTGGATGCAGTTCGGACCAGCTCGTCCCTTGCCCTATGCTAAGTGGAACATCGGACAGCCGGATAACATGAACAGTGAAAACTGCATGAATCTTTACCGAATTGGAGAACCGTGGCTCATGAACGACTACACTTGCCGCTCCAAGTTGTCCTATATCTGCGAAGCTGATACGACTAGGGTGTACGTAAATTAGATAAACTATTTATATAACGAATGAAATAGGTGCTAGATATATAACCATACAAGATAAAAATAAATAAAAACTCGTTTTTATCATAGCACTGCATCTCTTTACTGAAGGTATTCGTATTAAATATGGAAATATTTTTTTCCACGTAAAACTAACATAATGAAAGCTAATTGACATGAGATCTGTATTCGGTAAAAGATTTTGTTTATACAATTTGGGACTTACTTTCCTTGAAGCTTTTTACTACTTTTTATAATTTAGATTTAGATTTTAAAAGTCGTGATCTTAAGAGATTCTATCATTCTATCATATCAAACGTGGTTACATAAATTTTACATTATTTTCCGCAAAGGGTTTTTATTTAAGAAAGTAAGTTAGAACAACTAACTGATGATTATAAAAGAATGAATTAAGATAATATTAAATTTTAAACAAGTTTATTTGGAAAAGGAAAAAGCGAATTTTATTTAACACTTTCGCACAAGTACGAGTGCTCCAGGAAGCAGCTGATGTCATTCATAAACCAGTTGCCACTGTTGACCTTGATGCCTAGGCAGTTCTCGCTGCTGGCGTAGTCATTCGGCTCATTTTGACCCCATTTGAAGTAAGACAGGATCTCAGAGTTGGCAATAGAGATCCAGGCTCCTGATTTGATGCCAAAGCCCGAGAACCATATGCCCTCATCCTTGGAGAATCCCAATTGATTAAGATAGGTGGAGATCGCGTTAAGTTCCGCTTCGCTGTCGATGTGAGCCAACTGGGCTCCCATGGCCATGCATCTGCGTGAGGAATCCCACCAGTTGAACTGGAAATAAATAAACAATTTTACAATTATTTCATGAAATCATTTATCTACCTTCTGCTTACCTTGTTTCTCTCCAAGAAATAAGCGCTATTGCCCAACTGGACAAATCTGGCACTGCAAGTGCCATCCTGTGCCAGGACGAAGCTCACTAGACTGGCCAGAATCACTAAGGTCTTCATGATGATAAAGTAGTTGCCTACTGCAATCCCCAAATGTGTGGCAAACACTTATATAGTAGTTCTTATCAAGTATTAGGCGCAAGTTCGTTTGCTTTTCGCGTCCCACTTTTCCAAATGTTTCTGTGGGCTTAGCTTTGGTCCACAACCGCGAGGCTGTTTGACCAGACACAAAGAGCCATTGTGGACACTGGGAGCCGCCAATCCGTTTGTCCATTTGTAAAATCCGCATTTAGCCGGTCACGACCAGACATAAAGAGTCTGCCCTATCGGGCGCAGATGGTCGCATTTTCACGAACCACGTGCGTTCGGTGGAAGCTGCCCGGAAGCGAATCGAAATTATCACCAATTTGCAGTCATCGAAATCCAATTATGGGGCGTGTGTGAGACCGGTTCCAGATCCGTTTTGTAACCGAAAAGCAGGAGGACCTCGAATCCTCTGCAGCCCAAGTGTGCCATATGCTGGCAGCGAGATATCCAAAAGTGCAGCGCGTTTTGGAATAGAAATGGGTGCATTTACACTATGCAACAAAGATTTCACAGTCTAGAAATCAGTTCTCAAATACACACATATTTGTTTCATTTTGCATCAGTTAATACATAATATCGCCAAGAAAGTTTCAAGTAAATATCGATACATTCTATATTTACTCATAAAACTCAATCTTTGTAGCCTAGTGTAATCGGATTAGGCTGGCTGCAGTTTCCTACCCAACTGGAGGGAAGCACAACGAAAAAAAAAACATAATTTGCGAGAATTGTCACACGACACGGTTCGGGGGCACTTTGTACTGACTTATTTGCAATTTGCGAAATGGAAGCTGCAGCGAAAGAGGATGAAGGTCATAGCAGCAGCAGGGTTGGCCAAGTGGAACTCGGCAGACGGGACACTAAATCATGCATGTCAAGTCGAGTAGTTGTCCCGCTTCCAGCTCTATCGAACTCATCATAATCGCCACTGCGAATACTCATCATTATCGACTGCATTTTCCCCAGGGGGTTAACGTTCTCCTTCCAAAATAATACACCCACCTCCTAAATTTTTCGCTTAGTTCCGGCATGCGACAGATGCAACAGACGTGCAGACTTCCGGGGAACGGAGGTCTGAGGGTTTTGTGGTACGACCGCAAGAGGGTCTTAAAAAGGGCCACCCCAGCTAACCCCCATACCAACCCCAATATTTTGTCCCCCCTTCGACGCTGTCACTGCTCATTGTCAGCTAAGTGTCGAGGAGGTGGGGGACGTCCTTGGAGGGTGGGACGGTCGGTCAACAAGCCACAGGAGCAGCGACAGCCCTCGAAACGGAACCCAACATTTCCATTTTCAAGGGCCTTAAACCAACTTTTTTGCACTCAAGCAACCTGCCAGATTACGTCTATGTGGGAAGGTGAAAACCCTAGCATGCACAGTGGGTTGAGGTGCAAAAGAGTGATAAAATCTTCAAATTGATGTAAAATAAAGTAAGCAGGTACGAACTATTATTGCTTATCCATTTGTTATTGAAATTGTTTTAGTAAAAAATTAAATCCGAGTAATGATCTTTCCATTCCTAACTTTCTCGCCTTAATATGACATTTGCTAGTTTACCACGGTCCTAGGTTTTTAGCCGCATTATAATAGAAAGTCAACCACTGTGGTTGCCATCCACCGACAGAGCATCACCACATCAGCGGCATCGGGAGCATCAGGAGCAGCGATGGCGGTGGCGACACAACAAAGGACGCAGAGACGATAAGACGATGGCAAAAGCAAAGGCAGCAGGCTCTCGTACCTTCCGCTGCAGCTACACTTGAAATTTAGTATCAGGCATAACTATAGAAAAATAATATAAATGGGTTTAAGGATGAGACTATTAACTATAACTTAGAAGTAAAAGTATAAAAAATGTTTTTATATTTAAGATATAAAATGTTAAATAGTTCAGTTAAACATTTTCCGTGCAGTGCATGGAAATTTTCAGGGTTATGGAAAGGGAAATGATGAAGAGGGGGTGGAAAATGATTTCCACTTGGAAGCGACCAAAGGCAGCCGACACCCGCCAACAATAAAAGCAAATTCAATGCGTTTTGTGATAATTTCGCACTACACGAGAAACGATAAACCCAGGCAGACCAGGACCAAAAGAAAGAGAAAGCAAGCGCTTGAGTGAGGGAAATAGCAAATGCTAAAGCCGTAAACGAGCAAATAATAAAAATTTTATATACAGCCAGAAGAGAAGAAGAAAATAATAATAATACGACGACGACGAGGACGCGATATAGAAATACATGGGTGTGAATAGTCAATGAGGGTCGGAAGTGCAGATGCGGATGTGGATCGGTGGGATCAATGCGGAAGATGAGGGGTGTTTGGGTTGGTGGGTGGGCGATGTTCCAGCAAGGTGTCGAATTGCCCTTCGGTGGGGTGGCACCGCTAGTGGTGGCCTTTCCTCGAGTGGTTGCAAATCAAACGGCAACAATGCAATCAAAAAATTTCGTTACCCACCCGGGTGCAAATTTAGTTATTGTCCTGATCCCTTAGACTCGTGTCCTGAGTCGAGAATCCTTTGGGACTGCTTTGGCCATAATTTAATTCGGCTGGCCCATTATTTCATTAGTTCAAGGATGGCCCATGGCCCATGGCCCCTCGAAATTGTGCAATTTATTCGGGTCTGGAATATAAGATATGGAAAGAGAAATGGCTGTAATATTGTATAGACTGCAAATGGCAGCTAGACGCATAAATTAGTAAATTTCGATTTTGATTTTGCCAGTTTAATTGTTTGCCAAACCGGCCCTTGTCCGGTTACCGAAAACAATGGTAATTGTCTTTGGTTAGGCAAACATGTTGTATCTTTGTATCTGCATCTGTTGGATAGGTGTTTCGCTTAGGCTTCTGTCGGCCATTATGCATATATATTTTGTGTAATTAACATTTATGGACAAAGAATCTACTGTAGCCAAGTCAAACACACACACAACTCCGCTTGGATACCCCCGAAAATCATCAAAGTTAGTATATCAAAAATCCAATTTTCATTCAACAGGACCAGCCCGAAAGTATGCCTTTGTCCGTGCGAGATTTTTCAGTGTCTCACCACTCACCACCAGATATTCGAGTGTAAAAGTTTTTCTGGTCTTGAAGGGCCCATAGAATTATGCAAGCAACTCGCTGGAAACGCACTTGAACTTCTCCTCCGTCCGTCCGTCCGTCCGTCCAGTGCAGCACAAATGCATAGAAACAATGAAAATTAAGTTGATGTAAGCAAATGCAAAACTTTATGCAAATCGCTGGCCACCACATAACAACGCACAGTAGCATTGGCAAGAAGCTGTCCGTCACCCAGTCGAGTGCAGAGACTAAAATGGGGTTACCGATTCTGGCTTGGATTGGAAATGAAACCCACTAAGGTGGAGTCAACAAAGACACTATACTAAGTCGGGATGATGAGGAATTAATATTTAGACGGCTTTATACCTATCACTAAGGGGCTACTTCTTGTAATTACAATTTATCATTTAAAATAACTTACCTCTAATATTTCTTAAGTCTTAGATTAAAAAGTGATTTATCATTTTGGTAACATACCAAACATAGAATCGTGAACTGGAAAGGATTAACAATATCTTCAGAAAACAGAATACCCCTGAACATCTCTAGTTTCGAGACCACTCATACCTGGCGATGAAATGGTTGACAAGGAAATCCATCTGTTTAATGGTTTCGGGCCAACCCACAGTCCGGACCCACCCACTTCTACTTGATATGTGGCTTTCTCCACGTGTCCACATGTATGCCTGTCTAATCCCTGAGATTACAAAAGCCTTCCCGGGCAAACCCACACCGCAGTGAAGGGGCAAAACTATTACGCTTGATAAATTCGAGATTAAAGTGCATTTGCAGACGGGTCAGGATCTTTTGGCCCAGTGGCCATACAATTTATGGCCATACATTTGTGCAGGATTTCTTTCGTTTTCTTTTGCCAGGATACTTTGGCTAACCGGGAAGTCCTTTTAATTATCACACGTAATGACAGCGCCAAATGCAATTGCTAATTAATTGCCTTGGGCCCACTGTATATAGAACGGTGATGTGGGGATGAAATTTATGGCTTATACATTTGTTTGGCCCGACATTATTATTCCAACATGTGCGGTTATGGGGAGACCCAGATCTAGATCCAAACTAATGCAATTTCCTATCTCGAGGAAGTGGTTGATTCGGGGGCGTTCCTTGACAAATGAGAAAATGCTTCATTAGTGCACCACCAATGGGCTTAGGGGAGGAAAAATAATGCAGGCCAAACACACAAAAACCAATAAGAAAGACCCCCAAAAGAAATCCACTCAATAAAACCTACGAATACAGCGCAATTTATTTTCATAGCCAACTTGAACTTGAGACGAGATGAACTTCGCATTCGAGCTTCCAAAGGGGGGCTAATGACGATAATCGCTTGGTGGCTGTCAAAATTGCCGCAGAATATAATTGCCAACTGGCCATAGAGTAGCGCTCGACGTCCCATGATTAACGATGAGAGCGTTATGAAAAAAAGCCAAAAAACAAACACAGACCTGAGTGGAGAACAAAAAGCGCCAGCTCGATACAATGGAATCTCCAAGATACAAACGGAAACTACATCGGAACAATCACAAAAGATGCTAGCCAACCGATTAGGTCCAATTACTGGACCAGGGGTACGGGGCTACTTTGATCTACGCATAACGCTCAGATGCAACAGGCCCCACCCACGAGTGCATCTCAAACGGCGGCAGCAACAACTCACTCCAGGCACGGTCAAGATCTTATCCGCGAAGCTCTAACAAGCCGTCAACAACAGAAGCACACTAAAAGAAAATGTTTTAAAAAATTAAATACAATTACAGAAAAATTAATATTTAATGTTATTTAACTCTTAGAAATAAAATCTATACTCTATTATCTTTTCTCGTTTAACCTAAAAAGTCAAGGATTTGGAATTACTACTTTAACGTGCTTGATTAATACAAAAGCTCTTATTGCATTGTTCTTGCTTAAACTGTTCATAATTACGATCATCAAATTAAAATTATCACATCATTATTTAACAAAATTCTTAATATTAAAGAAACTTGTTCTTACGGGAATTTTTCCATCCAATCAATCAATATTAGAAAAAGTTTAAACCCAATTAATTACAAATTTCGTTCCACATTTTTTTGTGCCGTGCAAGAACATCAACAGTAACTAAAACTTAAGTAGAATTAAAAACAAAAGCAACTTTTTTCTGCTCTCCAGCTTCGCCAGTTAATCTTAATGAATCTCCGTAGATATTTGAAATCAACTTGCTTGTTTTGCCTCGCTTAGTTGTTAGTCGGCGGTTTTCAAGTGCGCACACGAAACGCTCTCCATTCTAGTGATTTTTTTGTTGTTTTTCTTATTAAGAAACTCCTTGGGAAATACCCATTATTAAATTCGGTTCTTCACGGCGAGATGCTGTCAACAACGAGCTCTTTCACCGCCCACCTTGTGTTTATACTTTTTGGCGGCCTGCTGTTAACTCATCACTGTGTCCAAGGTTGTTTCGAGTAATTGGTTGGCCATCAATCACGCGGCGGGTGAAAGATGGAGTTCCTCCATGAGTCAGCTGGAATTTTCGGGAATAGATGGGGTTTCGTGTACACTCCATTGAAGGGAAATTCCAGTTTTAGGGGAACTTCGAAGTTAAGCAACCCAATCAGATCAGATCAGATCGGGGATCAGCCTAAAATAGCTGAAAAGTCTGTTAAACTATATTTATTAAATCAAGTCGCCAGTAATATAAATTTTATTTCAGGTTTTTAAGGCTAACAAATTGAAAATCCTGAAAGTATATTAAATCAATTTTCTACCATTTATTCGCCTACACTTTGGATTGACATTCCACTCGTGAATAACATTTGAATTAAAATGAAATCCCAACCAATTCACTTAGCAAATACGAAAGTATATTTATTTCAAATTAAAACCTATTCCTTAAAATCATATTTCACCCCAAAAGTATACAAATCAGAGATAGGCTTACCGCAGAATTAACTGAGCAATCCTTAGTAATTGGATGGACGCGATACTCGGCAAATCCTTAGCTCATCGTAAACTCGCACCCCGAGGTCGGACCCTTTTGTCCCTCCCCCTTGAAGTGGTAGTCTAATTGGTACTCCCCCAGCCAAATCCGATTCTGATTGCGACTAATCCCATAATTGTGGGCTTGGCTGTGGCCGTGCATATTGAAGTGCAACCTCAAATCGGTCAGCGGCAGCTCAAGTTCCAGATTAGTTCAGTCGGTTGAATCGTTGCATATCCATAAATAAGTCAGCGTGTGCTAATTGCATCACTTATATGCCACGGACCCGCAGCACGCTCCAATTCGTCCGATTAAAGTCCACGCTGGAGATGACTGTGGGTGTGGGATTGGGTTTAGGAATGGGTATGGGTATAGGAGTGTTTGCATAACTTTAATTAAATTTCTGGTAAATCTAATTTCCATGCTAAACCGAAAACAAACAACGATGATGATGGCGTTGGCAACCAGGTCAGGCGAATAAAGTGTCCTCCAAGTTGGATTTCGATGAGAGCGATGGCAGCAACAATCAGACGGGTTTACCCGGTCAGCCAGGACAGGTGGGCGGAACTGGAAATGGGAGCTATGACCCAGGAACGGGACGGGGCTTAAGTGGTGGTGGAGGAGGAGTTGGTTCTAGTGGAGGCAGCAGCAGCGGAACATCCAGCGGGTGGCAATCGACCTAAGATCCATGGCGTCCGGGTCACTGTCGATACAGGCGATGGACAGCAGCAAACGAAAGGTAATTAAATTCATTCACAGCTGCAAAAATGCAAAACACCAAAAAAAAAAAAAAAAAAAACTAACAAACTGGATTCCCCGTTGGGCGTACCCCTAAATGAAAAAAATAAACAAATACAGAGTCCAAGGAGAGCGTGGAAATTACGGATTTGGGGAAGCACAAGAAGCGTGTGGGCATCCACACGGACATCACGTTCGAAATAACCTCCGATTCGGATGGAAATGAAACCAGTTCCGCTCAGCAGCAGGGCGACAAGGGTGAGTAGCCATCGAAATCTCCTTTCAATTTCACTTTTCCCCTAGCTCCAATATCAATAAGGGGTCACAGTTTGGGGAATTTAATTAGGGGAAACCACCTCTGCAGTGGTGACGTGAAAAGTTAATCTTTGCTCGAAAGTTAACTTAGAAGAAATTAGATCTCTTAACAAATCAAGAACTGAGATCCTTAATCGTACTTGCTTACTTTAACTAAACTCACTGACTTACTTTCCCTCTGCCTTGATTTTCCCAAATCCCCACAAACAGAGGACGCCAGTGTTCCCATTTACAAGGGTCGTGGCGGAAGCGACTCAAAGCACAAAACTCGCAAACCCTATGATCCAAAATCCCAGTGGAATCCCAACTTCTCCGGCGAGCAACGTGGCTACCAGGGCACCAATCGAGGTGGCTATCAGGGATCGAATCGCGGAGAATATTATCCTCAATACTATCCCGAGTATAGCGGTGGAAATTCTGGTACAGGTAGCATCTACAGGAACGGCGAGACCTGGACGCACTATGTCCCGGTTTGGACAACGGAGAGAGTGCCTCAGGAACAGGGACAGATTTATCGGCGACCCAGTTGGAAGCCTTGTTATTGCATGTCCTCCGCCGATTTTCGACGTCGTCGAGATAGCAAAATAGCCAGAAGAGATCCCACAGATCAGCATAAGGGAAGTAATCAATAGTGGCGTCGTCCAGGTGGTGGACGGCAAGCTGGAGAGGCCCTTTTCGTGAGGATTAGGTACTCTCCTTAATTGGATTCTTTCACCTTTCCTAGCTTTAAGTTAGTCACTAATTGTTTTTTAAAATAAAACAGTCGATGTAGTTTTTAAAAGGACTTAACTTTTGTTTAACCACTGGGACGCCACTGGGATTAGCTGGTGTGTCCTGGTGGTTTTTGTATAGCTTTTTCTTGACTATTTCTTACCAGTATTCCCATTGTTATCATCAATCCCATTGTTATCATCAATCCCCAAAGATAACCTTGGGAATACTGGTAAGTAGACATTCTTCTTTCAACTTTTCCAAATAAAATATGTAATTTTGACATTTAAACACTTCATTTTACTTTCACATTGGCTTACAAAAACATTTGGAGGTAATTACGAAACACTCCCTAAGAACACGACAGGTTTCTAGTTTTGGATGCGAGTTTCAGTCGCCATTTACGAGTGAACACTGTGGGTGCCGATCTTGCCGTTGTCATCGACGGAGGCTGTGGCGGCATGGTATCCGTACTTCTTTCCGTTGATGTTGATATTCTCACTCTCACCGGTGGCCAGATCCTTGTAGTTGTTCACATTTCCATTGGAATCGAACTGAAATGGAAGAAAATATAAGTTTAAATATTTAATTTTTAATATTTATAAATAAGACTCACCGAGTTTTGGGAAGACCACTTGGACTGCTTCTCCCACTCCTTGGTCTGGAAGCCACTGCCTGAGTTACCGGCACCGACTCCGAATCCAGCTCCAAAGTTGCCCGATCCAGCCAACTGTTGTTGTTGGCCCAACAGGGATCCACTGAGCAGAGACTGCTGTCCGCCAACCTGTCCGCTCAGCAGAGATCCGTGGCTTCCGCCCAACAGGGAACCACTCAGCAGAGAGCCACTGCTTCCGGCGTTCAAGGCAGAGTTCAAGGAGCTGGCAGAGTTCAAGGAGCTGGCAGAGTTCAGGGAGCTGGCTGAGTTGAAGCCAAACTGTGAGCCGGCATTGAAGGCGCTGTTGTAGCCGGAGTTGAAGCCGGATTGCTGGGCAGATTGGAGGCCGGCGTTGAAGCCACTGCCAGATTGCACAAGATTGCCTGAGGTGGCCTGAGAGCTGGTTTGAGAGCCGGCTTGCTGACGGGCACCCTGATGAGCTTGGTTGACCAGGTGAGTCAGTTCACTGTTGTGGTTGGCGCCATATCCGGAATTCTGGCCGAAAGAGTTGCCAAACTGAGATGTGAAAGCGGCGTTGCTTCCAAAGTTTGAGGCGGCATTGCTGGCAAAGTTGCTACCGAAGTTAGAGGCGGAGTTCGATCCATAGATCAAGCGGCTGCTGGCCACTGGCTGCACGATCTGTGGTGCCGAGGCGGTGGTGGTGACCTTGCGCTGGTAGTAGTGTTCGGTTTGAACTGGAGTCTGCACTATCCGCTGGGTGGGTTGCGCGACAATGCGCTCTTCATGATGATAATAACGCTGTTCAGCGCCGGGAATGGTGTAGGTCACCTGCTGTGGGGTGCTCACAACCTTCTCGTGGCTGTAATACTCGGAAGAAGGAGCAGTCTGCACGGTTTGAACACCGCCACCGAAGTCCACCTTGTTGCCTGCATTGGAGTTCTCAGCAAACTCCACATTGCTGCCCACCTGGTGGGCGGCGGTGCTACCGAAGTTGGCTGCGGAGCTGGTCTGGAAGGCGGCGTTGCTGGAGAAAGATGAGCCAAAGGAGGCAGCATTCTGGGCACCGAAGGAGGCAGCGTTCTGGGAGCCGAAGGAGCCAGCATTCTGGGCACCAAAACCGGAACCGAAGGATCCAGTGCTTCCCACACCAACACCAGCCACATTCTCAACGGCACCACCTGCACCGCCAGCGCTGGCACCTTCAGCGGATTCAGTTGCACCCACCACGTCGTAGGAGCCCTCCAGTTTGCCCAGGTTAGCAGATCCATCAACCTGACCAGAAAATCCTCCGAAGCCACCGCCTAAGCTACCTCCGAAGCCACTTCCATAGCCGCCTCCAAAGCTTCCATCGTAACCGGAATTCTTGCGTGCCTGCTCCACCGCCTGCTGGTGGGAACTGTAGTGGCTAGATAATCAAGGAATAAACTTAGTTAACTTTTTTTACAAAAATAATACAACAATTTCATAAATTATTATTAATTCGAATTAATTTCGATTGGAATTTTGAAGTGCCATGCCAGCCAATGGGGAAATTTCAATTTTTTGTAATCAAAAAAAGAAAAATCTTTAACATTTGCCACCAGGCACTTACCGAGAGTGAAAACTGTCGCGTTTGAATCTACTTTGAGTGTAAATAATATTATATAACAAAAACAGACCATTAGTTTTGGAAACAATTACAAAGTCCACAAGCCAACTTACCTTGCCTGGAAATCTGTAATGATAAACAAGAAAAATCTATTAGATTCCTGGCAGATAATACAAAAGATTTTAGCAAATATATATTTTTAAATGTCTAAATCTTAATCTAAATCATATACCTAATCTTGAGAAATAAGATAAACTTCTAATAATAAATGTTTCCTTTACAAAAAGTATTTAAACTTTACTTCTGCTTTTTGAATTCACATCTCAACCTCTAACTTTCAAAATTTATTTTCGTTTGATAAAGTTCGTCCTTTTTCAAACTGCGTATTCCCAAAAATATAATGCTAATATACCCCTTCAAAAGATTTACAATCTCTTATCGCTGCACGCGCTACATTCTCAGAAAATTACACAATTTCCCAAGGTGTTGTGTAAAAATTTCATTCAGGAAAAACCCAAAAGTCGCTGACGACACTCGGAAGCAGCAGATAAGCAGCTGATAAGCAGCCTCAAAAAACTTTTGCCAGATCCGCAGGATTTCAAAAACACTCTTAACATATATTGTTTGCATTTTTAAGGAGCTTTCAATTGAGGAAAATTTCAATACCTCCACAGACCACACCCAGACAGAGGGCCAAAATCAGCAGCTTATTCATTTTGGTTAATTTTACTTTTAACTTTTGTCCGGAAAAACGTTCGGCACTCGCGATTTAAATTGTACTGATGCAATCGAGCGGATGAAGCTCAGCTTTAAAGCCTCCGAATTGGTGATGATAAGAATCATATATATATATATATATATGTATAACTCAGACTTGAACTGATTGATTTCTGACCTACAGATTATTCCACATAGACATCGAATTGGAGCTCGGAATTAGTGCAGAAAGCCGAATGCTGAAAGTTACTTGCGACATCATCAGAACTGGCGGAACCTTGCTCAAGAGGCATATACTATATAGTTGCCATGTACGACACTGAGCATTATCGCTTTATACTGATTGCTTACAAACATATATAGCAAAACGATTATAGGTGGAAGACAATGGTAATGAGCTCACTTTGAACTTAGAAAAAACTGTGACCAAGGTGAAGGAATATATAAAGACAACCTTGGGCTCTGGCTCAAATTCAGGAAGTAATAATTTCGCTTTTCGACGTGTTTGAAAAATAAACTAGCCTCTGGAAACTGTGTTGTCATGAGTTTTGTAAACAATATTGCGTTTTACGATAGAAAAACATGGAAATCTATAGTCTGGTTAATCTAATCGGCAGATCAGTTATTCTATGAAAATTGAAAACAAAAAGTTTTACTTTTTGATAAAGTTAGTGGCAATATTCTTTTAGATATTTTCTGTAAACACCTCCAGTTCTTGTCTGCCGTTCCACTCAATCTCAAACAAATAATAAGATCTTGAAATTTAGCCACTTTATATTGAAATTTTCAATGAGATAGATTAGTCCCGGTGACCTCTGAACCTCTCATCCGTTCACCGTAAAATGAAAACAAAGAAACAAAATAAAAAGCAATACAAATAATCTTTTAAAATAAATAAAAAAATTCGACTCTATGTATAACAATTGAATGCCACATAATCAAGGTCAAAATATATATTTAAACGAACTTAGCATAGAGAGAGCGTAACTTTCTAATCAAAGAAAGCTCTGAATTAGGAAACCTCTCCTCATCCGATAAGAAAGTCAGTGAATATAAAATAAAATACATATATATTTATATATTTTGTTTACACATATTAAATGGGTTCGGTTTGCTTCGTCAGACCGGAGTAAGTATTAGCCTAGCCACCAGAAGGTGTCGGAGGAAGGATATCCTTCGATTTTCTTTAAGAGTGCACCGAGTACGAGGTGACCTTTCCATTGTCGTTGACCGTGGTCTGGGCGCCACGTCGGCTGGTTCCGTCTCCATTGCTATGGCTGTAGGATGACACTGAGACACCCTTGTAGCCGCCACCACCACCGCCACCGCCTCCTCCGGAGCTGCTGGAACTGGAGAACGAGGAGCCGCCACCACTTCCGCCTCCAAAGCGATTCACGATGTTGGGCGAGGCCTGTAGATAAGGAATTTAAATTAGTTTATTTACAGATTTATTTCTATGGTAAATATAACTGAAATGATTTTTAATTTGCAGATTAAATCAAAGTTAAATTAAGTTCCTTTCGAAATGAACAAAAGGTAATCCCTTACCGGATTGGCTGGGTTAATAAAGGCCGTCTGGCGATAGCCATTGGGTCCGATGGAGCCCGAGGCGGAGGCATAGCTTGGTGCATAGCGATGTGAGTTATAGGAAGATCCACCATACGATCCAGATCCAGATCCGGTGCCCGAGCTCGAACTCGAACTCGAGCTCGAACCTCCCCGATAACGATTCTGGCGGACTAGATTGTCATGGTAGGCCTGCTGGGCGGCAATCTGTTGCTGGATGCGACTGCAAAGGATAAATGATTAGTATATACTAAACAAATAGGTCCGTAAATTAGTATTTAGTTAGTTAAAGACTATCTAAAGGTAATTACATATCGTTGTCGTCGACTAGAGAAGCATCCGCAGATGCATAAGCATTGCCAGCAGTGGCCAGACCCGTTATAGCTCTACAGGAATAGATAGATTCAAGCGTTAGGTTAACCCTTAGCCACCCAATATATGACTACCCAAGCACAACCCCAAGCCATTACAATTCCAGGAATAAGATCAAAACTTACTGTTGGTTGGCGTAGTTCTGGGCCAGGATGTGATTCGTTAGCTGCTGGTGGAAAAGATACGGATCGATGATGCCAAAGTTGGGCGAGCTGCCACCATAGTCATCGTAATCGTAGTAACCACCACCACCTCCACCGCCAGTACCCACATAGCTGCTATGTCCAATGCCTCCACCGCCGCTGTTATACGATCCAGTATAGCCACCAGCTCCTCCACCACTACTGGCATAACCTCCGGCATAACCTCCGGCATAGGCACGGCGTCTCCGGGTTGGTCCAGTGTTGGCTGAAAGAGAAGAATCAGAGTCATTATTCAGGAAATCATTCAAATATTTATGAGTTTACTTACCTCCAGATGATTCTTCATTCAGAGCACTCATCACCACACAAATAAGCAGAAGTTTCCACATCTTACTTAACTGACATCTGCGTATGCCAAAATCGTTTTGACTTTGAGCTGTGGGTGGGGTTGAGTGGTGTAAAAAACAAAGAAATCATTAAGAACTGGTTTTTAAAATTAGTGTAAATAGAACTTGTTTGCGAGCAGCGATGCATATTTTAGAGCCTATTAACTTAGTCGGAATGTAGGACTAAAGCGGAAATGAATATACTCGCAGCTGGATGACAAGATGACTTAGACTTATATAAGATCTGATCTGAAGTTTGCCTAGTAGCATCTGCTAATGACTGGGATCTGCTGGCTCATTGTTTCCAGATACTTTCCCAACCATTGTCATTAGCCTGGCCGTAGGGCAGAATCCATAAATCCGCTTGCATAAGCCGGTAATCTGTGCGGGAAGTGATGAAGGATGGGGGATGCACTCGCAGTAATCGATTCTTGGATGCCTAACCGAGGGTCATTGGCTTGACTGCATCCCCCCGTTCCGGCCTAACCAGCCACGATATATTTACACCCCCAGAGTCGGCAATTACAAGCATTTCATATATATTTTCCAGAGCCCAACCCACAAACTAATTGGCTTTACACGATTTTTCAATAATGAATTGGCGAAAAGAAATCACGGAGCCGGTGGGAAGTTAACGGGCAGAGGGAAGAGGGCCTGGCCAAGCATATCGAAAACAGAAAACCCCAAAATGTAAATTAATGGATCCCCATATGACTTGGTATTTTATTGACTACTGCAAAAGCCAAAGCCAAAGGCGGGAAAGAGAAGAACAAACCGGTTCTCACTAATTTGTTCAGAGTTTAGAAATTGATATTGAATGTTTTTGTTGAATTATTTTGTTTTGTTTTTTTTTTTTCCCTCCGCCAGTGTCATCTGCCACATATATATTTTTGGTGCGCCATTTATATTTCAATTTGTTACCCCTTTTGTTTGTCATTTTTTACAGAAGTTTATCAAGTTGCCATTAAGATCGGGGATTTTTTGCATTTAGCAATTGGGGTGTTCTAATTGAATAACTTTTGAAGCCCAGCAACCGGTCTCGGAATGATTAATAATTTTCTTATATTTTTTTTTTTATAAGTACATAAAATATTAATAATTAACAACTTTTTGCACGACTCTGGGGAAACAAAGGAACTCATCTGAGGAGCACTACCGATGAACGAACGTGTTTTGTTTTTAGTCCGACCCTGACTTTGATGATCACCGAACTGTTTCAATGCGAACTTCCATACAACATCATTAAAAAATCTCACTGATAAGAACGACTAATATACAGCACATACACTTCCCAGTACGGAACCAAAACTGCGCCACAAATTGGCAAAACTATCAATGTTATATTGCCGAGATCGCCGGGAGAGGGGACTTTTGTATATATTTGGCAGATAGAGAATCCCAAACAGTTCTCAGTTCTCATAAAAAGAGATACAGAAACATACACACAGCGAGCGCGACTCACTTGATTTGTTTATGATTCGATTCTTGACCAGTTTTATTTGTTTTTCGATCTCGGGGCTCACTCGGGGCTTCACTCTCGCACTCTCCGATCTTCTTCACTGGGCGACAACTGGGCAACGTCTGACTCGTATCAGGTGGGTCCAGGTCCTCTTATAAACGATCGGTTACCTGTGGATTGACCCGCAGCCGATGACGACGCCGCGATGACATCTGACTAGAGAGTCTCGTACCGCTTACCGAATCACTCGCCGCGGGGATTTATTATTAATGTTAAGAAAAGGGAGGCTCGATAGCTAGTAAAATTTGAATAAAAAATAGGTATTTTGTTTCTTCTTTCTGATATAACTTTTAGGTCAATATACTATCTTTTTTAGTATGAGCTAAAAAAGCTTAAAGAAAATCATCAACTTTTTAACATTGCAAAAAAGTATTTAGGTTTGTGTCACTTTCTTATTCAAGCTTACTAATTGCATTTTCATCTTTAACTACCTCTTTTTACTTTATTTAAAAACAATTTTATTAACTCTAGACACCTTTTTAGGAAAAGTAACATTGAAACCTTTATCTGTTTTTCTTTTACATTTTATTTAACTCATTTTATACATTTCACTTTAACTCATTTTAACGTAAACTAGTAACAGATTTCATCTTACAATACTCGAATGTATGATATAGTTGGTATATGATAAAAAAAACGTTTTACTAGGATCGTTGCGAATGTAGCTTGCCATAATACCTGATCACCATTGAGGCAACAACAATTAGAATTAAACTTGGTTTGCTTCGCGCCAGCCGAACGCTTCAGTTTCCAAGTCAGGCACTTGTCTTCATCCTCGTCTCCTGGACAACTCGGTGGGAATCCTTAAAGTTTTGATTGAGCCCTCGGTAGAATGACATCACGCCACCAGGAGGGCCGTTGGAAGGCCCCCTCATTGGTCATAAATTCATTTTGCAAATTCTCATAAAGCAGACCATCGGCCCGGGCAATAACCGAATTCAGGGCAAAATCGGGTGGCGAAATGGCATCTGCTATGCTCACAGCCATATCCTTCAGTTTGAGGCAACTATCCAATAGCAGATGACGCACTGCAGCCGAGAAATCCCGACTAGCAAAGCCACCCACATAAAAGCTGGTCATATGCTTCTCCAGCAGCCACATGGCATAGACATCGAACAGCAGCCGAAGCACTGAGGCATATGTGGCCTCCACTTTTAGTTTACTAACATGATCCACATAGCTCGTCAGGGCATAGTACTCTGCATAGGCTAAAGACAACTCCCGAGCTCCGGCCACCTGGGAGTTGTTTCTGGCCTCAAAGCGACTGTTTCCCGCTGCCAACTGGCCGTTGATGTGATCTGTGGTTTGAGCCATCAAATGGCACAACAGCCACTCGTAGCACCTGAGGGAGACTGAAAGGGAAAAGAACTCATTATTTAAGGAATCTATATATTATTTTTATTCACTCACATTGCCAACTGGTTATCGGAGTCTTCTGCACCAAGGATGCATAATTAAGGGCAAGCAATTCCTTTCGTTGCTCCAGGAACTTCACACTGCCAATGGGCGTCTCCAGTTGCTTGGCGCTCCACTGGCGAAGCAACCAGTTGGAAGCCTGTTGTCCCAGCACATTGTTATCGCCCTCGTAGGTACACAGGGGATCATGATCAGTGCGCATCTTACCAAGTTTAGCCGCTGCCAAATAGCCATGACCACCACAAGCCTCACGAGCTTCCTGGATGGCATCCCGAGCTGACCAAGTTATCAAAGGCTTCGAAGAAGAGATCAAGGCATGGATCTCCGCAGCATTCTGAGTCTAAAATATTTCTTTCATTAGATTTAATATAAGTTAAGATACTAAGAAAGCTTACCAAAATATCAAAACCATTGGAATCCGCCTGGGAACGGGCTATGATCTCCATGTACGTGTTGGTCAGCTCTTCAGTGGCGATCTTTTGGACGCAGGCAGCTGCCAGATAGGGGAAGATGCGATATTGCTGGGATTGGAATAAAAATGGGTTAGTATAATCATAATTCATTTTAAAGATCTTACTTACATGCAGTTGGTACTCCAAGATGGCCATCTCCTCGCCTTGTCGCTCTGGGCCAAATTGCTTTCGCACGGCGGCATAACGAACAGCGATTACGGCGGCACTACACAAGGTATTAGCCGATTCCTGCATTATGCCTATGCGTCCGGCGGAGAAGCTTTCGAGTGCTGCTCCAAGAACCTTGCCTGGTTCGGTAAATACACTTTCGTAAACCCCTTCCGGCGTTACGTCACTGGTGCGGTTGAGGAGATTGTCGCGGGGAATGCGATAGTTGGTGAACACCACAAAGCCATTGTCAATGCCATTCAGACCAGACTTCTCTCCAATATCGCCAACCAGGACTCCGGGATACGAAAGCAGTGTGTTGGGATCACGAATGGGAATCAGGAAACCATGAAGCCCATGATTCTCACCATCAGCTGTGTAGAGATTGGCAAAAGTCATGGCCACAGTGGCAGTTTTACCCAGGTTTCCCACCCAACATTTAGCGGCCTCAAAGTCGGGAGTGTTGATCACAAACTCCTGGGTATTGGGATCATAGGTGGCCGTCGTCCGAATGCTCTTCGTATTACTGCCATGCGAAAGCTCCGTGATGGCCAGACAGGTGATCACTTCCCGATTCCAAGCAGCCTCGATATATTTTGTGTGCTTTTCAGTGCCCATGGCACGAATGGCATTGTTGAATAAACCCACGCCCAAAGCAATCTTCACCGATAAGCTGGGTGAATAGCAGGCCAATGCCTCGTTGATGTACATCAAGTACTTGGTCTTTGCAGAGAAACTCAATTTTTCGATCTCCTTGGGCACCAAATCCAAGTGCTTCATGCGATTCACCTGCATGGCGCAAAGGCGCTTCTGCTCGTCCATTGGCAGCGTTCGGGAGGAGTGGGCAAAAAGGGGATCATTTTCCAGGCAGCGCCAGACTTTGTACTGAGAATTAAAAAGGATTCGTAATTAAGAACTTAATTGATTTCTACATTTCTTTAACATCTCAGAGAAAACACAAAAAAAAACCATTATTTTAGACATTTTTTGTCTGGATTTCAGTTTAAAAAACAAATTTCTTAAATTAATTTGTCACAGCTGCACTTTATATTGTTACTAAGCGTCATGGTAGAAATTAATTTTAAAATTCTATAACCAATTATTGGATAACAACATCAATGTATTGACTGTATTGAGTCTAGAAAGTTAAGCCAAATCTCAACGACATGATAAGCTGTTATGTAAGGCAAAAACCTCATCCATTACTACTTCACTTTATAAGAGATAGCAACCCACTTACCTTAATACGCAATCCCTGTTCCTTTTCAAAAATCAGGCGCAATCGTTTCCAGTCGAAATTGGCCCTCTTTCGGTATACGGCCAAGGGACCGCCGTTGGGAAGATCGGGAATGAAGCTCGTGTCCTCGCTGGCCATTGTGTGATTTTATTTGATTTGATTTCTACGAACAAAAGGAAGTGGAAAATTTGGCGGATCAGTGGAGTTGTTGACGATCGAGAGGCTACAGAACGTATGCGATCTAAAGCGAATGCTTAAATGGCCTAAACCGAACAGACAGCACAGCCAACAAGTGGAGCACTCGAACTGTTTTATCTGGAAGCGTGCAGTCAACTGAAGCCGTAGAAAGGAAAACGTCAAGAGGTTAGTTTTGGAGGCACTAAACAGTTGATAAGCAGTTTTACGACTACTGATCCTAGATAACTAAAGATAAGAACCGTTTACATTAAACTGCCAATACAAGTTTCCGAACCACTGGGAATAGTTTAAGTACGGTCTTAAACCAAAAATTAAACTGTTTCCATGTTTTCTGCTAAAGTTTTCCTTGATATTAATGTAATACATTCGAAAATAAAACATTCACCAAAACAAATGTATACACATTTTTGAGACTTAATCGAAGATCATGAACACTGCGTTTCAGAATGAGAAGGTGCGGATTACGCGCCAGGTGAAGCGAAATCTTCCGCATCGAAATTTCCGAGAGATCAACTTCGATCGCCAGACCATAAGGGAAGGTATTAAGCCACTGACATACGACGAGGCTCGACGACTTAAGGGTCCTGTTTTCGAGGCCCTGGAGGATGAGTTACGTCGTGCGGGATGTACCATGCTGCCGGAATTTCTGCACTGTCTGGCCACCAAAGAGCAGGGACTTTTCGAGAGTCTTAACATCAGGGAACGGCTATCTGATGACTCGGAATTGCTCTACGGAATGGTGGATCGTCTCCGAGATGCCGAACTGGCAGTTTGCTTGAACAAACATCGTGGCCTGAAACAGTGTTTCACTTTGTTTTTCGAGACAATGCAGCTGCTGGAGCCGTATCGCCAGAAATACGGATACGCCCTGGTGTCCCTAAATGAGCACATTATCTCTCTATGCCACAATATCGAAGGTCAAGAACGTGACGCCGCAGAATATATATCGCGTATCTACTACTCCTACGCCATGTATCTTGTGAACACAGGTCAGCGTGTCTCTGCTATCAAATATCTGCAAATTGCCATGGATCTTGTGAGAGGTCACGTCTGGACCGCAGAGGTGGGAATGCCCGCTGGCAGCCTTACGCTCCACGAGTTGGTGGCCCAGAATCTAGCCAGGCAACTGCTCATCCAAGGCAAGGCAATTGTACGACAACATCCAGAGGACGCTGTGGCCATGGCCCGTCGGGCGACAGTCCTTATAGCGGAAAGTAAGTGAGTACCATCATGCGATTTATATTTTTATGATTTTATTTATCAGTCAGCCTTAAAAAGATTTATTAAGCTCATTAAAATAGGGCTTGCCAAAGGTTATGCTTATTTATGATTTTTGAAACCACCTGCAAGGGTATTTATGATAAAAACAAATCATAAACAAGTTTAAAGTTATTTGCAAATGATAAATGGGCGTGACCTTTTATTGCTTAATTATTTTTTAATGGTTAATTTATGGTCCTTATATTAAACTTCAAAGAGATAACTCTCTCTGGGCCTGTAAAATCCAATTTCTTGGAAGAACTTATTTTGTTTATAGTTTAAGCAATAAAATAAAATTCGGTATCATATTTCTAATCAAACATTCAGTTGGCAGAGAAAAGAACATGGAAATCTTTTGTGATACCTTTCTTGAGCGAGCCTACTTCCTGATGGAGATTGGAAACTACAACTCGGCTCAGCAGTGTCTGGACCAAATCCGCACCCAGGTCTTGGCCTGCACCGAGTACCGCTTTGTCAAGCTTAACATTAAGTACTATTTGTTTCAAGGGCAATGCTCCGAAATGTAAGTAAACCATTCTTTTGATACCACTAAATGTAAGGTAAAACTTTCCCTAAAAAAGCTTCGAACACGTGGACAAAGCCATTTCCTCTTACAAGCGTGCTCTCCGCTTGTCCCGTCTCTACACCCATCGGGATCTGGAAGCAAAGATTCTGCTACATCTGGGAAAGATCTTCGCCAAGGATACTCAAATGACGAGTATTGCAAAGAAGTGCTACGAGCATGCCAAACGCATCTACGTGGACTTCAACGATCAGCACAGCCGCAAGATGGCCAATTATCTTCAGGCCAAGTTAATGGCCGACGAGATAACACCACTCTACATGGCAATGCTGAAGTCTTCTACTACACGCTACTGTGCCTTCTTCAATCTACGTCAGTGGAAAAATCGCTGTCGTCCTTTCTGGAAACGACTGGGTGATGAGATTATCAAACAGGAAACGGATAGCATTTACTGCCTGCTGGATGAGGAGAACGAGGATCCTGGCCACGAAGTGGCTCTTTACGACGATGTCGATCTCAAGACATTCAAGCTGGCCGAGGGAGACATCTGAGTTAGCAAAACTCCCTTTTGAGTTTAGAAAATTGAATCGTTTAATGTGAATTAATGTTAGATTAAAATTGTTACAGCAAGCAAAGGATATCTTTTGAGAAAATATCAACTAGTAAGAGATTATACTAGAAAGGGAGTTATCCCCTTTGTTTGGTAACTTGTTGACCATCTGACTAAGCTTCTTTGCACGCTTCCGACAAATGTCTACCACTCATTGGGGCTATGGAATCCCCTTGTTGAGGTGTTGCCATAAATGCCCCGAGTACTTAAGCATATTGAAGATTATTAAATCTTGAGAAGAATGCAAGTAATTATTGACTCTCGATAACTGCGGTATTTGATCACGCATTCGCCCCGTATTGCAAGGCTATCTTTGGAATACAAATGGAGTTACGTGAACTGGAGACCACACGGTTATTCAAGTACCCAAAAGCCCCGAACATGGACTGGTCATGCGGTAGTAATATTAAAAAGTATTAGCTCCTAAAACAGAAAGTATCAATGGTGGGAATATCATCGATATGGATAATCTTGTTAGATTTTAAGTCCCAGACATTTCGACACTTTCAATTGCTATTGACCATCTTATCTTTTGTATTTTTCACTTATGCGTCACATTAATACGCATATATGGACTTTGATTTGGCCACTTAAAGAGTTCTAAGAAGTCGAATTAATATGATAAGACTTATCTGTTATCTATAATTTTGAACAATTGCTTGGTCATGATTTCCCCGAGACACCATTCTGGTTCATTTTGACAACAAACATTTGTCCATCGAATTTATCTAATTTGTAGCACATGTTTCGTTTTCATGCTCTGATAAAAGCGGCAGCGAATGGCCGATTCGGTGTCAGCCCTTGGCTAATTATAACAATTATCAATAATTATACCAGCAAGCCTCGCAGTCACAGTGATAAGTTCTTATTGTCTAGGTTCGGGAACTTTTCAACTTGACGAAATGGTCGAGTAAGCGACCATAAACCGGTTTAATGGATCTCTCAGAATGTTTACTGCCGCACTTAATTAGCACAACTCAATTCGCAATCTCAGATATGTACTCGTACCCAAGTGTCCCCCACAATCTAAATTTGCGTAATCACGAGGAAACAGCGCTCCACTCAAAATTATTTGCTTGCACTCGACTCGAATTTAAGAAAGCAATGTTAAGGCATTTGAAAAGTAAAGAAAATAAATTATAATTTTAAGCGGAAACTGAAGTTGATAAACGTAAAAAGGGGCGTGTGTTTGTATTATTAAAAGAAAAGGGGGAATCTTGTTTACTTTGCAGCTTAAATCCAAACCAACTCATAAAATTAGAGAAAAACCCAAAAACTGATAACAGTTGGAGCAGCACTGAACAGCTGGCCGGCAAAGTAATAGTCAAACTTTTGGCTTACGTGATAAGCCCGCTCGAAATTTGTGGCCAGGTGAGGTTGTAATGAGCAAAACCCATTAGTCCCGACCCAATCGCTGTTGCGTGCCGGTCGAAATTGTCACAATTTGTTGGTCACCACCACCCTATCATGTGGGGGTTTCTATTTGTGAGTCAACCTTGAACATGAAAATAGCCGCAGTTTTATATTTATAAATACACTACGCGTATACACTCTTCCCTTTTCGATCAATCAAACTGGAGCTGGACGACCCGAGCGACTTTTTTGTTAAATGAATTACAATGCAATTTGCAGCGGCTAATTTCACTTTTATTTACACACACACACACCCCAGACAAATTAGCGCACAATCAACACTCTGGCACAGAGGGCCCTCAATTGTGGCCTCATCAAGCCCCAATTGAGGCGGATAACATGGCACAGTGAAAGGTTCCATTTATGGAAGTACTTCAATGATTCACTGAACTCAAAAAGTATATTTATAAAACTGATTCTTAATAAAACCGCACATTAAAAGCATAATTAAATGAATTTGTCACACTTTATCGCTTCTTAAAATACATTTCGAAAGTTAACTATTTGAGTATCATTTCACTTTAAATTTGTTTATCTTTTATAAATGCGTAAAGTTGGAATAACACATTTATTTTTAGTTATTCAAATTATTTTATTATCTACATTTGACACATTTATGGCCAATTTCTTTCACCAAATTTCACTGTACTAAAGGCCAACACACCCTGTATCCGATTTGTTTGGCTAAGGACTCGGTTTCTGTTTCTGGGCTGGCTCATATTACATCACCGCGAAGACAACAAGTAGGTAGGAACACGGCACTGTTTTTTGCCCATAGGGCGGGAGAGAGAAAAGTCAAAAGAAACGGAGTCAGAAACTCAGTTTCTGGGCCACGTGAGAGATGCTCTCATTGCTCATCTGTATGCGAAACACCAACCTGTGGCTCTTCTTTTCTTTTATTTTTGGCCCTACCTTTATCTTTTCTTTTTTATTATTATTTTTCCCGGGGGAATTTCGGTCTGATTAGATCCGAAAAATGAAAACTCTTAACCGACTGAGCTCATGGAATAATGGCAATTAAACAAAATTATACATACACACCCACGAAAGCGGAATTTCAAAGAGAACCGAGAACAACAACAACCGGCACACGACCGCGAGAGAATTGAGAATCGGGAAGCGGAATACTGGAGAATTGGGGAAACTACGAACCGACACGGCCAACTGATGGGAAGTGAATGAGCGGAGCAGAGCGAGAATAACGCCGCCTGATTCATCAAAGTATGGGAACCCTACGGTCTTTCATAGGGGCGAGTCCCACACGCACACCTAGAGAAATCCTGAGGGGTTATTGAATTTTGAATTATATGTATAATTCATTTTTAAAATTAATTCTAATAACAAAAGCAAGGACTTATTCTCTGAACTTTGCTTTGAAAGTACTTCTCATCTTTTAAACTCAACTGTTTTAGCTTTTGAGATTTTTTCTTCAGTGCACTCGATTCTCTCTTCCGTCTCTTTGAATGATTTGCGGGGGGCATTGGTGGGGTGTGGGCAGTGGTTCGCTGAGAGCTGGCCAAGATTCTTCTTCTTCTTCTTCACATTCTGCCTCAATGTCAAGTGGCTGTTGTCAGAGTGAGAAGGCAACAGAACCGTGGTTAACCGGCCGGCATCGTTGTACATTTGTGTGGGTGAGTATAGTATCCAAAAGTATCGGGGAGTGTGAGCGAGATGTGCAAAGATGTTAATGCGCAAACAAGATACAGAAAGTGGGAAACTACGTGTGGGTTGGAGTCTCGGCTAACGGCCTTATCAAGGCTGTCCTTGGCCTTAAAGAGATTTATTTCGATTTTGCAATTCTTCAGGTTATTAAACATTTCAAGTATGTTTAAAAAAAGAAAATAACTGTTTTTATATTATTTATGGATAATAGGTTCATAAAGGATTTTCAAAGAAAGGGCGCCATTAGAAATCAGAGATCTAGAATTTTACTATAATAAACTAACGCCCAAAAGTAGACTACGTCACACTTGCAAACACAAGCTGTAAAATTTGTTTCCAAAATTATAGCCAAAATTTGTTTCCAAAATTATAGCCAAAACACAAGGAAAAAAATTTTCCCACAGAGGATGTACCTTGAGATTTGAAATAGAAAACACGGAACTTTGGATTTATCATATTTATTTATCATTCTGTTCTGTGGTCTTTTCCTATCGAACGAGTAGCAATATCAAAGTGACCAACATTATTGATTAGGATTAGTGTCTGCTAATTGATTACGTTTGCTTTCTATTATCGTATCCTGCTCGAATGGCGTTAATTAAATTACTAAATTGACTCGGTTATACAAAGCACAGATGCACGGTAAGTAAGTGTACGGGAGGGGGGTGTAATGGGGGCACATGTGCGTGTGGGTTTGGGTTCGTAAATCGTATAAAAAACAGTATTATATCCATAACTATAGTTTGGCAGCTGCGAATTCATCCGAATATCTTGTCGAAGCAGGTGTGGCAGTACGGCTTGTCCTTTTGCTCCTTGAAAGTTCCCTTGTTCAACTGCTTGAGGCAGAAGGCGCAGACGAAGTGTTCCGGGTGGAATTTCTTAAACATGGCCGTGATGCAGCGTCCGGTGATGGGTTTCGAGCAACCGGCACACAGTGATCCTCGCTTGGCATGGTAGTGCGTCTCACAGTACGGCAGACCCTCGTGGTCGAAGAACGAGCCACCCTGGAAGGGCTGTCGGCAGTCCTGTGAGCGATAGTATAAAGAAAGATTTTAGTAATTGACATTAAAATTAGATATTTATTAAGTAAAGGCATTAGAAGAGGGATGATAGATGCACAAGAACCTTGTAGAAACGCAGTATATGAAAACTAGAAACGGTTACTACGCCTCAAGATCAAAACTACACCATCTTGGCACTAGCCATGTACCTAATGATAATGTGTGTTTCGGGAATATATGCGAGGTACGAGGATGATGTATGGTGGGCCAAATGGCTTTTGCAGTCCCCGTCTGAGGCTAATTACGACCATAAATTAGTTGCCATATAGCATGACGGACCAGGCCAAAACCGATCGAGAGTCGACAACATAATATTCGCTGTGCAAAATTTTACGCCTGGCCTGAAAAACCTAATTAGAATTTTGTCAGCAACCAAAAGTGTCGCATGGAGGACTTTGATACCCTGGCACCACTGTGCCTGAGTGTCAAGCTAATTGGAAAACAAAGATTGTACATTTCACAGAAAACAAGATTTGAGGAAATTTAAATATGATAAATATATGAAAGAAGAGTGCCCAAGACATTTGTTTCATTCTGTTTTTTTAGGGGCTTTTGGAAAAACATTTCAGCAGCCAGAACAGCAACAATTGTCTTAAGACAATAACATTTTGCGCACGCTTTTGGCCAGCATCCAAAAGCGAGGGATTGGTTAGAAAGAAAGAGAGGGGCCAGAGGACGATATCAGCCAACTGGCAACAGCAATCGAACCATGGAACTAAGGATCATTGAGAACGTGATATCTGCTAGCGAATACCTATTTTCGCTTTTCACCACCTCAGACAAATCAATCATTCCATAAACAACAGGTGCAACAATTTTCCAACCCAAAAAACCATTTCGTAATACTTCTTTGTTGATCATATGAAAGGAAACTCATAAGTGGGGCACAGCAAGAAAATTTTAACCAAATAATCAATAACGATATGAACTAAAAATAAATCAAAAATATATATATATATATATATATATGGCACGAATTCTCTCCTTCAGTCAATGGAGAATTTCAATTATGTATTTTATATATTTATATAGTGATTGCATTTTTGCATTCTTGAAATTGATCTATTTTTGGCAATACTCGTACATTGGGATATTGTTGAGATTTTTATAAATTTAGTTGGGCCAATCAATTCAATTAACACCCTGGGATGCCCATTAAAGACTGGCAATAAACAGTGCTAGTCTTATGTCCATTATAGACAGATATATGGCCAAGTACTATGCGGAGCATATAAATGCTGACTACAACCGTCAGCAACGAAAATAGTCTTAGTTTTGGTGGAAATTATTGCTTTCGCTAATCGAAAGCCGAAAATTGAAAATTGAAAATCGTATCTACAATATTGTAATTTGTTTATCAACCGGAAAAATAGCAACAAGAACAAAAAACTGAGGAGAAGGTGGAGGTGGGACACAGCAACAGACACATGTGTCAAGGCCAGCTGACACTGACACTGACCTTGACACGAGGTCCTATGGTGGGTGGCTTTGGGTGGGCGGTTTATAGCCGCCCGAAGGTCGCCGCCACCTTGAAAAGTCAAAAAACACTTTTCAACTTTTCCAATCCCCATTTTCTGTTCTTGTTTTTTGTTGTTTGTTTGTTTTTTTTTTGTGTTTGTTTCTATTTTTTGTAATGTTTAATTATTAAAATTTTATTTACAAAAACAAATTACAATATTGTTGGTCATTTTCATAAATGATTTCAAATTTAAAAAGTACCTATTAACTTAAGCCTACAAAAATTGCATAGAAAAGTGTTCAACAAGTCGTGGGAGTTCAGGGGCAAAAGGGGGGCAAAAAGACCATCATAGAGGGCTGGTTTTCGGGGACTCGCGAGACTCATTGTCCCCAGCGGCACCTGCCCCTTCGGGAGGAGCGGGCCAGCTGGGCGAGCGAAAAAAAGGGGGTAATAAGGGGGTTAAATTGCTGTTGCCACTGCCGATGTTGCTGCTGTGCGTGTTGCTGCTGTGTATATGTTGCTTTTGTGTTGCTCCTAGACCCGCAACGAAAATAGCCCGAGACGGACGGCGGGCAGCTGTTTTGGCCGCCCGAAATCTTCATGACGCTGATAATAAAAAAAAAGTGGCACGCAGCTAGATACAAAAATGTATCTGAAGCCGCTGCCACCGGGTTCTATTTTCGTTTTGGCTGCTGAACTTCAGCAACAAGTTTGCTGCTGTTGTTGTTGTTGTTGTTTTTGGATCTCTTCTACTCCTCCTCATCGACGCCCACGCACTGTGGACATACGGGCTTGCCCTCCATGGCGTAGAAGGACTTGCCGCGAACGGCCTTCTTGCAATCCTAAAGGATAAATTTGATCAGGATGAACGATTAAAAAGTGTACAAATGATCAGAATTAGCAAAAGGACAAGGCAAATGAGAGATTTTAGAATCTCCAGGGATTCTTCTTCAGCCTTCTAAATGATTCATTTGATATGGAAGTGAATGTGAAAGTAAAAACATGAAAAATGATATAAAAGCTGAAAAACCCCTTTTCTATCTTCTGGGCTAAAGTAAAATGACAATATGAATGGATTATTATAGCATATAGATAGGGCAAAGAAACCTACCCTGCAGACGAAGCAGTCCGGATGCCACTGCGAGTTCAACGCCGAGATGTAGTTCTCCATGATGGCCCTGTTGCAGCCATTGCACTTCGGGGCAAACATCTCGAAGTAATCGTTGCGACAGTAGGGCTTGCCATCGCGCTCATGGAATCCCTCCTCGCCGAACTGCTGGCCACATTGGGCGCAGAAGAAGTGCTCTGTGTGCCAGGTCTTGTCCAGCGCCGTTACGCACTTGTCCAGAATGGCACCGTTACAGTAGGCGCAACGTGGGCTAAACAGATTATGGTAATCCGGTTCGCAGTAGGGGAAGCCATCGCGTTCGAAGAAATTGCGGGTACCCAACTCCTGGCTGCAGTGATTGCAAGTGAAGTGCTCTGGATGCCATGTCTTGCCCAGGGCGGTGATCACCTGGCCAACAATGGGCTTCTCGCAGGCATTGCAGCAGCCCTTCTGTACGGTATTAACTCCTTGGCGACTCATATTCGCTTGTAAATTTCCTAGCATAGAATCCAACTGATCCTCGCGACTGTCCTCGACGATGGTCGTCTCCTCGATCGTCTGGGTGAGATGGGCCTGTTGGCTACCCTTGTTCGGTCTGGCGTAGTCGGTTACCGTCTGATGTTGCACCGTCGACGAATGCTGTTGCGAATGACTTCCGTTTCCGATGCCGTTTGTTCCGTTGCTAACCTGTAAATGTGAATAACGATCCCGATTAGTACTATCCCAACTATCCTCTGGTGATCCTGCGGCGGTGGTCTTACGTCGATGTGCTTGCCTCGACTGAATCAAAAGTTGTGTGAGCGCTAGCACAAAAACTTTTGCTTTTAGCCGCCGCCACCAAAAAAAAAATATAATCAAAATATCAAAAATAATGTTTCTCTTCCTCTTCGCACAGATTCTCCTGACTGAACTATATAGTCATATATCTGAGTGTGTGTGTGTGCGAGTGTGTGTGTGGACCTCGTTGCGCACGACGCTCTCCTCATATGCAAAGAAGCATTTTTCTTCTACGTTGACGTAGTTTTCGTTCATTGCCAAAAATACGAAAGAACGTAGGAAGAGTGGGAGGAGTGGGCGGCCAAAGGGGATTCTCCTTTGTATGTGAATGTGGGTGAGAGTGTGTGTGGATCTTGTCTGTCGAGTCTCCATTTCAATATTCAATTTTTCTTTCATAAACTTTGCATTTTCATTGGGCGTGCTTGTGTTCTGCCTGCTTCAGCTTAACTAAGTAGATGCCTAATTGAGCGTCCTCAGAGATTGGCAGGGGGAGGATCAGTAAGGGAAAGGCAAAGGGCTTATAATCTAGAGCTGAGAGTTTGAAATTCTTTGTGTTTTGGCATTAAAATAAACCCTTTCTTATTTTAAATATTTTGTATATTTTTTATAGAAAGCTTTAAATATATATTACAGGTTTTTCAGCTTAGCAATTCAGATTTTCTTGACTCTTTTCAATGATAACTAACTGTCTTTGCATTTAACACTATTAATGAAACTTTTAAAAAAGAAAATATGCATTATGATAAAGTTATAAAATAACTCAAAATATTTTATGACTAGACCTGAAAAACCATTAAGCGTGGACAGCTAAAACCCATAGTAAGATCTGAACTACGATGGCTACAGGATGCCTAGATCCTCAACCAAAAATCTTGCATAGTTCAAACTTTTGATTTTTTTTGAAAAATTTGAATTCCTTTAGCCAAAAATAAATATAAATATTACCCGCCTTGTTAAAAATAAAGTTTTATTTCCTATTAAATTGAAGATATCTCACAGTTCTAACAACATATGCCCGCCCACCCGTTCCACTGAAACTCCGCTCCTGTTTCCCCTACCGCGCCAATTGCCATAGCCTAAAGCGTTGGCGGGGATTTCTTATTTCAATATTTTCGTTGGCTATTTTAAGACCAAAATCGTACACAAGGCAGTGGAACTGCTGAATTCGTCGCTTGCCGTGGAGTATAAAAATGAACGTCGACCGGCTGGTCAACAGGATTTCCCCATAAAAAGCGCATGAGCGTGTTCGGCACACGTTTCCAGTCGTGGCCAATAAGCCAGGGAGAATCCAGGGGGGACAGGAAGCAGGCGCAGAGGAAATCTCGATCAATGAATATGGCGCGGGTGGCGGAAAGGGGCGGTAAATGCGAATACGAATGCGGTTTTGAAACGGCAGATGGATGGCAATGAAAGCGCAAACAAAAATATAGAAAATATATCAGACACTCTACAAGCACACAGTTATAGCAAAATGGATTGGTTGGGTTATAGAAATAAAGGGGGAAAATAGAATAAAAAACGCTTTCGAAAATAGCCATGCAAATGATTTGCAATGAAAAACTATAGCAAAACGCGGCGCTGTGGAAAACGCGTTGACAAGTGGGAGAGGAGGGTGGGCGGTGCGACTAACTGTCCGTTTGTGGTGTTCGTCTGTGTGTGGGTAGGAAAAGTGCCGGGAAAATCCGACGGGCCGTGTGCAATATTGTTTATATCCGAATATATTTGTATTTTTTTTTTTTTTTATATATTTGCGCTTTCCATACATATAGACAGAAAGAACGGAGGGGCCAAGAGGCTTTTCTATTTAATTTTCATATTTATCATATCAACAAAAGTCACGGACACGCCTTGCCACGCCTCTTGCCTCGTTTGGCCGCCCCCCTGGCAGACGCTTGGCAGAAAATTGAAAATGATATTAAATAATTACCAGGCGGCCCGACCTCTCATATACGCGATACTTTCTATATGCACGCCTGCCATTCGTCAATGACATTGAATTGCAATTTACTCAAAATCTGAAGAATCCATTCACCTTCTCCCCACTTGAATGTCTGCTGCTGTGGCCATCGAATCGATTGCCAACAAACTAAAAGATATGTGCATAAATATTTTTCACTTAGTAATTAATTAATAATTAATGCAAAACGAATGCCGCGGCGACAAACTGACAATTCGCGGCATTCCCTGCTGACATCTTGAAATTTAAGGCAAAAGAAGGTCAAGACTAGAGCTAGGGTAGGTCTTAAACTTCTAGATCATAAATATGTTATATCATTTAAAATATTTAATAAAAATTTAAGCAGAAATGCCACTAACTGTCAAAGTATATAGTATAATTAAATAAAAGATAGCCAATAAATCACTGGGTCTATGGTCCCAAAAATGTTTTTAAACACTTTTGCTTATCTGCCTGTCAAGTCTTGTTTTAAATGAATTTTCAAAGAAAAATATTTAGCATTGTTTATGGGTTAAAGAAAATAATTTTAGTATTTTTATTTATGCACAAGTAGGGCACTTAAAAAATGTCTTGAAATTGCATAAATAAATCGCCCAGAACGAGAAGGGAAAAGGGAGGGAGCATTTTACCGCATTCACAGACTATATATAAATCGCATTCCTTAGCCTTCACTGAAATGTTGTTTTCGGTTCCAATCCAATGATTGATGCATTCCATTAACGAACCAAGCCAAGGACATTCAATAAAAGGAAACTCTCCCTGCAGCCTTGACCCAAATTCATTTCAATGAAAGAAAGGAGCAGCCTCAGTGCAGTACTCATACTGATATATCAAGAAAAAAAGATCATAAAAAGCGGCGTAAAAAGACCAAACGAAATGCAAAAGACATCTGCTAGAATACATCATCCAAATAGGCGTTCCGTTCAAGATGTCAGAAAGTTCTAAAAACAAATGTCAGCCATGTGAGAGGAAGAGACGTAGAGGCATGGCCATAAAACGAAAAACAGGCTAATCCGAATGAACGGAAACAATAATTCCTATTTTTTGGATATATTCTAAGGAGATGTGCAGTGCACATTATCTTTGTTTATTCAATTGCCAGCCAAATTGATTGATGGCCTAATGAGGTACGGTTAGAAAATATATAATAAAGCTGCATATATCTAAAGCTTTAAATGTCTTGGCGCCGTGTGCAATAAATCGTGTGACAGCCACTATAAATGCTCGCCATCATAATCAGACTTCATTAGCCTAATCAATTTATGTGGCCCATTAAAGTATACCCAATATCAGTCCACCTTCGTTTTGTCATGGCAGATGTCAAAGTCAAGATCTTTCTCGGCTGTTCTGTGACTTCTCTAAGGGATCTTGAGCATGGGCATGAGCATGGGGATCTATGGATCTATGGCAGTGTCATTAGATTCGCTCGGTTGCCATGCGTCAGACGATTTACGATGATATATCTGCTAATTTTATGGTTTTCATTACAAAACACAACCAAACCAAGCAGTGGGGCTGTCTCCTGCTAAAAATATCCAAATACATAGTAGAAAAGCCGAAGGATGAGGTGGTAGGAAAATACAAAGCCCTCGGCCATATGCTAACTGTTTTGACGCTTTTCAAAGTGAGCGTATCCCTTAGACAGGTGAAAAAGTGAAAACATTTGTGATAGATTTAGATTTGCAACAATCTAATTACACTGTAAGTATTAGCCGAATTTGGGAAGACTTAAATGGCAAATTGTAGAAATACTTTTATTTCTGCATTTACGGAATATGGTTTTGTTGCAATATTTTTAAGTAAATGTAATACCAATATCAGATCTATCAAGATCGTGTTTTAAAAGTTAAGTTTTATTACATTACTTTCGGCTATCAGACACGAACTAAGCATTTGGGCATTCCTATAAAAATATGATCAAAATATATTTGTTTTCCAGCTTATTAACAAAATTAAATATTGATCTCTAATGAAACGAAAAGCCTTAAATACGCAGACTATTTTCTAACAACTTAGAAAGCTTTTCAACTTTACAGCTTTTTTAAACAAAACATAAAATGCCGTGGTTTAACTTTAAGTTATCCCGTAATCGAGTTAAATTCATAATATAATATTTTTGAAATGAAATAGTTTTAAAATATTTATCTAATTATAATTTTTGGTTATTATTAGTTTAGTCAGTTTATTTTTCAAGTTTCAATTAAAAATGTATAAAAAATATTGATTTAAAAATATAGATAGAATATATTTTAGAAACTTTTTCTATTTAAGGTCATATTATATTAACTTTAAGAAACCTTTAATAGCTAATTTGACTGTCTATAAGACTTACCTTGAAGTCGGATAAAGATGCCATCAAGTCATCTAGTTCCTTGGTGGCCTGCGATGTATAAGCCTGATGGACCTGTTGGCCCGGAACAGCATGGTTGGGCGTATAGGAATCCTTCTGCTGAACAATCTGTTCCTCCACAGTGCCAACTACAAAGACAAACGAAAATTAGAATCAAGAAGTTATTATAGTAACTTGTTTAATACCTGGTCCATCGGGTCCCGACAGCTTCTCCGTCTTCGTTTCACGAACGGTGATGGTGACATGACGTCCCGGCGTCGGTGATTTGTGTGCAGATCTGTGAAGCACATAGATACAGATTCATAGTTAGTCTCTATTTCCGTAGATAGGCTTTATCTTAATAGTCTTACCCATTGGGCACAGCATAGATATGAGCATTGTCCAGTTCATTCAGCAGGCTGTCCATTGTGGGACGCTCCTCCACGGTGGCATAGCTATTAATCGTATTATATTTCGAGACTGGAGTGCTGTAGTTCACCGGAATATCGATATCTGAGGAGAGTAAAGGAGTATGTGATTACTAACAGATCAGAAAGGTAGATTGGACAGAGAAATAAATAAACAGATCATTTCAAAACTGATTATTCTTAAATTTAGACCCTGTAATGCCAATAAATCTATCATTTCCCTCACCCTTCTTGTCCACCCCATTGTAACGAGCACTCTGCAGATCCTGCAACAAGGAGTCTAGCTCTGAGAGTCCAGTGTTTCCTGCCGCCGCCTGTCGTGGCAGAGATCCCTGGTTAACGTAACTCGGCACCGTCGAGGAGCCATTGTAGTCCTGTCCTCCCGTTGGGGAACGTGTCTCTACGCTGTAGTGCTCTTGATACTAGAAAATTAGAAAAAACTGACTTAATATTGATTTTAAATTATAAATAACTATAAAAACTTACCACCTGGGGCTGGGCTTTGCCCCTGAGACTTCCATAACCAGGCGTGTTGTCTACAAACTGTTGCTGTTGTTGTTGATGTTGCAAGGGTTGATGCTTGGGCTGGACAGTACCATATTGGGGCTGGGGCTGCTGCGGTTGACCCGGCACACTGTTCTGCAGATCGGCTAAAAGGGCATCTGTAAGAAGAAATGGGAAGAAGAAAGTTAGATCTTGGGTAGTCAAAAGATAATAAACATATATAGTATTGATTAGACTTTACTTTATCTTTTGGGCTTTACGTTACGTTACTCTTTTCAAAGGTAGTATTTGAAGATTGTCTTTTTACATGACGCTTTTAATTCCCTTCCTGAAAGCTTAAACTTTCTTTTATTTTTTACTTTCGTTTTTGTTATCTATTAGTTTTGGTACATATTTCAGATCATCTCTTAGTTAAACACCCATTTTAAGTCCATACCCAGATTGTCGTAATCCCCATAGTTGGCCATAGCACTTTTTCCTCCGGTATGTCTCAGTTAATTTTCTTTTTAAATTCCAAACTTGAAGCACCTGTGAGTGCGCGTCTGACGCATAGCTAACTAAACGGAGATCCCATTCCGGTGCCATTTACCTTCGTTAGCTGTCACATATCGCAACAAAAAAGTTTCTGATAACATTTTGTTTGTTTTCTTTTGTCTTGAGAGATATCGCCCAATACCTAGAATTACTTCTGTGGTTTGTGTCTAGGGTAACTGGTACAGAGCAGAATCGAAAGCTCGCTTCAAAATGATAAGTACTCTATAGGCTATACATTTTGCTAACAAAAGCGAAAGGAATAATAGGCTTACACAAGAACCAAACAATTTATGACTCTTGAGACTTATGACAAATCTAATTTTTCATTGGAAAACTTTAGTATTATTGATATTTTTTATATATAAAAATGTGTTTCATACAGAAAACCCATGAAGCACCCACAAAAAGGTGCAATCACACTTGAACTTGACCCCAGAAGACACCTCTAATTAGGCCTTCAAAGACATCATTATTAACCCTTTAATGCCCACGCTGCATTTGTTTCCCATTAAACAAACTTACCCAGACGTCTCTCAAACTCGCCCACTTTAAAACAATCGCTGAGGGGCGAACTGTGGAACGATGATGATATCAGTTTGGAAGACATTTCTCGCACTAAATTTGGCCAGAATCGATAGTTTCGTTTGATTGTCACTCAGTTACCGATGCGATATGCTAAATCTCGTTATGTCTGGATCACTATAAACGGTAGTTTAGTTAAATATTTTCACCGGCTTAGCAACAACAACAACAGTTAAGCCGAAAGTTCAGTTGCCAACTGACCAAATTAAAGCACCCAAAAACTCAATCAACTCGGGGCCAAACAAAGTCAGGCCAAAAAGACACCCACACTGCAGCCCAAAACTAGCCAAAAACACACACAGAGTACGAGGGTGATTATATAGAAATGTATATAAAATCAACAGAGAGCGGGGACCTAACATCTATACACCGTTTTTTTTTTGATTCAGTTTAGGTGGGACGAACTTGTCGAACGGGCTAAAAATCGCACCAAGTCAAGAAATATCGCATCAACACGATGCCATAATATTTGGCCAGTGTATTAGTGTTTCTTTAATGTGCGCCTGCCTCATGGAAAACATATTTGATCAAATTAATGTTGTTTGCATTCTTTTCGCTTATAATTCAGCTAAGAGCAATGGGGGGGGGGATAGGGAAGTGGCTAAATAAACATGATAATAGCGCATGAATAAAGTTGCCGATAAGTTGTAGAACACAGGGAAAAATAATATTAGTTCTAAATTCCGATCAAAGGTTGTTTAATAAGCTAAATTTTAAATGTATCATTTAAATTACCTATCACAAATAGGAATTACATATCTTATTTTGTAAATTAGAAAGTCTTGAACATTTTTCCCCGTGTACAAAAAACATTAGATTGAGTGTGCTTAAAGTTACTTTGAGGCTTGCCGAAAGTATCTATTGGATGTCTTGTATCATCAGCTGTCATATAATCGCACTCAACGCCATTCATTTGACCCACCCACAACAACAACAAAAGCCACTAAAACAGCAGGAAGACATGACAGCAAGCGATTAAGCCATAAGGCAAGAAAATAAATCATACAAAATCCGAACATTTCACCCGCGTGGAGAGTTCAAAATCCGGGGGCGGGAGGGAAAATGTTGGGAAAAAGGCACACCTGTAACTGGGCCAATGCCAAAATCGAAAGAGCGTCTCGAGCAGCTAGAACATCGAGTGAAAACTCAACCGTATATCACTCACTTTGAGTTATGTATATGAAATATAAAGGAAAATAAGGTGTGACGCGATTCATTCGTTTTGGCAAGCAAATTCATAACAAGTTCGTATAAAAATCATCAAGAGGCCGCCGATGCTCGATTTTATATTCGAAAAACATTTTGCATTCAATATTGGCCTGTGAAAATCAGCCAAATTATTTCGCAATATTTTTAAAAATAGTCCAAAACCGAAAGATCGAACATGTGGTTGACGAGAAAATGATTTGAACGACCATATGTGGGGTCTCTGTACTCCCATTTCCAAGTATTCTCCGGCTGGGAAAGACGGATGGAAGGGGAGATCATCTATAAATAGGACAGGGCAGGGTTATCAGAACGTCACGCTTCACTGGGTCAACGCGTCTAAAGAGAAGCCGACAAAAAAGATGAACGGGATTTTGAAATTTATGGCGCCGAAACGGAAATACATTTTTCTTACATAAATCTTATGCACCGTCAAATGAAGACAAAAAAAAAAGATCATTTTTTAAAAGTTTTGATTTGGTTTTAATAAGAATTGGTAGGAAATCTTAGGATATAAACTTTTGAAGTTTAATATTTGAAGTATTTAAGCTAAATGCATCACTATAGTACTGGTTGCTCTCAAATCTAGTTAACTAGTTATTAGACGCCCACTGTCTTTTATCTCAGTGTATAAAAATATGTCCAATAACCAACATGATTGCTTAACGAGGGGAGATACCATCAAAAGACATTTCACACATTAGTTTCGTAGAATGCAATTGGCAGAAGCCTGTGGCTTGATTAAAATGCAATTAAAATCAATTAAGAGCCAGCAGCCGAGTGAATAAGCCATTTATTTATTATTTTCCAAGGCGGAGTTGCACTCAAACTTAGTTTTCAGTACAGTGGGAGTGCGAGGTGGTGGAAGGGAGACAGCTGCACATGACAGCTGTTGAAATTTTGCAATGACAACTGGATGCAACGAAGGAGCGAGCAGGAGGAAAGACCGAAAGAGCGTGGGTGAGAGAGGCAGGTAAATACACTCGCGCGAATTGTTGTTATTGTCCGCTCTCCCTTTTGCACACTCTTCTCGTTGTAGTTGTTGTTTCTGTTGCTGTTGTTGACATTGTTACATATTTATGTTGTTTTTGGTTTTGTTTGGCTCGTTTTGGGAGCACTTTCGATTTTCATTTTGGGCGGCTTGTTTGCGGTTTTTTTTTGTTTTGTGTTTTTTTTTTCGTCTGTTGATATTGCTGATCGATTGTGGCTGCCTTAATTAAATTCCCGCACACTAACACACTAACACACCCGCGAAAAGACTTCACACATACGGGGCAGCAGCAGTAGCAGCACAGAAATTATTTTCGCTCGGCAAAATCTTAAAAGCAACTGAACAAGACGCTCGACAACAAATTCCGCTGAAGCTGCGCGCACTCAACGCTCAACCCCTCATCTCACTCACTCACTCCCACTCACGCTCATCACTCACGAACTCGCACTCGAAGCATAGCCACTCACTCGAAAACGAAATTCATTTCGAGTGCAACTCACGCGCTCAGTTGCAAAACATTTACAGTTGAAGCAACACAGCAGCAGCACCACACGCAATGCACTCAGAAAAACAATTGGTTTTTAAATAATACTAGCAAATATTGTTTATATACAGTACCCAAATGATACATTTTCTTTTCTTTTTATTGGTTTGACTCGACTATAAAGAGGGAGTACTCGTTCATTGTAAGATATTTTCAAAACAAAGAAAGAATTCTTTCTTTATCTTTGCCGAAAATGAAAATTAATTTCCTTAGAATTTAGGAAATATTTCTCCGAGTATAGAGGTGTTGAGTAATTATGGCCATTTGTTGTTGCGTAGGCGAGTGTGTCACATAGTTGGTGGCGCCACCTGGCGTCTGCCTTTCGCAATAGCCTTTTTACTCAATTCCCGAGTGTTTTGCCTCTTTTTTTTTTTGGCCAAATGAATGAATCACTTGACTTTGAAAAGAAAACTAAAATTAGTAGCATAACAACAACAATAGCAACATCTAGTCACAAATTGTTATGGCTTTTGTACGGAATTAAGTGTTTTTTGTTTTATTCTTTTATTGTTTTGTGTCGCTTCAACGGGGCGATGATTTTGCTCAATTGATTTTTTGGTTTAAAAGTATTAACAGGTGAATACAATTTCCACCTTTGGAGTCACACAGTATAAGAGATTATTTATTGGTGGAAACTAATAATAAACAGATGGCCCCGACCTGTGCCAATTCAAAGTCATAAAAACGGGTTCTGCTTTATCGATAAGCTCTCAACGGCGTTGTTTTATTTTTTGTTGTCACTTCCCACTTTATGAGATTAACCGCCAATGTAATCAATCAAACGGATATCGGATGCCCTGAGGAGATCACCTCGGCAATTAGAATATCTTGCGTAATGCCAACCTAAACAGGTGTAGTATATGCTGTCACAATTGACACAACCAGACAAAACTATAAATCGGCCTTTTTAGTTATTAACTTTTTTGATTCATAAAGATATTAATATATTAATACTCCCAAGAACTTTCATTGGAATATCAATTTCCAAACGCTTTGATATACTTGCTAGCCCTATCATTACGAAACGCACTTTATCCACACGGATTATGCCTGTATTTGTTGCCAAAGTGTCGTGTCTGGTAATAAATAGAACACAAGTTTATTGAAAACCACTGACGCCCACCGCTTCGATACTTGGATACATGGCTCCGCTGTCGTCTCAATGGGAACAATGATCTAATGATCTAATGAATGAAACGCGTAGTAAGGTCAGCGACTACCAGTCTACAGATTGTAAAGCGAGTCCCACACCGCAAAAGCTCGTCAGACTATGAGGCTTACCGATTTTCATGTCAATCGACTACTGACTGTTTGCTCACAGATCGCTTATTAAACAAAATCCGATGAAGACCGCACAACGTCGAAATGCAAACTGAATGGGGAATATTCAAATCGTGTGCTGACAACTGGAGAATGCGATGCCAGTGCAATCGAAGGTGTTGGCTTGTGTGCAATTAACATTACTCCAAGCAGATGTAAACAAACATGCTGAGCAAATACACTTTCAAAAACGAGTTTTGCTTGAGAGTTTGAGAGCCATATCAAAAATATTTACTACTAAATATCATTCTTCTAAATCTTTTTTTAAATAATTTTGTAAGGTTAATTGGCAATCATTAAAAAAACAAACTAATCGATATGTGTCTTCAATTTTTTAATTAGAAACATTGATTTTTTTCGAGTGTATGCATAAATAGGCTCTAAAAATGCTTAGGGCTATCCTTTGGAAATGGAAAAAAACTGGCAAGATAATGCTAGTTTTGTTAACTTTACACTCTATGCATTTGTATACATTGTATAGTTGATTACCTCATCTGCTGGGTGTTTGTGGTGCAATTGTTTACATCAACTTTAACAATGATTTCCTATGATTTTCCTAATGCTCTAGGCAATTTTAATAATCCCCGCCGAAAAGATTGCTAAGAAAAGAAATATTACTTCATTTTGTAATTGGTACCTAAAAACATGCTACAGTTTTATATTTTTCGTAATATAACATTTCGTTTTTAGAAAACAATTTACGATTATTAAATAATGTTATTTAGCTTTAACTAAACTCCTTATTTATCTAATCTATTAATATTTCTCAAACTCATATTTATTTAAGAAGAAATCTCTTGTTAAGATGAAACCTGTTCATAGCCAACAGAAAGCAATCAGAAGAAAGAACTCAATACAAGACGCAAATATTACCAATTAAAATCAAAATGTAAAAAGGTTAATGTCTTTTAAGAATGATAACAAAGAACAATTTTATAAGCACTGCCAAACATAAGGTATAAAAAGATGAAAAATCTTAACAAATCAGTCAGTCAACGAGAAAATGTGGAAGAAATTGGTTCAGTTTCTTTTGGTCCTCGCCAGTTTTAAGCTAGGATCCTCCTACGATAGATACTCCACCCAAATATTTAATGGTAAGCTCTGACTGAGAAATAATTCACATATTATTAATCGCCAAACATTTTAAGGAAACCCAAACAATATAGCCCTTAACTCAGATCCTTTTGTAAAGATAAATGAAGGATTCTATTACTTTGGCCAGGATAAGGTGAACTGGTATGTCGCCTATGAGAACTGCCGGAAGTTGGGATCCGAATTGGTGACCTTTGAAACTCAGGAAGAGTTTGATGCTGTTATTGGATACTTAAAAAGCAAGGGAGAACGAACGAAAGCACTGGACATCCGGAAATGATCTGGGAAAGACAGGGACTCACAATTGGTTTACCAGTGCTCAGCCCATAAACATAAACCGCTGGGCCCATGGACAACCTGATAATTATAAAGGAAATGAGCATTGCATACACTTTGGCTACATATACCCAAGCTCAACGGATTTCCAACTAGACGATCATCCATGCGGCACCTCAACAAAGTACGTTTGCGAAGCTCCAAAACAGGAAACTATTTCTATAGTTGTATGGAAGTAGAGGGTTTAATCTTCATTTAAAGAAAGGCTTTTGGTCTAAAATTTGTATTTAAAACTTTACTAAAAATATAAAACAACAACTTTTGTGAACCTTCCCTGTTAAAATAAAATTAAAAGCCAACAGAAAACAAACATTAAAATTAGCAATGTTAATAGGAATTTCAATGACTTAAGTCTTTTCACTTGCGACTTTCAATCAGTAACCACAGAAATGCTGAAGCTTACGGTTTTAAGTCTTATATTCCTAGCCCTGGCAAATAGTGGATGGGCTCGCGAAAAGTTCACGATTCAAATAGCAGAGGGTAATTATATGTTAAGTAAAATAAAAATTAAAACTAGCCTATTCATTTTTGTAGGCAATACCGTTGATGCCGAACTCAAGGCAGAACCCTTTGTGAAAATAAACGGTGGATATTATTTCTTTGGAAGGGAGTCCTTGAACTGGTACGAGGCATACGAGAAATGCAGGGAATTAGATTCGGAATTGGTAACATTCGAAACAGATGGCGAATTTGATGCCATTTCCGCTCACTTGATGGCCAACAGATCGCGGGAGAACTACTGGACATCGGGTAACGATCTGGGTAAAACGGGAACTCACAAATGGTTCACCAATGGCCAGCGTATAAGTACCCTCAGGTGGGCAGTACATCAGCCCGATAATGCTGGCCAACGGGAGCACTGCATCCACTTGGGCTATATATATGGCCACTCCCAGACATTTGAACTGAACGATCGTCCCTGCTCGCAGGATAACAACAGTTTGTTCAAATATATATGCGAGGCCCCAAAGTTGGAAACCATATCTATTGTGTTGTGGAAGTAAAGTGAAGTAGATTCCAAGCCTTGGAAACTATTAATTACAAAGTTGACATTATTGGTCGTTATCAATCGACAAGGATTATTCTTTTGATTTACGTTCATATTAATAGGAAATAGTACTTAGTAATCAAGAATACAAATATTTGAGCATACTTTTTAGATTGTGATTATTAAGGCTATAAAAGCAGCACTTCACAATTTCAAAAAAGATGTATTAATTATTGCGCCCTATTTCCAACTGCAAATAAAACCTTTTCGTATAAATACGTCTTCGACTGATTCACATTTTGTCAGTAATAAACAAAATGCAGAAGAAACTAGCTCTACTCCTCCTCCTGGTTATCGTCAGTTTCCAGAAGGGACATTCTTACGAAAAATTCACTACCAAAATACAAAATGGTAAGCTTCTGTTGTACTTTAACACACTCATTACACTCTCATTCCAAAATTTCAAGGTAATCCAAATAATGTGGCTATAAACTCTAGCCCCTTTACCAAAATAAACAACGGTCACTATTACTTTGGCCAGGATAGGGTAAACTGGTATGTTGCCTATGAGAACTGCCGCAAGTTGGGAACCGAATTGGTGGCCTTCGAGACTGACCAAGAATTCGATGCCGTGGCGGGTCATTTGAAGAGCAAGGGCGAACGATCGGAACATTGGACATCCGGCAATGACTTGGGCAAAACTGGTACCCACAATTGGTTTACCAATGCCCAGCCCATGAATACAAATCGTTGGGCCCCTGGGCAACCCGACAATGCTGGAGGAAAAGAGCATTGCATTCACCTGGGGTACGTATATAAGGACTCAACGGATATTCAACTGAACGATCGTCCCTGCAATAATGATAACAACAGCTTGTTCAAGTACGTTTGTGAAGCTCCTGAGCAAGAAACTATTTCTATTGTTGTTTGGAAGTGAAGTATCCAAGTAATCAAGTTCCAATTTCTAAATGCATAAACAGATAAAATGTATAAATTTATAATAAATGTAAAGAAAAAACATTAAAAGATTGGGTTTCTTTGTTTTTCTTCCTAGCTAATAACTTTATAAAAATATTTATAAAAAAGTTCACGCCTTTAAATTATAAAACTGATACTTATATTCCCTCCAATTGTTGTAAATTATCAGCCAATAATCATAGTGTTATCTTCAAAAAGTGTTATCAGAAAGTGCTATCTCTTCCAATGAAGCATTTTCCTATTTTAGCCTCAGTAGCGAATTGAATCTTGTGGAAAGATGTTTAGAGTAGCTTTAACTTGTCTAATATTATGGAATGTTCTACTTCCTAAGGCCTTTCCTTTGGATAACCAAAGTAAGTGTTATAAAGATAAGCTTTTCTTGCCAATACCATTCAACGATCGAGTTCTTTAGGCATTCTAGAAATCGATGGAAAGTATTACTACATTTCTTTGGAAAAATCCAACTGGTTCGAGGCTAGCAATCTCTGTCGTCAAAAGGGTGGATTTCTGCTGAACTTAGAGAGCATGCAGGAACTGGAGTTACTTAGCCCTCATCTTCATCCAGCCTACAGCTACTGGCTTTCGATAAATGATCTTGGAGTACGTGGCGTATACGTATCGGAGGCTACTGGTCGAGAGGCTCCTTTCATTAACTGGTCTGTGGGACAACCCGATAACAGCGGTGGCAACGATCGATGTGTTGAGCTCTGGCTATCAACTACTGCCTTTCAGATGAACGATCTATCCTGCCAAATGGAGGTGGCTTTTATTTGCCAGTTGAACTAGGATCTATAAAGTTTTAAACTCCCAACATGAAACTATATATCTACAAGTTTAAGGCGGAAATAAATCTATGACTTATAGTTTGCAATATTTATAGATAGTAATGTTAGTCTTAAAAACTTACAGAAAGGCTATGTTTATCAGTTTGTTACTGATTAGTCAATCAGGTTATCAAATTCGTCCATGGGAATCAATGCACTTTTAACCCTATAAAATACATAAATCAAACTACTTTAATTTCTGTAACATCAACTATTTAATAATAATACTTTTTTACAGGGTTTCAACCCTTTATTGTAATTTTCTTTTAGGAATACTTACAGCCTGGTAGAATACCCTTACTCCGAACAGTGCGATAAGGTTGCCGGGCTCCCGGATCGATCTTTCCGTACATTGTTCTATCCATGATTTAAGAGATTCACTTGTTTTTGTATTTTCGATCACTGATCATTGATTGAAATGTTACTGATTAGTCTAGGAACAGCTTAGTGACATTTTTTTATACTGAAAATCTTTAGGTTTCGTTTGATATTGTTGCACTGCTACCGGCAAAAACAGATTCATTTGAATTATTTATAAGCGCATTTTTATTTTTGGCCTTTCGGGGCTCGACGGCGACGGATTTGTCGTTTTTGTTTGCGTTGAGTTAGCCTGTCAGAGTGGATATTGTAGTTGTCGTTGTCGATGTTGTCGTTGTCTCTCAGCCCGTCTATCAGAGCTTTGCCCCAGTCCACGAAAGAAAAATACAGGAAAAAAAAAAACTAGTTCCCTGCCCCCAGTGGAAGACCAAGTGAGTTAATGTTGGAAATTGTTGTCTGGGGAGTGCTTTGTGCATTTGCTATTAATTGACTGAGACTGACAAAATACGGCATTATAGGATTAAAGTGATACGGTGAAGAGTGAGTGATCAGTGATCCCAGGCATATGATGCAATATTCTTGAAGAATATTAATAGGCATGCATGCCATCAATCCGTCATTCTTCATTTTTAGGAGTGCTATTAATCTAAATCAAATTTCACCCAAATTGCTATCAAATATAGATGGTCAAGTCAATAAAATCAAAGGAAACTTGTTGAAGACCATTAAATGATTGATTTAATAGCGATACCTAATAGCATTATATTACCAAAAAGAGAAATAATGTGATCTAAAGATGAAAAGGCAACAAACTAGATGGATAAATTAGAGCAACAAAGACCAAATATTCCATTCATTTAGTCAGACTCCCTAATCCGAAGTGTGTGGGTGGGATTTCCAATAGATGATCTATGCAACTAACAAAATTTACGGTGGTCTCTAGATTTAGTTGAGCCAAACGGTCTATAAAGACAGATTTATGGAATCATAAAAATACCAAAACGAACATGCAGGCCACATTTTAGATTTGTTTCAAACAAATAACGACACATTGGAAAAAGGTAAAAAATAATAAACATAAATTCACCGACTAAAACAAAGCAAAACGGGCCAAAAATACTAAAATCGAGGAGGGAACGGGGAATCAAGGTTGCCAAATTACGTCAACACCACGATCGCTAACTAAAAATATCCAAAAAAGAAAAAAGAAAAAAAAAAGAGAAAAAATCTAAGAAATCAAAGGCGACGTTTCGTCGTCTAATGAAGGGAGAACTGAACTAGGAAAAATGGGGGAAATTAATTGAAAATACGACGAGAGATTTCCGCAGAGCGTTGCCAAAAAAATAAAAGCCATGCTAAGAAAACTGTGAACTTAGCGAAAATCTCACTTTCTTTCCAGGTTTTCGTTAAAGCAAATCTATTTCCCTCCACACCTGAGGCATTACTCAGTCGATGTATTTGGGATGACGTCGGGCAGAAAATTGTGGGCAATTGTTTTTCGGGCCCCGTCTTTCTTCTATATTTAAAAGTCAAAGGCACGATTTCGTGTGTTTTTCGCAGGAAATTCCTAGCGGTCTACCGTCGAACGATCGCCACGATCTCAATATAAATATTTTATTAGTAAGTAGATAAAATGTGTGTGAATGCGAGTGTTGACCTTGCTAAAGGCGCTAAGGTGAAAACGCAATGCGTGGCCAAGCCAAAAAAAACAAAAAAGAGGAAAAACCGAGGGAAAATTCATGTGGGTGATATTGATCGCAATGGGCGATCTCTTCTCCGGTTAGTGGCCTTTGGCCAGGTCTTTCAATAAACTTGGCCAATTTATGCCGCTGTAAAATGTATTTTACACATTCCACTTCCATGAGACTGCCGGAACAAAACGTTAAGATATCGCCCACTGACTTCTGTGGTCTCTGGGGTCTTGATAAGATAAAGGGTCTGTTGGGAAATGGCCTACACGATGATCAAATTATGTTGGCGTAGATTAAAGTCTTCTCTGGAATTAAAGATCGGAGGCTATTGATTGGTTCAATGAAAGCTAATTGCCTTTATTTGCCAACCAATCAATTTGAAATTCAATATTGAAATGAGATAGTACGCTATTAAAAGATTTACTATGGATAGAAATGGCTTACTTGCCTTCAAAAACTCTGAGTGTCGGTTTTCAATTACCATCAACTCCCTGACAACAATTAACGATTTCCAAATTCTATTAAAGTATCGATTTGTCCAAGTTTTCCACTCATATTCCCCGAGCCATCGAACCAACACATTCTAATTGAAATTTTATGACTGGGCGATAAGAATCATGTTGTTAAAAGCTATAAACAGGGAGCAGAACAGAGAGGGACTTGCTGAACACAATAGAAACTCAAACGCAAACCTGATGATGAACTCATTGCAGCTCAAATAAAGATGAGAGAGAAATCAAGAGGTGCTAAGTAGATGGAACTAAAACGGGCTTTGAGTTTGCAAACGGAAACTCTCAAATGAAAAAAAAGGGGAGAGGCTGGAATAATCCAGAGATCAGTGATCTATAGATAGTTTGCGGTTTCAGATCGGATCGCGAAAGACAAAGACAGCAGCTGTCCGGTCGTAAACAAAATGCAGCAACTGAGCGTATCTGCGAGATAAAAAGATATTGGGGGGTTCTCCCTAAAAACGAAAGGGATTCTCATAAGTGCAGAACTCACAACGAAATGTTTATTTGTGAGCAGAGCAGAGCAGAGCACTATGTCAGCCGAGTTTACATCATTTTTCCAGCATTTCCATTTGCTGTCGTAACTCGAGATACTTTTACGAGGAAGGGGCAGGAAGTCAAACCCCCCTCTTACAAATGCACTTGGCTTCGAGTGCTTGAAATATGTGAAAAATGTCATAATTTTAATAGATTAAATGGGCACAATTTAATTGGTTTTGTTGTTTGTTGTTATAGTTTTGTTTATTTCGAACATTTCCCTCCAGAAATATAAAACCACAAAAAAAAATGCCAAACTAATTTTCATCTCAACGCCTACGATTTTAATCCGTTTTGGTGCCCCGAGGCGAAAATTAATGGGGCTAACCAAAATTCTATGCTCCGCCAGATCGGGGCAAATAAGTCATATATCTGGATGTCTTGTCCGTTGATAATTAGTTCCATAATTAGTGGAAATGCTAATGAAATTGAAATGTTTCGCGAACAACTTGCCGAAAATATTTGCCAAGAATTAGTGGAATCTTAAGGCGAGTGACACCGATCCATTAATCTTGGAAAATATATTATATTATTTTTAACTATCTGGCATTCCTTCTTTATCGTTTATCTCAGTTCTTTGCTATCTCTCTTGATGTTTGTCAACTTTTTTACTGCAAATTTTTCTTACACTCGTAGTAAACAATTTCCCACGCTTCAACCTGCCGCAATATCACTAACACAGTTCCAATAATATTTAATCAACTTTTTCCACGCTTTAGTTTTCCACCAAGCACTTGATTGATTGCCTTTTTCTTTTGTTTCGGCTTGACTTTGTTTGTTTGTATTTTCAACAGCCGCGTTATCTGTGCACTTTTGCCTGCACTTTGGCAGTGTGTTGTCACATATTTTATTATATTATTCCTAGAGATCGTAGGACTCAGTTGGGAGACCGAAAAAATTAACTGAGAGACCAAGCGCTGCGCTCGCGTTTCGGTAAAAGCGTCGCAATCGACTGAAATCCAAAGGGGATCCAATATTCGGGCTCCATTGGAAATGCTCTCTGTGGCTCTCGCAGTTGCTCATAAAGAGCGGGAGAGCAAGAGAGCCCCAATGTTTGAGAGCAGGTAAACAAAGTGCACTTCAAAAAATATATTTTAAATTTGTTTTACTTTGTTTTAATATATATATATTAGCGTAGATAAAAAACAAAAACAAATATAATTTGTTAACAGTTAACCCTATTAATAATAAATTCTTTAATAAGGCAAACTTTTGTCTATCTTTTACTTTCTTATTATTACGCTTTTACCTTAAGGGTTCAGTTTGATATTCCGAGTGCCAAGAGAGGCAATAAACAAAAGAGAGCAAGAGGCATCGCCAGTTTTCGCCATAAAGTCACTTTTCATTCGCCTTTGGAGTGGCTTTTCATTTTGCTTTGCGGCCTGCTGTAGAGCATTTCGACCGCAAGTGGGAGGCACAAGGAAAGAAAACCAAAGTGGACAAAAAAATTGTCGCCCATTTGGAGCTTTCCTTTGGGTGTGTAAACAGTGGGCCAGTTGCCAAACAAACAATAACAATTTCATTTGTTGTGAAAAAATATAAAAACGTAAGTCAAGAACAAATAAAATCAATAAGACCTCCAAATAGTGCTCATAAATTACAAAGATTTTATATAATTACAAAATTTTGAGACTCTTAAGTATATTTTAGGGATTTGGATAGGGACTCACAGTAAAGTACTATTTTTCTTGGAAGTTTTTATGGTATTAACAGTTATTATAGCTCATTTTGTTTTACATAAAATTTGTAACCTTTCATCCCACTGTGCAGACCTCATTCCCTAACCATAAAAGATCTTGGCTGCTTTGCTTAGCAGCTGGAGTTTTACTCTCGGTGAAAAACGCCGACGACCCTCAAGGCCCAGACTTAACCGATCTCGACAGCTCATCTCGTCACTGCCGTTACAGTGCGCACACGCAACACGAACAGAAAACATTGCGTGTCGAGTGGGCGTTGAAGTGGGCGCGCACTCACTAATAGCTGCATAAGTAAAATTGATGCAATTGTAGCCGGTGAAGAAGATCAAGATGAAGAGGCTGATGAAGTCCCAACATCCTGTGCGATCTCATTGACAGTTACTGTAAAACTGCTTAAGCAAAGATCAGTTAAATAATCTATCATGGTATAGATATACTCTTAAAACTTGAGTTGACATAGCTGAAACTCCTGCAAGTTTAATTTCTTGAGAGTCCCAGACCACTGTGCGTAGGAGTGATAGCGATAGTCAGCTGGAATTTGTCGAGAGTGTTGGTGACCTGGCCTTTAGTCATTTCATAAGAATGTCTGGGCAGAAAAAAAAATAACAAGATTACACACATATCCACATGGAGAGTTGGCTGCAGTTCCATGAGCGAGATTTTATTTTTCATTTTTGTGTAGCTTTATCAAAAGACATTCAGAAGAACACGCAGAGAGACTGTAAACAGCAAAGAATTGTGTCATAAAGAAAATAAAGTAAGACGGCGTATACACTTTTATTCTGCTGATGGTGACTAAAAGAGCGTTGTGCGGTGGCAGCGAAAGAAAACATATAAAGCTGACCGGCGAATCAGCGTGCTCTCGCCGATCAAATCATTCACTAACAGCCCAAGGGTTTAGAACTTGGAGCTATAACAAAAACCACACCCACTTTGAGTTTGGGGAATTGTGAATGATCTCACACTGGAAGTTCGGGCCTTGATGTTTTATGTTCGATTTCCAGGAATTCTGATAAATCATAAAACTGCAAGGAATGCAAAAATCGGGTTAAACGAAGTGTGTGGGAGCCATTTCCCGAATAACAAATATTAAAAATATATGTAGAAATGTAAAATGTACGATAAGACGTGCACTTGAAATTCATCATCAAGAATTATACGGCACGTAACACAACCAATTTTAATCGTGATTAATGCTTGTATGCTAACGATAAGAGTTTCGAAATACAGTAAATATTGGACATTGAGAAAGAGGTCATTAAACCAAAAATTTCATCATAGTAAATATTGATTATTCATGAAAATTAATAAGCAAGAAAAGTTTCTCTTAGCCGCTCCCTACTGTAAACGAAAATTATTCATCCATAAGATTTCCGACTTTTGGTGTCGCCACCTAGCGGCCAATGTTAGAATCGCCCGCAGCATGCTAATTAACTCCAATTAGCGACTGACCTTGAAGTTGGAGCATTATCTTAGAGTTTTTTTTTGTCTACGTCACACTTTTTATGCTGCGGAACTCTTTCAGGAAGTCTCTTTAGTTTTTCGCTGAGGAAAAGTGGTCCACTTACCCAAATCATCCATGGCGTTGAATTGTTTTTGTTTCGCTCCTTTGTGTTGGTGCTGGCGTTTTCCGCTCTTCTCCAATTGGAATGCTCAGTTTTCTGGATAAATTTGGCACAGGCACACGCGTTTTTAATTGATGCTGATTGAAGGCGAAAAGCGACAAATCCACGCAAACACTTTTTTTTTGACTCGCGACTGGAAAACCGCGGAGTTCGAATTGAGACTAATTTTAAGCTGTTGCCAGCGGTCGAATGGCGAGTATCGGTGGATTTCGCCGCGAGTTGGAGACGAGTTTTATATATGAATCACTTTAATTTTGGAGCGGCGGTCATAAACAATACAAAAAAACATTGGAGCACGTACATATACGCAAGCACACACAATCGCACCCGGGAGAGCCAAAACAGCTGTTCGTCTATCGATAGTGCTATCGGTATCGTTCGGAACTGTCGCGGCGGATGCAATATCCAACAAGAATCCAAGTGGTAAACTTTACTAAATTTCTGCCAATTTGACTGTTGTAGATAACAATTATCGACTTTAAAAATATACTAGTGTAGTTGAGTAGCTGTTCTAACTAATTCTAACTGTTTTAATAGATATAAAATTGTATATTAGTCTTAAAACATTGTGTCAAGTGAAACCAAAGGTAGTCGTAGTTGTGTTCAAAACAAAAGTGTTGAGCTGATTTAAAATTACTAAAAACATATCGTAGAGGTTGTTAATGATCCCAGTGTCTTCAATGAGATGATCACTATTTCAACAATAAAATCCTAAATTATTTCAAACATTTTTAAAACCACTTTTGTTTTTTGGTTTGGTAATTTAAAACCATTAAAAAACACAACGATCTTGAACACAACTATAATAACTATCATAAAATATATGTTACACTCAGTAAGTCTCGAGACTTAAAAGTCCACAAGTAACGGATAAAATCTCATAATTTAAAACCAACCGAAAAATACCAAATATCAATGCCAGTTACGTCTTTCTGTCTATAAATTGCCTTTTATCTGTGGTAAACAATGATTAGTTAACAATCTGCAATATATCTCGCATTTTCAGTCTGTATAAAGATTAGGCCGATCTAGACGTGAATTATAAATGGAAAAGAGAAGTGAAACGCCGATAAAAAGTACAAAGTTTCGAAAGTTAAGCGATGCCGACATGACGGAGGTTCAGCTGAATACTTTGACGGACTCCAGTGCACCAAGGATAATATCGAAGTCGGTAGCTCCCAGGGAAATGATGACTCCAGATTCAATGGAAATAATCCCGTACAACATTCGAAATGGTTCAGATCCAGACTTTTTATCATATCTATCGTTTTCTCAGCCCTATTGATAACAGCCATGTGTATTGGTTTTGTAGTGCACCGTGGAATGTCCGGCGATGTTGGCGACATGGACACGGTTACCTATTGGCCAGTAAAATTGCCCAAGGAGCAGCAGGAGTGGTATGATCAAGGAATAGATGAGCTAAAGAAGGCCGTTTCAAGAGAATTCAATCGTCGTCGAGCCAAGAACGTAATATTATTTGTGGGCGACGGAATGGGACCGAATACGGTGACAGCAGCGCGTATCTATGGATTCAAGGAAGAAGGACTCCTCAGATGGGAACACTTTCCGGACATGGGACTACTGAAGACCTACTGTGCCGATAAGCAAGTTCCGGACTCCTTCTCCACGGCTACGGCTCTTTTTGGCGGAGTCAAAGTTAACTATGAAACTGGCGGAGTTGACTCTAATGTACCGCTGGGAAACTGTGCCGCCTCATTGCAGGAGGATCACCATGTTCAGACAATCCTTAAGTGGGCTCAAGAAGACGGCATGCGAACGGGTTTTGTGACCACAACACGGGTAACTCATGCCACCCCAGCTGCCCTCTATGCCCATGTTCCGGATCGTCGTTGGGAATGTGAATCGGGAATGCCTGCAGATGCCCACGATCAGGGTTGTATGGATATAGCGCGACAGCTGATCGAGCAACCCACCGGTCAAAGAATTAATGTAATCATGGGTGGTGGTCGCCAGATGCTGGTATCTAATGTCACCGATTCACCAACTGATCCCCTAGATACTTGGGCCGGGAAATCGATGGATGGACGAAATCTCATTCAAGATTGGCAGCGTAAGAAAGAGGACGAGGGCGTATCACATGCAGTAATCCAGAATAATCATGAACTATGGAATCTCAATGCACAGGATGTTGACTATCTACTGGGCATATTCGCCAACGGACACCTTATGTACGACCATGAGCGAGATCCAAGTGAATCCGGAATGCCTTCACTATCTAATATGACCCTTAAAGCACTCGAAGTTTCTGGGAAATAGCGATAAAGGATTTTTACTGGTGGTGGAAGCTGGTTTAATCGATCAAGCCCATCACCGGGGAAAGGCTCGAAAGGCACTTCACGAAGTTCTCGAACTAAATAAGGCTGTAGAGTCAACGCTTTCTTTTCTTAAATCGTCAGATCGTTTGGAAGAAACCCTGGTTATAGTAACCGCCGATCATTCTCATAGTCTGACAATAAATGGACACCCAGAACGGGGATCCAGTATACTGGGCTTCGCAGGAAATTCAAAGACAGAACAGACGCCCTACACCACGCTGACGTATGGCACCAGCTATCAGGGATTTCAGGTGGATCCCAACACTCAGAACCGCAGAGATCCAACAGACGACAATGTAACAGATTGGGAATACACGCAACAGGCTGCGATAAACACGGATGAAAATCTTCACGGTGGGTCGGATGTTACGATTCACGCTGATGGTGCCATGTCCTATCTATTCCACGGAGTCCATGAACAGAGCTATGTAGCACACGCGATATCCTACGCTTTGAGAATCGGACGCTTCCGTGATAGTTCCATTGCCGAAACTCTAGCTGAATTTACGCCTATATAGAAAAATACCCTCAGAAATATTTATAAGGAATTTAACCTTGCCAAGCTTACAAAATATATTAATAAAACTAGAACAGGACTTTAGAATAAGAAATGGTTTACTGAAATGCAGGAGAAGCTAATACCTGATTTATAAAGGAACAAATGTTAATGTTGAAGGTTTTAAGAAATAAGTTCGTTGAGTGAATACTTTTTACTAAATTAATACTTCAGTATGTTTTTAAAAAATATTTCCTAAGAAAATGAGTTATCTTAACAGTCAATATGAAGATTTGTTTAGAAGTTAATTGTACGTCAAAGGCTTGTGTCAGTAAAAATAAACTTGATTACAGTGTTTTCATTAAATATGACTGTTTTATTGTTTTTTTTTAGTTTAAAATGGACTTGCTACAACTAAACGACGATTGTTTGGATCTTATATTTAGCTACCTAAGCTTTAATGAACTATGGTCGCTCTACGATGAAGTTCAAGGTTTCAATGAGGCCATTGAAAGACAACTCCATCGGTTTAAGGATTTTAAGTTCAGCATGCGACAACCCCCTGCTTTCAAAGAAGATCTTATTATAAAGCTTGGTCGTCATCTAAACAGCCTCCACATCAACGTGGGCTACTCCACCAAGGATGAAGATGTTGTCCGATACCTGAACCCATTGTGCCAAGGTGCCTCGGATACTTGTCGAATGAAAGCTTTAAAGTTGGACCATGCCAAGTGGTCAATTGATATTTTAGGAGCCGTAGGTAAAGTCGTTCCATCTCTGCTATTTTTGGACATGCGTCACTGCGATGTTCGAGATTTCCAGATAGAACAGCTCTTGGAATCGGCAGATAAGTTAAAGGCCCTCGCTCTTCTTCATGTCAACAATCAGACGGGTGATTCTTATCTGCAACCAAAAATACTCAACAGGTTGCCTTCCCTAAAACTCATTCACATAACTATCTTAGGTCCTGAACCCTTCTCCCCCGAGAACTTGTCACAGCAGTGCCCAAACATCAGTTTTCTCATCACGGACCTAATAAAAAGCGATTTCAAGATATATGGTCCACCAGCTTACTTACAAAACTATTACAAGTACTACAATGAGTACTTTAAAATGACTTAAATGCTCTTTAAAGTCATACGAAAAGATCTCAGTGAAATCGGAAGTTGATACCTCCAAAATGTTAAAAAAAATACTCTGGTTTTATAAATAATAAGATTTTTAATGCATTTAAATTATATTTAAAGTTTTGTTTATTTTTACAAGATAGCTTGCCTTTATTATTAAATTTCAATTGAGTTTTATATGACAAAATTAATATAGAAAAGATGTTGATAAATAAATTTAAAAAAATGGTTATTTTTTTTTGGACTTCATTTTTTGAATACCAAATCGTTTAATTTTTTCCGTTACCTTCTTTTTCACAACATACTCAAATTTTGGCATGTTTCTTAGAGGCATAATGGAAATTTTGGTATTTTTTCGATTAGCAGCATCGACATGATTGGTATCGGTTTTTGAGCCATCTCTATTTCATGCCGGCACGCAAATGCGAAAACTGATGAAATCGCGACCTTATAAATAGCAAACGATTAGCTGGTATAGTAAACCCCCGGAAAATCAGGATGGTGGTGCGTCCGTACAACGATGAGCTCAAGTACCTCGAGAAGGTGAGCGACCATTGCTGGCGCATCAAAAAGGGCTTCCAGCCGAATATGAACGTAGAGGGATGCTTCTATGTGAACAGTCGCCTGGAACGCTTGATGCTGGAGGAGCTGAAGAACTCATGTCGCCCAGGAGCGGTAGGTGGATTCCTTCCCGGAGTCAAACAGATAGCCAATGTGGCTGCTCTGCCGGGAATAGTGGGTCGGTCCATCGGTCTGCCTGATATCCATTCGGGCTATGGATTCGCCATTGGCAACATGGCTGCTTTTGATATGGATGATCCCTTGTCTATCGTAAGTCCTGGAGGTGTGGGCTTCGACATCAATTGTGGCGTTCGGTTGCTACGTACGAATCTCTTTGAGAAAGATGTGCAGCCCTTGAAGGAGCAACTTGCGCAGTCTCTATTTGATCACATCCCCGTGGGAGTTGGTTCCAAGGGCATCATCCCAATGAATGCCCGCGATTTGGAGGAGGCTCTTGAAATGGGCATGGACTGGTCCCTTAGGGAGGGCTATGTGTGGGCAGAGGATAAAGAGCACTGCGAGGAGTACGGTCGAATGCTAAATGCTGATCCCGCCAAGGTGAGCATGCGAGCCAAGAAGCGAGGACTGCCCCAGCTGGGAACCCTGGGTGCTGGAAATCATTACGCCGAAATTCAGGTGGTGGACGAGATCTACGATAAGTGGAGCGCCTCCAAGATGGGCATCGAGGAAAAGGGTCAGGTCGTGGTGATGATTCACTCAGGCAGCCGGGGATTCGGCCATCAGGTCGCAACCGATGCTTTGGTCCAGATGGAAAAGGCCATGAAGCGTGACAAGATCGAGACCAATGATCGGCAGCTCGCCTGCGCCAGGATCAACTCGGTGGAGGGACAGGATTACCTAAAGGCCATGGCAGCGGCTGCAAATTTTGCCTGGGTCAATCGCAGCTCTATGACTTTCCTCACCCGCCAGGCATTCGCCAAGATGTTTAACACGACCCCAGATGATCTCGACATGCACGTTATTTACGATGTTTCGCACAATATTGCCAAGGTGGAGAACCACATTGTGGACGGCAAGGAGCGGAAGTTGTTGGTCCACCGAAAGGGATCTACGCGTGCATTTCCTCCACACCATCCTCTCATACCAGTAGATTATCAGCTAACAGGACAGCCTGTTCTGGTGGGTGGAACAATGGGCACCTGCAGTTATGTGCTGACTGGAACGGAGCAAGGAATGCAGGAGACATTCGGCAGCACTTGCCATGGAGCGGTAAGTTTTAATATGTATCTACATATCTTTTTTGTCAATTTAAAACCTATCATTTCTGTTATCAATTTCCTGACCACATTCTATATTTAAAAGTACAAAAATAATATTGACTCACTTCTCCTATCCTGCATAATAAAAAAGCTTAATGGTAAAAGCACTCAATAGAAATCGTAATTTATAGTGCTTTTCGTTATCATTTGATTCTTTGTTGTGAACTTATTGTGTATATGCAATTTGATAAAGACCAAGAAGATCAAGAGATGAAGTTAAAGTCAAACACCTGATTTATCCCTAAACTAATTTCTTTTTCTTATCTCTAGGGTCGAGCCTTATCTCGTGCCAAGTCCCGTCGTAATCTGGACTACAAGGAGGTACTGGACAAACTGGATCAGTTGGGTATTGCCATTCGTGTGGCCTCGCCGAAGTTGGTTATGGAGGAGGCTCCTGAATCCTATAAGGACGTAACTGACGTGGTAGACACCTGCCATGCGGCAGGCATAAGCAAGAAATGCATAAAAATGCGACCTATTGCGGTCATCAAGGGATAATTTTAGTTTTTTTTTATAATTTTTGTAATTAATTCAATAATGATTTATAAATATCTGGTTTGACTTCTCTATTTAAGATGTGATCAAGCAAATATTTATTTCCTCAAAATTATATTAAAAATATAATTGAACTATCACAAAAAACTGCAGCTATGACCAAATTCCCAAATATATGCATAAAGAGATTTGAAATAATGTTTAAACATATTCTCATCCTTATATACCCAATTTAAATTGTGATAGTTTAAAGGTAATGGTCACCCTAAAACGAAGCTCTGTTAACAGCAAAGCTATCTTTTAACTTCCGAATGTTATGCCTTAAGCGCCGGTCTGTTAGTTGTCAGCTGACAGCCCATTCAATTGGACCTGCTCAACGGCGCGGATTTCGATTGAGCTTTCCGATTTTCATTTGTTCAAACAATCCCACTAATAGCAGTTTTTGTTTTTTTGTAAAGAACACAGCGATTGTAATTGTAAAAGTTCAAGTAATTCGATCGGCAGGTCGTGAGTGAAATTAAATCGAAAAGTCACTATCACCAGTGGTAGTTTTCAGCTGCGCAGTAGAAAAAACTAAAGACATCTACAGACTGTTGCCGGACTTAATTGTAAGAATAAACAAACACATCCAATATGACAAACATGCGGCCACCGCAGAAATCCAAGTTGCTGAAGGTCGTCATATTGGGCGACGGGGGTGTTGGAAAATCCGCCCTTCTCAACCGCTTCGTTTCAAATCGCTACGAGGAAAACAATTTCCACACCATAGGCGTGGAGTTTATGAATAAGGATATAGTAGTTGATGGAGAACACTACACATTGCAGGTAAAGTTGGGTACTCCATAGTGGTATTATGTAATGCCAGTAAATACTAGTGTAAATATCATAAATCAATAAAAAATATTACGGTAACTTTTCGGGCCGAAGAACTTTTGCAATTTTTTATTTCGAATGCAACAAGTTGGGCAAGATAATGACAAGCCAAGCGTATTTCCTTTATTTTCCAACACCCTCTCCCCCACTTGATATTTCCCCTCATCTAATTTTGGTTTCTCGATCCAATCCACCGGCATTTTGTTCATGCAAACACTTAAAAACTCAACAACGATTGGCTTTGTTTTTCCCTGCCTATCATTCGTGGTACAGTGGTTAAACAATATATTATAAGCTTATCAGATAATAGTTTTTAATATATATTTTTGGAATATCAAATTTATCATCGTTCTGATTTATAATATTTTATTAAGATATACTTTTGTAAAGGAAGATTAAATCATGCTTAAGGATCTTAAACTAATGAAGTCACCACCACAAGTTACCACTGTACCCGTACCTACATTTATAGCTGTATCTCTTCCATCTGCCCCCATGCAAACACACACATATAGGCATTAAATTTCTACTCAATTAACGTTGAGCTTGGCATTGCAAAAACAAAAAAAAAAAACTTAAATAATAACAATAATGACAGTACCTCAGTATTCGGTAACGTACTAGAGACTTTGTTTTATCCGCCGCCGTAGTTTCAGTTCTCAATCTCATGTGTTTTTGTAATTGTTTTTCAATTACCGTGTCTCTTGTCTTCTAAATTATCGAAGCCAAAACAAAATATTGTTCACAGTTCGCCAAGCTCGGAAAACTTATGAATATGCAAGCGCGTCTCAGTGAGTAAGCAAAATCCAGCCAAGGTGCCGCGAATCGGAATAATGATTCTAATTGAACCGATGGTACTGGGTATATAGAAAGGGCAGGAATGTAGATGGATGTATGACTAATCCTAGAGGAATTTTATATTGCTTGAAGTGAGATTTCCCCTAAATGGCGGATTCCAGAAAATTATTCTGTTTCACGGTTCGCTGAGCCAAAGAATAATTCGCAGGGCTTCCCCAGGCTGTGTTGCAAAAAATAGTTAATTTCCTGGGGGCTTTATTGTCCATATACTTACTTACATACATACATATGTTACCATGGAAAGCACTAACAGTTTAAAAAGGTCAATTTGTTCAAGGCTTTAAAGGTCAAAAATTTGTATACCCGTGATAACAGTGCTAAAATTGCTTTAAAGTCGCTTAAAATAAATACCTTTATCATTTATTTATTTATAAAAATCAATAAAAATGTATTTTTGAATTTCGTAAGGAATTTAAACTACTGTCTGAGTTCAGAATCAAAGATTTATTTCTAAAGGCATGTTGCTTATCAGTGTTACCACTTTCTTATCAGCTGGCAGTTTTGCGTACCTCTAATCTAAATATTTGTTAAGCTAACAAAAAGGCGAGTAAGTTCTGATGTAAGTGAGTCAGGCATGCAAACAGCCAAAAAGTTTCAGCTAAGAATTTGTCTGTTTCTCAGTTAGTTGTGTTCCAAATCAAATGCAAATTTCAATAGAACGCTAATTGAATCACCGAATCAATTAAAGTTAATTGTTGCATTTTGTTTGATGTGCTTTTTCCCGAATTTAGATATGGGATACTGCTGGACAGGAGAGATTTCGGGCTTTGCGAACACCTTTCTACAGGGGATCGGACATCTGTCTGCTGTGCTATGCCCTCGACGATCGGGACAGCTTGAAGGGATTGGGTATGTGGCGCAATGAGTTCCTGAACTACGCAGACGTCGACCAAGACAAGTTTCCCTTCATCGTGGTAGGAAATAAGGTACTAGTTTCGGAATATTGTTAGTTTTTTTTTCAAATAATTATTAATAATATTTTGTTTTGGCTTACAGAACGATATTCCAGCTCAGAAACGGCAAGTGACCTTCGAGGTTGTGCAGCAGTGGTGTGCGGAGCAGAAGATTGCCTGCCACATCGAGACGTCCTCAAAGGCGGCCACCAATGTAACAGATGCCTTCGTCCTTGGCCTTCGCCAATGGCGGCACATGGAGTGCGTGGCGGAGGCAGAACTGCGACAGCATGGCGACACTATTGACCTAACCCGCCCCATTAGACTGGTGCAGCGTCGCATCTGTTGCACAGGCGGAGGCGGGGGTCAGGACGTAGATGGCAGTGATTCTGCCATGCAAAGTCCGGGAAAGAAAATGTTCGGACAAAAACGCAACGCCGCCAAGGCGCCAGCCACCAATTATCGACTATGAGCAGACAGATTGGAGCTGTCAGGGAACTTACGCTTAATTTAACCACTTACCCCACCGGGTTGACCTTCATTCCGTTACATTCCAGACCATTCCGAGAGGGGGAAGTGCATAAGACCAAAAAGTAATCAATCGTTGATGCTAAAATTTGAAGCGATTAGCCTGGAGTTGATATTCTAAAGGAACTTTGTTTTTTTAACGAACTACTTAAGAGCTAACTGCACTGTATAACAGTTATAACATATGCTTTAAGACGAATACTAGCGAATATTTTCCTAAAAGAATCTAATATTCTTACTAAATTATTATTTATATCGGCAAATTGGATACAGATGTTTTATACAACATCCCTTTTTGGTAATTGTAATGAACAATGTAACTGTTATACAGTATAAAAAACTTACCAATTGAATAGTCTTATACTGTATAACAGTAAAAGTGTCTTAAAGAAGCTTTTGGTGTCTTATATAGCATATGAATTTATATGAACTTATACAATATTTAAGGCAACCAGAGTTTCGCTAGTTTTGGATATGTATTAGCTACACAAATCATTTTTGTACAATAAATATCTGAAAATATGACAAAATTCCAAAGTGCCTTGATCTCTTTATCCGAAAGAAGGGTTACAAAGAAAATAAAAATTGCACTTTCTATACGAATTTGTTTATATATTTCAACAATTTGTTTAAAAAATGTACAATAGTAAAATGATATAAATACGCTTACCCCGGATTAAGTATAAAATATATGTAGGTATAACACTTTATCTGGATGCGATCGAGGCTCCAATTCTGATTAAGACTAAGGCAAACTCTAGGCGCTATTCACTAACAGGACAAGCGTATGACAGATCGAGTGCTTAACAATAACGTGTGCGTTGATTTCAGCACAGAATATGCTTAAGATTGAAACTTGGGAAAGTTAATTATCACTTGCAGCAGCTGGAAACTTGGATCACTTCTTCTTGTAGCCATACGAGTTGATGGTATCAAACTCAGTATCGCACTTCAGCAACAACTCGTACCACTGATCACTATCAATACGATTAGCCTCCCGGATTCCTCCATAGGCAGCTGGCAGGCACTTGGGTGACATGTACTTGTGCAGGGACTCGCGATCAGTGCCATGGAATATGATCCTGCTACGAAGTTTCTCCTTGAGGAAGGGCTTGAACAAAGCAAACACCACTTGGAAGATCTTCGGCTGGTTTACAATGTGTATGGCCTTGATTCTTAGGGGAACCGAATCCTGCAACCAGTCCACAATTCGCTTGGCAAATGGCGGTGTAAACTGCCATGTTTGTTGCAGACTAAGACCATCCATGTCGAAGATCACCACAGCACCGCAGATCTGCGTTTCCGGCTCCAACATGGCGGCCTCCAAGAAGAGCACAGCTCCCTTAAAAACCTCATCCAGGGTGACCTGCTTGTGCTTCCAGCGCTCTGTAATAAGAGATTATAAGTCATTAGTTAGGGATATTTACAAAAATTTCTACGCTTATTAACTTTTGTTGATCATCAAAAACTTGATTTTAATTTATATATGCCTTTGTTTACTTACTTCCCAGCTCCAGAACCAAAATCCGACGCCCACATTGATCTCGATTGGGAAAGACGGTGAGTATGTTGTGCTTAAAAATGTTGGCCTCGTTCGACGGCTTCAGATTGTTGTACACATCAGCGTGTTTCACCTTGAAGGAGTAATAGCGCTTGATCTGTTTTAAAGAAAAATAAAATATAAGTTAGTATTTCATTTTAATTTCCTATCAATCAGTTAACTCACCAGATCGCGAGCACTCTCCGGATAATACTTGCAGGGCCGCAGATATCGAATCAGCCACTCCTCGTTATCCTTGGGGTACAGCAAATCCGTCTCCGCTGAAATAATATTAATAGGTTAATCGACCACGCCTCTTATTCTTAAAAGTCATAAGTCCACTGACATTAAGTTGATCAAGTTAACAATTAAGAAGCAAAGGTTTGTATGCCCTAACGTATGATTTACGTTATGCAATAAAATCCTCTCGAGGGCGTGCTACTTTTAACCTTAGCTTGTTATTATTGACATGAAATCGTAAACTAATAATATAGAACTACTCGTTCGGTTATGGATTTTCAATATTTAACGAGCGTTTAAGTTATTGCAGGCAGCTTTAAGAGGTGCATGAAATTTATGGCTGATGAATTACTTGGGTTCTCCTCAAAAAAAGAAACACAAATAAATTGAGTTAAAACTGTCACTGCTAATATTTAGTTTCTTTTTACTTGTAAATAATTCAAATGTACTTTTGATTCCATTAATCTCAGATCATTGCTTATTCTTGATAAGTAACAAGTGGAAAAATCGGTTTTTAATATATGCAAAATCAGATTGCTGTTTAATATTGCGCTTTCGCTGCGAATTATATGACAAAGTGGAGATCCCTGAACTTTTGATTACATAAAAAATATAATCTAATATCTTGTTATACACGATGTATTTAGTATAAAAATTTTCATTAACTAAAAAAAAAGTATTAAACAATAAAATATATTAAATAATCCGATTTGTTGATTCTTTGACATGGACATTAATTAGTTTGCCTTTTAATAGAAATGACTTATTAAATTAATCAAAATTTCTTACCCTCTAAGAGGCGTGCCAGTTCCTTGGTGGCCTCCTTTTGACGCTCAGGGGTTTCCCGGAGTTCCTTGATGGCCACCTCCTTTCCCTGGGCCGTTGGCTCGCCCAGTTCGAACTGAAGCGTATAGTCGCCCACTTGGAGGGTGGGCAGCTGGTCGATATCCGACAACATTGTGGGTACTCCTGGAAGGGAAGCAATTTAGATTCAATTAGCGATAGCTTCTGTACTTTGAGCTTGAGCGACAGGTTTTATTTTTGCCATAAGCGCACTTGGAACTTCGGCCAACTAAATAACTTAAGCTAACTGACAACAATTGCCAATTAGTTGCCCATATAATGACCTGCAGGTACTTCACAATTACTTACTCATTTTGCAATTTTTGTTGGATTTATTCTGCGATAATTTTCAGTTTTATTCGCTTTAAGCGGTTGGCTGTTCTTAATATTTGCGATCTCAAGTTTCAGTTTGCCTAATGACAAATTGTGCACTCTATGTATGGGAAAGTGGGTAGAGATTTAATTTATTAATGAGACACAAGTGCCTTTGAACCGGCTCAAGGGAGAAACTGCATTGAATTTCTAGACTTCCCCAACGATCCGGTTAAATCGATTGATCACCTGACCAACCTTCACCTTGACATTGGCAAACTAATGTATAACGGAAGACGAAGCCATGAAATTCGCCAATCTTTGACCCTTAAAGATGACCATTATTATATTATAAATAGCTAATGCATTTTTTTGTTTTTGCAAAGATGGTAGCATCTCTGTTGGAAAATACATTTTTCGAAACCTTGAACTCAATTCTCGAGACTCTTGACACGTTCTACTTGAACGAAATTCTAGTTAGGCAAGTTTTAAATTACATAAAATAAAACTAGTACCCAGGGTCTTTGGGTATATAGTAAGGTAGTCTTGTTGCTTAATGAAATCAAATTAGTAATTAGCGCCATAAATTTTCCATCTTGTTGCGCAGCTCCAAAGGTTTTCGAAAACAAAAGACTATAGGAAATTAGCATCCAAAGAGTTGACATTGAAAATTTCTACCAATATTTTTGGAGTAGATGGGCCAGGTGATATGCTAAAGATCTTGACTATTTTCGCATTCAAAAATGACACAGTGAACATTTTTGAATTGTTAATGTGTTTTGTCTGGGAAAATACAAGATCTTAAATAGTACACGCGGATAACAACACAACACAACACAAACCGAAACTTGTTTGGCTTAATGGCTAACAGTAATCCGCGAAGACGGTCTAAAAAAACCAGCTGAGAGTTGCGCGTGCAACGGAGCCGAAAGCCCAGATGAAACTGTTGCGGCCAAAAGCGCGAGCCGGAGATTTTATGCCAGGCCAAGAATCGAAACTGGATTTCTGAGGAGAGCGCCAAGAGAGTGGGTGTTGACGAGCGATGCCCCTCGAGCCCAGTGTTGCCAAAAATACTCAGTTTTTTATTTTATTTTTATATAATATTTGAAATTTTTCAAAACAAAGTTTCAAAAAATGGATTTTTGAAAGATTATAAGTTTTCGTGTTATCTAGGAATAAAAGTAAAATATTTTTTAATATCAGTATAATAATATTTTAGGTTATTTTCCATTAAAAAACTATTAAATTACATCGATAGTAGACAACACTATTTAAATCTGAACTTGAGCATGACATTCACGTGTGTCGATCGGAGAGAAGTGCGATATATAGAGTTTACCCCGAGAGAGAGAGAGAGCTTAATCTGGTTGCATCGTCATTGGGAAACGATGCCACTTCAAGCCGGTTTCAGTTTCGCTTTCAACTTCAACGCTGTCAGAGCCACTACTGATTTACCTAATTTATTCGGGTTTTCTTCGAGTGTAATTGCTCAGAGTACACAGGGCGGTCAAAAATCCCTTGGTATAGGCATTTCCTACGGCGACCCTGAAACTCCGTGCTTTGAGCTATCCGGTTTCAATGCTGCCTCGCTCTACGCCAATTAGTGCTTACACCTGTCCAGCCAAACGTACACTTGGGGTCACGTTAATAGCAATGTCAATCAAAGTTATTAGACAGAAAATCAAATGCTTGGGATTGCAATCACTTAATAGTCAGAAGTATATATTTCTATTATCTTAAAACATAACACATTAGCAAAAACAAGTTTATTTTTTAGCCTGAAAACTCTTAAAAATAAATAAATGAACAACTTTTAGAACAATTAAATTTGCTATTATTACAGGTGCTACATTTGTAGACCGATGTGTATAACAGGCACACATATTTGGTATAATTAACACGTATCAAAGCTCAGCACCCTGTTCGTTGTGGACAGAAAATGCTTTGCCGCCCGATTTTGGACAAATCGGTTCAATCGCACCATCGCACGTGCGAAGACTTCGGCCATTCATGGTTTTACGCTTCGTTATACTCTCGATTTCATTTGGGCCTGGTTCGGGGTTTTGATCTATTTTTACTAGCGATCTTGAAGCGGATGCTGACGAAAACTGGGTGCTGTAAAACGACTTGGTCAACAGCAAAGTCATCAAGTATGAGTAATTCTGGGGTTAAGACCCATTGCAATGTCAACCTTCGCCCTTCGGTTTCTTGCGAAAAAAAAATGGTTAAAAAAACCCTACATGGGAAACTTGATTTTGAAAAACCTGACAATGGCAAGGCGAGCCCAATGTACAAAGTGCTTTGACCTTACACCATAGGTAACAAAAAGTACAAGTAAGCATTAATAAAAAACATACACGAATTTTTTGATCTCTAAAACATTAAACATTGTATCCATATCATAATAGATAACTAACAATTTCTGATAACTTTGCATATATATAAAGGGCCAATTGGGATTATTTTTTTTACCCTAACTGCAAGCACGCGCATTATCTACGCCCCCGCTTCCCTTTTATACTTTATTGGTGATAATTCTAAGGCAATATATTAATATATAATTAATAATATAATTACATATATGTAAAGTATGCAAATGATTTAGTAAGCTTTTGTTATTGCCTTACCAAAGCGTACACTTTTTGCTGTAAAAGAGGGGGCCGTTTCGGAGGGCAGACACCTCATCGCCGATGCAGCGGTCAACATTGTCATGACGATGCAAATCAAAAACACAATAAAATTACAGAAAAACACTGCCGAACACAATTAGTATTGCAAATGCAAATAAATTAATATTTTTTCGAACTGTTCAAGCAGGGAGCATCGGATCGAACGGCACGGTAAATGGGTCAATGTCGGTGAGTTACTGAACTTTACTTGAAATTCTTGACCGACGAACACAAAAAAGGAATGCTTGAAAAAATAATGAGGAAAAGGCAATGCAAAAAATACAGGCAGACAGACAGTAAGACTTCTGTAAAGAGCACTAGTTAATATAGCTGTAACAAAATTTCGATTTTTACTTAAATTTTATTTTATATGCTTTTAGTTGACAAAAAAATAAGACTTTAAAAAAAAAAAAAAACTCATGTTCAATTCATATTATTTTAGAATAGTTCTAAGCAAATTAATTATTTAAAGATACTAAAAATAATAAACCACTCTCATGTATACATAGGGAATAAATTCTAATTTCCATTCACTCACCTTAGTTTATAAAAAATCTGCTAATCCAAAGTTATATATTGTTAATCCTTTTTGGGTCTCCTTTCATGCACTGATATACTGAGCTCGGGTAGCGTTTATAGACTGAAAATATAAAGCTGCTTGTCAAACCGTTTTATAGCCGCCCCTTTTATGTACTACGTCCATTACATATATATAAATATAACAAAGTTATCTAGAAATATATGTCGGACGGAATAGTCGGGCATTTATAAAAGGCCAACGCGATTTAATAGGTCATTATAAGCGACCAGACCCGAGTCAAAGAGCGTTAAGATCACGTTGCGAATCGCCTATGGAGATCTTTTGAATTTTTTATGGTTTCTTTGCACAAGTCAAGTTCAAAAGTGTTTCGTGAACTCAGCATAAAATGTATACTTTTCCCATTGTTTTAATAACGCTTAACAAAAATAACGGATTAACTCAATTTCTCACAGTGTAGCGTATTCAATCGATTCCCTACATCGATTAACATTATTAAATGCACTGAAACACAATAAAATCTTTTAATATTCTGCAATTTATGCACTTTTTATTCAGTTAGAAGAATCAGTAAATCTTAAAAATCTCTTCTGCAATATTTGCCTGACAAATGGCAGAATTTTTCACCATGAAGATCATTTCACACTCTTAAATTTGTATTTTCACTGGGTTATTTATATTCAATTTTCGAAGAAACACAGATCCAAACATATGCGAAATTGCACTTGCTTTATTTATTCTAGAAAGTTAAGCGAGAAACATTTTTATAGTTTCGACACAATCATACTATTTTTCCAAGTAAAAGTCCATCGCGTAAACACAGCTTTTCAAGACTGTAAAACTCATTCATAGCATTTCGGCAGGGATAAGTGGAATATTCTTAGGTTTTTGCACAGTGTATCGCGGTAAATTTTCTTATGGTTATGCGACGTGAACGTAATTAGACTTGAACTTTTGAACTCTCCGTACACAAGTAGTTTAAAGACTAATCGCCACTGTAACGAACCTAAAAACTTGTTTCAAATCTCTCTTACGGGTCGTTAATGTGGTCAGCTATTTATATACGGGTAGTTAATACTTTGGTTATCACTTTTTCAACCACAATGATTTTCTGGCAGGTAGTAGCTACTTTCGACTTGCGTGTCCGCGTTTCACGATCAACTGATCAACTGACGAGGGCTGTGGGTATTGCGAGCTCATTTGCTTTTAGTTTCAAGCACGAGCAATTAATTAAGTATTTCACTGCTTGCCGTTTCCAAATGTATTTCAATTTCATTTTCTTGCACTTGCTTGAGCCCATTCTGTCTTGGATCGACGATACGTCGAACAGACCGCCAGTCAGTCACCTTCGCCCATGGAGATACGTCAGCCTTTAAAGTCCGGCGGATTTTCGTTGAGCAATTGCAATTAGCTTACCCAAAGTACAGAACGCTGAAAGTTAAAAGTAACCCACTGATGGCATTAATCAATTTACGAACACGCAATCCCAGACGACAGCTGTTGATACGCACAAAGCCTTAACAACACTCAATTATCAACTATTTACATGCATTTAATTTGAATGTCAAATTCAGATTTAGAGCTTAGTCTATGCCAGTTACAATTAATGAGAGTCGATAACGTATGAATATACACTTACTAGTTCTACAAAAATCGTTCTATGGCCTAAATTCATCCATTCATTCCATTGTATTGTCGAGTATAAAACGTACATTTGACTAAAACGAAGAGATATTGTGCAGACAATTTTTGCTAGATATTGCTTACGATAAACTACAAAAGCGTTCTCGCATGTTTTTAAGATTAAAGCTTAGACTACATACAAAATGTTCGGTTAGTAATATGTCAACGATATTCAATGCTAAAGTCTTTCGTAGCGCTTAAGTGTACGGATTTAGTTACTCTTAAGTACAGATCAAATCTAAGTGGGAGAATTTGCGTATTTACAATACAAAAATCCGGAGACTCCTGGCTAGATCACTGAAGTCGGCCGGATTCTTGCTCTGCGACTGCGTCGCCTTCTTTGCAATCATTTGGGCCGAATCTTCTCGTACATGAACTTTTGCACGTGCTTATTATCCGGCTGCATGAGTTTCTTCTTGTTGAACTCAAATTGGGCCAACGCGAACTCGTACAGATCGTTTTCCATTTGCCAGATTTTTGTCTTTTGAATGGCCTTAATTGTTGATTCGCTCGGTGGCAGCTTAGAAGATGTTACTCGGAGATGAGATTTGTTTGAGTTATGGTAGTGCTCGCGAAAGCCGTGAAAAATTCTGCAAAAGAAATCAGGTCGATTAATATGGGCATGAAATGCATTTTTTGTTCTGTTCTCACCTGGGCAGTGATCTCTCCAGTAGATCAACAAACTCATACATCTGCTCGGTGACTCCGACTAGGAAGTACTCGTTGACTAGGTTGCGCTTGGCCTGTTCCAGCGCCCAACTGCTACCGGGTTCCCAGCACTCGGCAGCATGGCCACAAAAGAAAGGAATCTGCAGCCACATGTTCTTGGGATCACAGTCGGGTTGTTTCTGCACCACGCACTCATCGAAGGTCTGCGAAAAAGCTCGTTAAATTTATTGTAGTGCTTAATAATATATAATATAATAACACTAACAATTTTATTTCCAGCCTTCTTGCGCACTAAATTCGGTCGGTAGTTGTCGCCGAAGCGTAGAAAATAATAGTAGGAAACAAGTCTATCTAATGGTTTTCGCACCAGATTAATATAGATGGGTTTGTGGGCGATTTGGAATCTGCAAGATACATTTTTTAGTTAAATTGGTTATGGCGGGTTTAGAGCATGTACTTACTTGGAGAAGTCTAGGAATGCCATGTGGCCGTGATAAAGGGCTGGTTTCATCTCGTGCCATCTGGAAACGTTGCGGACAAATTGGATTTGATTGGGAAGCGAAAGGACATGCATATTGGCAGTCACGTTGATGTGCAGCACGTGGAATTTGTTCAGCTTGCAGAGATCGTATGCAATGTTTACGAAACTGGTGGATCCTGTCTTTGGAACACGGTTGTAGAGCACAACCAGGTGCTCCTCGAAGTCAAAGTCATCCGTGGAAGATGAGGCATGCTGATCGGGGGTTAGCGATTCTCCCAGCTTGGACAGTGGCTTGAAGGCTGTGTTTAAAAAAAAAAAACTATTTAAATAAAAATGTAACTGATATCCAAGACTCTACTTACCATGTTCCAAGCGAATCTCTGACAAGAGGAACCAGTACCCCGCACAAGTGAGCACACACAAGGCTATCAAAATTAGCCAGTGGGTGGGTCGCAGCAGAATCCACATCTTGAGCAGTTTCCTAAACATGCCTCGTGTCGGTTTGCCTAGTGCTGAACACTGCAGCTCATTACAGATGAATTATTTCAGCATAATTTCATGGCGTTTCGCTTGTTTTTCGCCTTCCGATATCGAAGAACGATAAAATCCACTTGATACTAGGGTTGTTGATAATATATCAAAATATCAATATATCGATATTTTTTTCCAAAAATGATATATTTATATCGTGATATTTGTTTTGGCCAAATATCGAAATCATTTTATTTTTTTTTTTGATATTATTTTGATATTTTTTCCTTTTCCTTTCCATTTTAAAGCGTTGATTACTTTATTAGATAGAAAGATAACGGAAAAATGAATGTTAAATCAAATTACACAAATATAAAAGGCGGCACCGCCAAGTGCATTCATTGTACTAAAGCAATAAAGACCAGCGGAAACACATCGAATCTGTCGTCGCACTTGCGCAATAAGCATAGCGAAGTTTTTGCAAAATGCGCGCAAAAAAAGGTATGTATGTATGTATGTAAGGCATGTGTGTGTATGAGTATGTGCGTCTATGGGTTCCAATGAAATTCCAATTCCAATGAAATATACAAGAAATACAATATATTCATTTGTTTTAATTTTTAGCGACGCTAGAAGCAGAATGACCGACATACACATCAAACAAAGAGTATTTTTAAATTCTTTAAATTCCGCAAATTGGGTTTAGTGTTAAATTTGCTTTAGTTAAAATAATAATTAAAAAATTTATAAATTTATAAAACTTGTTTAGTTTTTATTATGCAAAAAAAATTGTTTCATTAAAAAATATCAAAAATATCAAATATATCGATATTTTTCGGTGATTTTTAAAAATATTATCATCATATTTTTTGATAAAAAAAATATCATCGATACGATATTTTAAAAATATTCGACAACCCTACTTGATACAGTGTTGGTCAGTTGCGGCTTGGATACACAGTTGGATACAAATCAGAGATGAGTAATTTCTGATAGTTAATAGCGGAATTCCATCGCAATATATTTTGTTTCTTAAACAAACTTATTCATTTTTTAACTTAATTTTTAATTCAGAAAATTATTATATTTGTCTTAATGTTACCAATCTGAGTGAGCTTTAATTTAGAAATTGAACTGTAGCTAGGTGCTTTTCCTGTAATTCGTCACCCTGTTGCGCCTTGAGCACATCTGTCATCAATAGTGTGACCATAGCTAGTGGCTAATAATACCAACAAATGCCAATATTCTAGCGCCCATTTTTTGCGAGGTTAAAATAAATTTGCGAGCCGGCTGCAATTGCAAAGTACAGTGCCAGTTGTTGAATTTATTAATCGTGTAAAAAATAAACTTGATATGTCGATGTCCACATTCAACTTTGCCAGTATGGCGTCCCAACTGGGGCAGGAGCAAGGCATTTCATTCCAAGACAAGGCGCTCACCTGGGACACAGCTGCCGATGGTTAGTTTGGAAGACGCTTTATCAGTTCTGTACGGAAGAAGGCTGAATAATTTTTCCTTGCAGTTCAAGATGTTGTGGACGCTCTCAACAAACAGACCACGGTGCACTACCTCAATCTGGACGGAAATACCCTGGGCGTTGAGGCGGCCAAAGCGATTGGCGAGGGCCTAAAGCGTCATCCAGAGTTCCGGAAGGCGTTGTGGAAGAACCTATTTACGCGTCGGCTTAAATCAGAGATTCCAGAAGCTCTAAAACACCTCGGAGCCGCTTTAAATGTAGCTGGGGCCAAGCTGACTGTCCTAGATCTCAGCGATAATGCTTTGGGACCGAACGGCATGCGGGGATTGGAGGAGTTCTTGCGATCGCCTGTCTGCTACTCGCTGCAAAAGCTGCTGCTATACAATTGTGGTCTGGGTCCCGAGGGTGGAAGTATGCTGTCCAAGGCTCTGATAGATTTGCATGCCAATGCCAAGAAGGCAGGATTTCCGCTTCAGCTCCGTGTATTTGTGGGTGCGCGTAACCGACTCGAGAATTCAGGTGCCAGAGCCCTGGCCGAAGCGTTCAAAACTCTTAAGACATTTGAAGAAATTGTTTTGCAGCAAAACTCAATTTACTTCGAAGGAGTCTCTGCCCTCGCCGAATCCTTCAAGGAGAACCCGCACTTGCGGGTGATAAACATGAACGATAATACTCTAAGGCCTAAGGGTGCGGAAAAGATCGCAGAGATTCTGCCCTTCTTGCCCATGTGAGTCGGTTGTAAAGAATATCTAAAAAAAATGTTCTTTAAGAATTTATACTTTGCAGGCTGCGGGAATTAAATTGTGGCGATTGCCTGGTCCGTACAAATGGTGCCTACCATTTTGGTGAAGCTCTAGAGAACTCAAACGATCAACTGGAGGTGCTCGACTTGGGTTTCAATGAAATTAACAGCGACGGAGGTATGGTCTTGGTGTCCGCCATGAAAAACAAGCTCAAGCTGCGCTTCTTCAACCTCGATGGCAATAACTTTGGTGAAGAAGGAGCCGAACAGATCAAAGAAGAAATGAATAAGTTTCCTAATGCTGCTGCCCTTCAAAATTTTGATGAAGTTTACTCCGAAAACGGTTCTTCGGATGAGGAGGATGAGGACGAGGAAGAGGCAGGCGACCAAGACGCTGAATATGATGATGAGAATGAGGATGGTTGCCAGGAGTATGATGACGATGAGGACAACGAACATGGGCATGCTAACGATACCACCGAGGAAGCCGATGAGGATGACGAGGAGTATAACAACGTGGCCGAGGAGACTGCCTATGTAACCACCAATGCCTACACAACCAAAGTTAGTTTACAATTTACGAAAACTTTTAGGCATAACTACTTGCAAAAATTTCATTTATTGAAAGTAAATTACGGACAAAACGCAACCCTTTATTTTGAGCCAATTTTCATTGAATTATTTTTACAATTATTTAATCAAAAATTGCCAATATGAAATTACAATTAAATGCATTTACATATTTCACAGCTATTCAACGACACCAACAACTCGAAGGCCAGCGATACTTTCGCAGTCGCCAACAAAACGATCAACCAAAATTGCACACCAGAGGAGTTCTGCTTGAGCCAGACGCCCTGCTCCCAGCAACAGTTTGAATCCCTCGATAAAGACAACAAATTCGAGGCTCTACAATCCATTATAGACGTATGTTAGACATTATGTAAGCGTAATAATAAATAATTAATCTTATATTTAATATTCTTTACAGCAATTCACCGGCGATAACCATTTGTTGCTGCTCGTCTTCACCACTTTGAAATGTGCGCATTTGTCGCAATCATCAAAAGCTGCCTTGGATCTGGCTGTCTCGCTGTACCAGGCCACCTTTGATTATGCCATTAAGACGAAGCAGGAGACCCGTGTGCTTAACTATGTCCTGATGCAATTGCGATTGCTACGCTGTGAGGAACCATTCAAGTCGGACTATGACATCAAGAGTTGTCGATTCGCACTTCGCGAGGCCCTGAAACAGCCAAAGTTCGCCAATGACAACATAAAGAACTCCTTCAAGACTTACCTTGAGGCAGTCGATGTGTAAAACTTGTAGACTTAACAAATTATTTATATTTCCTACGTTCCATTATAAAGCGTTCGTCTTTGGTAAATAAAACTGAATATTAATATTTTAATATTTAATTAAACTTCAACAAATTAGTTTTATTTTGTGAACCCGACCCTAAATCAAAAGAAAACCAAGCTATTTGGTAAAATTGATTTATTTACATGAAGAAAACTTTTATGAGACTACAAATTATGTTTATGAAACATAGTAATACGTTGATATTATGTTTGGGAATTCCTCTTAGTGGCTTAACTTGCCAACTTACGAATGTAGCGAAGTTGTTAGCTAAAGTTAAATTAAAACACGGAAATTAAAACATCGACATAAACCTCAGAGAGAAGTTTAAAAGGTTAAGAAATTAAAAACAATCTTAGCGAGTAAGTCCACTCATGAAAATTCTTCCCCGAGATTCCCAAGTTGGGTTGCTAAATTCCATTGTGGATTTGCTTGCCAAATCGTTCCAAAATCTTTTGTGCCAATTAGTCTCAATATTCGAAATCAGAATCATCATCATTAGATTCGAAATCCTCATCATCGCTTTCGATGACAGCGCGCCGTTTCTTTGGCGGTGCTTTCTTCTTGGCTCCTCCGCTGCTTTCATCTTCTCGAGTGCGTTTAACAGGACGCTTGGGCGAATTTTCATCACTAGAACCTGCATCATCATCCGATCCTACGTTGCCACCGTTTCCATCCTCATCCGAAAACAGCGAACTGTAGTCGATCTTCTTGCTGGCCTGCCGACGTCCAGGACGATCCGCCCGTGGGGTTATCTCCTCATCGTCATCGCTCTTTTTCTGTAATAAAAAGGTTTTTAATGTGGAGAATAAATAAATTTCATAGGAAAAGGTACCTTGGCCTTGCTGAAGTCAATCTTGCTCTGCTTGAGACCGCCACGTGGTTTCTTTTCTGCCGGCTCTTTCTTGACAGCAGCCTTCTTAGCCTTAGGGGAGGCTTTAGTGCCGCCATCAACCATTGCATCAAACTCGTCCACTTCATCGCCACTGGCATCGGGATCCGCTTTAATCTGCTTTCCCTTTGGCTCCTTCTTCACTTTAGGTTCCTTGGGCTCCTTTGGTTCCTTGGGCTTCTTTGGCTCCTTAGCAGCCTGGGCAATCTTGGCAGCCTGTGCCATTTTTTTGATCATGTCATCGGTGACCTTAAACTCTACATGTTCTCCCTCTGGGTCGGGGAAAACGTCACCAGTGCCCGGTGCACCGCCTAATGACTTGACCTTTCTGCCCTTGCTTGAGGTAGCCTTTTGGCCCTTCATCGCCTTCGCTGTCTTAAGATTGATGCCCTGTTCCTCGAGGCGCTCTTTCTCCTCTACATCATTTAGCTTTGTCTCAAATGCATCCAAATCATCCAGCCAAAGCAGCTCTGGCGTCTTCTTCCGAAGATTCTCTAATTCAGCGAGCTTGGCGTCACGCTGTTTAAGTAACTCGTTCTTCTTTTCCTCCGTTAACATCCACATGGACATTCCCAAAAGGTAGTCGAACTTTTTGACATCCGTTAGCTTCTTAAACGCCTTTTCCGGATCGACTTCCTTCTCTTTTTTAACCTTTGAGCTACTGCTGGGAGCTGATTCCTCCTCCTCATCGTCATCCTCTTCGTTAGCCGGTTCAGCATCCTCCAACTTGATACGGCGTTGCCACTCCTTGACGGGATCAGGTCGGTAACCACGCTTCACCAGCTCATCGCACATTGCCTTCCGCTGCTTGTTCTCCACAACCAGCTTTTTCTCGCACTTTTCGAGAATAAAGCGCGCCTGGTCACTGAGCCGATCAGCCTGGGCCGTCAACTGGCCTACTAAAAAGTCCTTCCGACGGGCGTAGTACTCACGACGCAACACGTAAAACTCTTTAAGAATTTCGACCGCGGTGGGGAATCTTCGCAGACAGTTGTTCTGGTCGAAGGCGTGCATTTGGTTCGTGGACAGCGTGGTAGTAAGTTTAAATACCCTATAGAAGCCACCATCCTCCGCTTGAATGCGTTCAAACTCCCCAGCCGCAAAGGATATAACAAAGCGAACGGTAGTGTCTGTGTGGTACTCCCTGTAGTCGGATACAATTGCCTTAATCTTTTCGGTGCCGTTCGCTAGTGGTTCTAGTACGTTCTCCTTATAGTTCTGTGTCCAAACGCCAACAGGAAGTTCAGTGATTTCCACCCGATTGCCTGGCAGAATTTGAATGTTTCCGCTTTGGACATATCGACCATCCGATACATACTCCATTCGACCGTTAAAGTTCTTGTACCACGGATGCATCACAGCCGGCTCTTCCCCATTGATCAGCCTCTTTATATTTCGGACTATTTCACGGGGATTGTGATTGGCTATTTTCGTTGACCAACCAGTTCCGATGCCTTCCGCTCCGTTTATCAACACCATCGGTATGATTGGAAGGTACCACAGAGGTTCAATCTTTTGGCCATCATCCACTTGGTAGTCCAGCAGGGGATCGTCCAAGGGGTGGTAAATAAGTCGAGTCAAGGGAGACATTATGGTGAAAATGTAACGAGCACTGGCGGAATCTTTGCCTCCTGTCAACCGAGTACCGAACTGACCGCGTGGCTCCAACAGATTAATATTGTTAGCACCCACAAAGTTCTGGGCCAGATTGACGATGGTCATCTGTAACGAAACCTCTCCGTGGTGGTAGGCCGACATCTCGGCCACTGAACCGGAAAGCTGGGCCACCTTCACCTCCCGCTTGTCGTTTCTCTTGAAGCACGTAAACATGACCTTTCGTTGACCTGGTTTCAGGCCATCCACCAAACTGGGTATAGAACGTTCATTATCGGCATTAGAGAAAAGGACTAATTCCAGATTAATAAAGTCAGCATAGGTGATGTGTTTTGTGCCCTTTGTGTAGAGGTAGCGCTCCGGCAATCCCAGCTCCTTCCGTCGTTTCACCTCATCCATGTGGTTGGTAAGCCATACCTTTCTTGACTCGATATGCTTCTTAGAGAATGCCATCACAATGCTCTCATCATCCACAGATCCATCGTACTTGAACAAGATTCGATGGCGTTCCATGTCCTGGAAATACTCTTTCGCCTCCTTAGAGGTCGAAGTACCCAAACCCTTGTAGTACTTGATATTATACGTGTGGTGATTGGCCGTATCGTTTTTCCACTCTTCGAATTCGGGCAGTGAGTAGAACGAGAGCTCCTCATTCTTTTTGGTTGCTTTTACAAGTGGCGTAATGAACTCCTCAAGGAACGGCAGACGAAGTAGCTCTGGCCAATTGGTGTGTACAAAGTTGATTAACAGACCCTTGATGTGGGAGCCGTCCTGATCCTGATCTGTCATGATCATCACTTTACCATAGCGCAGCGTCTTTAAATCATCAACAGTGAGATACTTCTTTTTGTACTGCAACCCGATGATTTTGCACAAGTTGTTGATTTCGGCATTCTCCGACAACTGCTTGAAATTAGCCTCACGCACATTCAACAGTTTACCCCTAAGCGGGAAAACTCCGTAAAAATTACGACCAATGACGCCCAGACCAGAGACAGCCAAAGATTTGGCTGAGTCTCCCTCAGTGAGAATGAGGAGTGCAGTTAATCGAGTTCTTGCCACCGGCCTCGTTAGCATCCTCCAGCTTGGGAATACCCTTAATCTTGCTCGATTTGCGACCGCCCGTCTTGGCAATGTCATTTTGTGCCTTGAATTTTGCCCATGCTAGCACAGATTCCACGATGCCCGACTTGGACATGTTAGTAATGAACTTTTCGGAGAGGGTACATTTGGAACCGAATCCCTTTTGCTGTAGAGTCATGTTTTCCTTGGTTTGCGAGTCAAACGTTGGGTTTTCAATCAAACAATTAACGAAAACCCACAAATGGTTTCGTACTTGGAAGGGCTTTATGTTAATGCCACCTAGAAGAAAACGAAATAATTAGATTTCGATTTAGAATTCTATTATATGATTATTAAGCCTACCTTTGTTTTTTTTCTTTAGCACTTCCAGGAGCTGCTTGATAAGATTGTCGACCACATGGTCCACATGCCGACCACCCTTGTAGGTGGCTATTGAGTTAACGAACGAAACCTGTTGGAACCCGCGATCCGAAGGACAGCAGGCAACCTCCCAACGCTCGTTGGCTACCTCGTGGACAATTTTGATGGGTGGGCCAGAGTCTTCGTCCGTGCTTTTGACGTGCAGATCAATGTAGTCCTTGAAGTTTCGCACCGCCAGCTTTTCACCGTTGAGGAAAACAGATACTCCTTTTGATGAGGCTGCGACATCGTAAGCGCGACGCGACATTAGAGCCACAATGTCTTCATCTAGAGTTTCCATCTTGAACTTGGCCAGATCGGGACTAAATGTGATGCGAGTGTAATCGGTACCATTAAAGTCCTTGATCTAAGGGTTTATTAAGATAATTAGATGATGTTCTGGACGTATAAATAATAGTAAATAACTACCTTGACTTCAGACGCCTTTCCCATGTTGTCCGCCCAGGTCTGCTTAAAGGACCTCTTATACTCCTTGGTGGCAGTTTCCACAGTGAAACTGGTTGAGAAAATGTTACAGAGTTTTGCTCCGTATCCGTTCCTGCCGCCAGTAACCTTCTTCTCGTCATCGTTGTAATTTGACGACGTCAACAGATGTCCAAAGATCATCGTGGGCACGTACATCTTCTGTTCCTTATGCATGGTCACCGGAATGCCTTGGCCGTTATTCCAAACGGAAACCACATTCCGCTCTGGATCTATGTCTATCTTGATAGTGTTCATGGTCTTGTCGCGCTGCTTGTTGTCCGCTGCGTTTACAAGAATCTCGTCGAAGATCTTGTAAAGGCCGGGCACAAAAGAGATCTCCTTCTGGACCATTCGGTTGATCGATTTGTCGTACACCCACATCAGTTCCTTGGTAAACTCAACCGATCCGATGTACGAATCCGGTCGCAGTAGGATATGTTCCAGCTGCGACTTTTTCTGGTACATCTGTTCGATGGACATGGCTCCCTTGCTTCCGTTCTCCATGATTCTACTGCTGCTGTGCCTCAGCTGGGTCTTTAAAAGATAGAAAAAAAGATCGTTAGTTCAATGAAGCAACTGTACCCATAGCTATTCCCCCCGGCTACAGCTATTAATCACTTTGTATACGATTTCTTTTTGTTGTAGTTTAGAACAACCTAAATACAGTGTACTTCAGATATGCTGAAAAATGTTGCTATATTACTAAATTGCTTGAAATTCGCGATCTGTTAACATTTTTGTATGTAACTTTAAGGATTATACAGAACTATGAGCTATTATTTGTATCCGCCTCTTCGGCCTTAAGGAAGACATACTGTACTCGCAGCAAAATAAAAAACAAACGCGCGCACGCGCAATGGGTATATTCTGCCCAGACACACTTGGGAATGGGACTAGGATAACCGGCAACGTGTTAAATGCGATAATTGAAAACTCTTTTTGAGTCTACGAAACCAAGAAACTATTTAATTATTCAGATTATTTATATTTTTCCTGGTGTTACTGTACTGGGAACAGATTGTTGGCTCATTTCAAAATAACAGCCCTGGTTTTTGGCGGCAACGCTTGGCGTTCCCTTGTCTGTGTGCCTTGGTGCGCGTATGTGTGTGCGGAATTATTGGATTTTGCCGGCAATAGTTGAAATTTAATCTCTACCTTAAAGTTTGCAATGCTTTTTCTTTCAATATTTATAGTTTTAGTTGTGAATTTGAGCTTGGGATGGGTCAGGGCACGTGGTCTAGACTTCTGCTGCGTAAAATCACAAAAATTTGCTATCTATGTATACCGGTAGCGCCATTTTTAATTTGCAAGCGTCGGCAAAAAAAAAAACTATAAAGTATCATTATATCGACGTGTTTGGCAAACATTAAGTTTTTTTTCTATTTAAACAGAGTTTTATAAACACCTAAGAACTTTTTCTTCTTACCTGATTAAACAATTGCAAAGTACTTGTTGTTTTTTGTTGGTTTTGCCGGCAATCAAAACGCGGCCAAACTTGTTGTTGGCGATTAACGAGGCGACGCACTACAAATATTGCAATGTATGTGCGCCCTCGCGTCTTCTTCCTTTCGGTAAAACTTTAGTACTACAGATCCCTGCTAATTAGTAAAATATGCACAGAACATTTATATTATCAACTTTGCACAACCCAACCGACAACAAAAACGAAATTAATGTGACTGCCCCAGTTTCGAGAAAAAATACCGCACAAAGAAATACCTGTGACCGCGATATCGATTAACTCGTCGTAATATCGTCAACTCCGAAAATTATGGCAGGCTAAGTACGGTGAGATACTTTGCTAGCATGGCGATCATTTGAAATTCAATTTTAGTTTGGACGCAAACCCAGTTATTGGATAAAAAAACGGTTTTTTTTTTTTAAATTTTATATTAATAAACGGAAGGTGGTTAAAGCTAAAAAATTGTATAAAGTGTGACTTAACAAAGTAACTGAAATAATTTCCTTTCACATTTGTTCTATACATTTTCCGTATCTATCTTAAATAAATTACCTTTCTAATTATAGCTAATTGGTTTAAAAGCAATGATTAGAGATAAAGTTGCATTTAATACAATGTTGATCAATTATTTCTCTCGCAGTTGAAATGGAGATTGCTTTTCAATTAACCACCTGGTAGTTTGAATATTTCAAAGCCAATTTCTGCCAAGACCATGGCTAAAAGCGAACAGGTTTTCTTTCTGCTATTGCCTGACCTTGCCCAACAAGACGTCACAAAGGGGGCATGTTCCTCACCATCCCGTTGCCATTTTCACTGCAAAACAGACACAAGTTTAAAATGCGTAGAACAATCTGGAGACCCCAGCTATGCTTGATACGTTTCACTTTGTTATTTACTTGGGAAACGTACTGGAGAACCCTTCACAATGTGACGTCACCAGAGCTCATTGAACCCATCCAGTATCAAATCTTGCCCAGAAATATTCTCTCCCCCACAAACACAGTAATTTCTCGTTTGACAAGCATCAGTTGAGATCTCGATATATGCGCATTGCAGTTTGTACTCTACAGAGCTGGGAATTTTAGCTGATATATGCAAAAATTCTGTATGGGCAAATCATTGAGATAGAATTTTCCTAATTAACTCATGGTTGCTAATATTATGGAACCTTACCCTTTAGGATTTTAAATTAATTTAAATATAATCGTGAAATAAATAAAAAGAGAATAATAACCTGAGCCCATTTTAATTAGGAGTGCTCGAACCTATTAGAAAACTTCCATCCAAACTGTTTTCCCTTACAATTAGCAAATTTGCAAATAAAAAACTTAACCAAAGTCCATAGTTAAGGGTGTTTTCAGCTTCGGTTCAGTGAAATATTTCTCCCTATTCTGATGCTGGTTGCTCGATCTCGCATACTGGTTTGTAGTCATTAATGCAGCGTCTTTTCTCAACTTTTTCCATTCTGGGTTCTGTTCATAAAATGTTTTGTTCTAAACGATCCGCAGCTCAGTTTCAAAGCAAACTTCTGCGATGCCACTTGTGTGCGATCTTTGTTGAGTCGGATTCCCCGTATTACAAGCTAACAAAAAACCGTGACCAGAAACAGTAACCACAACTCGGATAGCGATATTACCTGGTAATGAAAGTGGAGACCTCTAACTAATGGGGTGATCAAGCAGGTGCTGATATAATAACTCATTATCAAAAGCGCTAATTGAGCCCACTATTCTTGTGATTATCGTTAGTTGTGCGAAGACAATTAACGACAACAATAGAGAGTTCATTAACATTTGAACCGAAGTAGTGCCGAAGTAGTTGAGTTAGAAAATTACAATAGGTTACACCCTCGATAACGCCTAGCAGTGTGTAATTAGTCGGAATTTGTTGAATATGATTAAATATTGGCCTAGGCACTTTGCACGATCCACCACGTGTGATATTTTGTGTGTGTGCTGCACTTTGAGATCTCGGTGGTGGCATCATCATTATCTCATAAATACATGTGTCGAAGTCACAACATTGCAACGGACCCCAAGCGACCTGATTAGCCATTGACAAAGTTTGTGGATAGTGGCTTATCAGGGCTCCAATATAACGTAATCGCGGGGTTCGCGAGGGAGCGAGGCTAGGTCTGGAACTGCGATTCGGGGATTGTGATTGGGATCGGGGATCCCGGCCAAGGGCACGACGGAATACACTTTGCAACAAGAAAGCTGCTTTAGTTTTTGTTTACAAATTAACTAACTTAATAGTTTATAATACATTCGTTTAAATAATTGCACTCATTAAAGCCCTATCAATTGGCTTTGGGATTTCCTATAAATAACTAGAGTTCTGTGACATACTGTTATCGGGCGATTAGCTGTCTCCTTTCCGCTATCGCTGAGCTCTCTGATGTCCATTGTTGTTCGGTTTCTAGTTAATATTTATATATTTAATGGTCGCATACATGTGTAACGACAAACATCATTTTGCATGGGACTGGGAACATTTGGCCCGATTCTGATTCCGTTCGGGGGCTCAGTTTCGCACTTGAAGTCGAGCGGATCGCACAGCCCATCAAATGGTAAAAAGAAAAATCACCCATCAATAGCATGCCAATCTGACCTGCAATTGAAATGTCAGCCGGTGGGGGAAAATGTTGTTAACACTGAGATTCCCAGAGGTCGCGAACAGTCATAGGCGTTTTTCACAACCGGTGCTTTGTTTACTTACTAATTAACTATTTATTCGGAACTTTTTGTGATGGGGCGAAACGCGTGTGAATATCGTTTTGGCCGTCTACTTTATAGCCACTTTGTATCTAAGGTTAATGTGGCTTGTTAACACCCACTTTATCTGGCTTTTTAGACGACCCTCAGTGGATCCCGCACCATGCCCGCCATCGAGCACAAGTTGAACATCACCGAAGAGGAGGTTCCACAGCATATTCGTCGACTTGCTGAGGAGCAGGGCGAGTGTCCCAGCTCCAGGGATCAGATCATCGAACAATTCCGCAGCTACATTTTAGGTTTGCTACTATTTATTAAAGCAAATTTGATTTTTTTAAAAACAAAAATACTTTGCAGAACGCAATGAGTGCCAGCCTCACCGTAACGATGCAAAATATTTGGAAAAATTTTTAAGAGCCCGCTACTGGAAAATTGAAAACAGTTACAGATTGGTAAGAAAAGATTTTAAAAACAATTACTTTGACTTACTAAAGTTATTTCCTCTCAGCTATGCAGTTACTATAAGTTCCGGGAACACAACAAAAACTTCTACGAGAAGGTTCGTCCTCTAGATCTGCGTCACATTGGCCAGTCGGATATCCTTACAGTTACTCCTTACCGGGATCAACATGGTCACCGCATACTCATCTATAGATTCGGCCTGTGGCGACCCAACCGTGTGACAGTTGATGATATTTTCCGGGCCACCATTGTCCTACAGGAGTTAGGCAGCTTGGAACCCATTTCACAGATCGTCGGAGGAGTGGGAATCTTTGATCTGAAAGATCTGGGTCTGGAACACATACTCCATTTGAGTCCCAGTGTGGCTCAAAAGATGATTGCCCTCCTAGTGGTAAGTGTGTAGTAAATAAGATTATTTATTTGTTACTTAAAATTGTATTTACCCTTTTAGACTTCCATGCCAATTAGGACATCCGCCCTCCATATTGTGAACCAGAATTGGGTCTTCAATGCGGCATTCAAGATATTTAAGCCCTTCCTCAACTCGGCCATGCGAGAAAAGCTCTACATCCATGGCAGTGATATGACTTCTCTCCACAAGCACATCAATCCAGAACATCTGCCAAAGCGGTGAGTTTTAATGTGTTTTTTTTTTTTTAAATAACTTTACTTTTATACTCTTTTTCCAGTTATGGTGGTCTGCACGAGGATTACTCCTATACACTCTGGCTGGACATGCTGAAGGAGCAATGTTCTGGTAATGGGGTCCAAAAGGATATGGAGCAATTGGGATTTATTTTTGATTAGGCTTTGATCTTAATCTAGTTCGATATACTTGCATGAGCTTCACCAGGCACTAATGGTCTCTCAATTGATTTTTTAAATATTAAAAGGGAATTATAATATTTTTGTAATTTTTTACTCTTATGAAGATTAAACATAAAAGCTATTATTATGTTAGGTTATATTTTAAAAATTAAAAAAATTTCTTTTGAAGAAGTCAAGTACCCGCTTGACGGACAAATCTTTATTAGGTCTCCTCAAATTTCATACCCTATTCGAGGTTAGGTCCCAACCATTTGAGGTTAGAAGCTACATAAATTATAATGCTTCGCACATTTGCCGGCCACATCAATGACCGATGACGACCGAGTCCCGGGGCAATAAAATTTGGTCCTAACCGAATCAAATGGCCCAAAGAATCCCGCAGAAGATTCGTTTCGGTCAGGAAAGTATAGCATATTGGTCCTTCGAGTTTTATGAGATTCGTATGCAAAGTGCGTTAGGTGCCAGAGCGAGACAACTAGCCGCATTCGGTCATTTGCCGTTATGGTAATTGAGTGTTGGACAACGCATAAAATGCAGTCGGTGGCCATAAATATGTTTGCACTCGTCCTATGTCCGGATATGAATGAGAGGGGAGATCAAAGCAGAAGGGAATGGACAGTGGAGATTCCTCCATTTGACCGTTACGAATATGTTTGATATTTTTTATTGAATCCCGTTGTCTCAACATCATCCCCCGGCCTCCGGAAGTCGTTGCCGTCTGCGAACAGCTTACAATAAAAAATAAAACGGTAAAGAACACAACTAGGAAATATTGAGATTGCGACTATGAGATACTCTATAATAACTATGAATTATGAAAATTAATAAAATTTAAAGCTGGATAAAATTTCATGTTTTGTTATTCTTTAATAATAACTTATGATTTTTGATTTAAAACACCTTTTAAAGATACATTTTTGAAAAATGACTTAAATTTTCTGTAAAAAATAGTTTCTAATCCAGCGATAGTTTGCATCTAAGTGAAGGGTATCCGAAGTCTAGATCCGATCTCCGCTTCCCTCTTCTGTGGCCTTGCTTTGCCCTTTGGTCAACGATAGTGAAATTGATTTTCGTGCTACCGGGGGTCGAGGTTGGCATTATAGCTTGAATTGGGGGAGGAGGGCTGTCCATAATCTGTGTGCGTGTTGGGCTTCTGTGTGAGTGCGTATAAAAGGCAGCGACATTTGTGCGATTAAAGCGACAAGATTAAAAAATTTATTGCGCAAATATTTATGGGGGGACAGTAACACACAGTGGCAGTCCGAACGGAAAAAACATTCAGACAAAAAACACATATCGCATAGCCTACATTTTGGGAGGCACGACCGTTGCGCGTTATTAGTTGGCTGTTTGGCTTTTTGGCTTCTGGCCTTTGGCAACACGTGTGTAAGTCGAAACCGAACTGGACATAATTTATGGCTTGCAAACTGAATTTATTCGAATTTTATTGAAAAACAAAGAAAGAAGAAGGCGGACAGAAGGGGCAAAGGATTTGCCTTCTCTAACATGTGGCACACGCTTATAAGGAGCTAAGGTTCTATACTGGCTTTCAAGTTATAAATTCATCTTTAATATTACTATTTTTATAATAGATAAATCTTTTGATTCACCCATTTTGAGTTACTAATTATAATACAAAGTTGTCATCTGCCTTATTAGCGACCTCTAAATTCAATATCCATTCAAACTTAAGCCTCTGATTTGTTATTCTATAGACATATAACACCAATCCCTTTAAGAACTTCCTTATTCCGTACTCATCTACAGCTCACTTCCGAAATTGGCCATATTATCCAGACGACACATTTGGGGGCGTTTCTCTGGCTGTCAACTGTCAACCGAAGGCAGTGTCAAACTGACAGTCGTTGACATCCGTTGACTGTGTACCTGACCTTCAATTTTTCCCTCAGACCAGAAAGGGGTGGGGTCTGTGTTTGCAACCCTAAACGGATAATTGCTTCCTAATGAGCTGGCAAGGGTGACCCCGACCAAAATCAACCCCTCACTCACACCCTTTTCGGGTTTCCTTATCATCGAAAGCAGTTTATCATTCAGCGATTGGCAGGCAGGTCCAAAAGCTAAAAGCAAAACAATGGTAACAAATAAATTATGTCCAGCGATTTGTAAACAAACATCAACTGGTCTAAACGGGGGTCAATATACCCCCAGCCCCGCGAAATGGAGATTGTTTCTGGCGGTGGGGATTTCCATAAATAAGGACCAGACCAGAATAATTGAAATATTTGCTGTCAATTTGTTGACTCCGGAAGACGATGGTTCTGGGCCCGAGGCGAAGGTGTAAGCTGTATAAATGGTGGATCGTTATGGTCCTGTTGCCACAGACACCGATTACCAAAGGTCCTGCCGCAGGACGAAGCCTGTTTGCTCAACGAACGACCGACCACCACCCAAGTGATAAATGGTTGCGAAATTTATTTTCCTTGCACTACCGATTGTGCCAACTGTGTGTGCCAATGGAAATTATATCGTATTAAGTGATATTGAAACATCAAGAAGGAGAAAAATAAGATTTTTGTTTTATTAGAGAAAGAAAAGGTAAGATTTTAAATATTTAATATATTAAAAATCTTAAATTTCATAACTTTTATCCAGTATTAATTGCCTAATAACATTTGGTTGTTCTTGTTCTTCGATTTCTAGTTACAAGTCATTAAACCCGTCGTAAAGAAGTGGGGTTCGAAATGGGGTAAAAAATTGTTGCCTAGCACACAGGCGACCCCCAATCGAGTTGCACTCCCGCCGAGATGTGCACTGAGACATGTGGATAAGAGCAGGAGGTCGGTGGCTTTTCACTGGGGTACGGAAGGTAAATTGACATGAGCATGTCAACGTTTTTTGTTTTTTCCTCTTTTTTCAAAATCGATTTTCTGTAGATTTACCAGAAATTGTTTGTGATAAAACACGACTTTACTTCGTGCTTAAAGTGCACTTCAGGCGATGATCTGTGGGAATCTGCGGGGGGAGGAACTGCCGGGTACAATCAATCACATCACATCACCACATGGCAGAATGGCGGCCACGTTTGAGCGCCTTTTTTCCCCGCAGTAAGTTGTAATGCTGCCTAATCCGGCGTAATAAACATTGTCAAATGCGTTCACTCGATGCGGGAGGACATCATTATTGACATCAACATACACATCATCATCGTCGTCAACAATTGAAATGCAATTGAAAGGAATCGCGTACAAATATTTGCACTCGGATTCAACGGCGGTTGACAATGCCAGCCCTTCGAAATGGATGCAAATGAGAAGATATAAAAACGAGTTAGATCTTGGCTGGATAACACGACTGAAAAATACATTAGGTTATTGATTATTTTATAATGACAATATTAGTGACAAATTAAAGAAATACTTGAAGGTCTCTTAATCTCGTAATATAACAATTTATTAATTTTTGATAAAAGTATGTTTCAGGTTTAAAGATCATTGATGTTGAAGGGATTATCCTCTACCCAAAAATCAAAACCCCTGAGCACCCTCATTCCACCAAAAACATTGCATACTTTCAGGCACGGGGTTAAGTGCAAATAAGAGAATCGAAAAGTTTGCTAACACGTGGCCGAAGCCCTGAACTCCACCGAACTGACTCTTTTCGAGTTGGTTATTAAAAATATTTTTAATTGGCCGCAGATAAATATTTGCACACCTTTAACCCTTTTTAATATGCTTAAGTGCTGCTCCTGTCTGACCGGACTATGCATCTCTCTCTTCCTCGGTTTTCCATCCCAGCTTTTCTGTCTTCCTCTGGTTAAGCGCCCTTAAACCCCGCATCTACTGGAAATCAACACAGACAACCAAATGGAGCATACAGAGGATAATTCGATTGTGTTCAATTTAATTTTGACAAGCTTCAATGAAGCCTAGTACCCCCCTTTCCACCCTAGCATTTTCCTTTGCATTTCCCCTCCCACAGCCGTTGATTTGATTTTGTTTTATGTTTTTCCTGCTGGCAGAAAGCGGCCAAGAAGAATCCTGTTTTATGCCTCCATCCGCCCCTTTCGCAATTCCCTTCGACACAACAATTGCGTGGAGAATGGGTGTGTGCCAGGGGATGTCGAGGGTGGTGGGGGTCACGGCTACAAGGCCCAGTTGTCGCAGCAGCAAGTGGAACAAAGTTTTTGTGGTCACTTTTGCGGCTCATAAGCTGGCCAGATACGGGAATAGTTCTCTGGGGGAAGTAGTTCATTGAAATGTTCTACTGGAGAATAAAAAAGGTTTGAATATCAATGTCTTTAAATTTAATGGATTTCCATTATTAATAACTGTAACTAAGATAGTTTAATTTTTATTAGCAAAAGTTGGAAGAAACATTCTTAATTTAATATATTATATATCTAAAAAATCTGAATTTGAAGGCATAACTTCAACTTTTCAAAGTAATACTATTATCAACGGATTTTTAGAGGAAAATATGTGTTTAAAAAGCAAAAATTTAGGAAATAAGAAAGAAAATTGTTCAATATATATGTGTCCAATTTTTATGTTTAAAGTTTAATTAATTTTAATATCACAACGGTTAATGCATATCTTAGTACTAAACACGAAAAATAATAACAAAATATTATAATAATTTAAAGTTAGTCTAAATGAAAGCATTTGCTAGCACATATTCCATTCCGCACCTTCTGGCGACCCAGAACTTGTTGCACAAACAAAGCAGGAGCCTCTCAATCTCTGCTCATATCTCACAACAATATTACATCACAGAAATCTGTTTGGCCAACGAAGCCAAAACATTTGCTCAAATCAAAAATAAAAGAAAAAAAAAACAAAAGGAGACCAAATTAAAGTAAAACAAGAGCATCCTATGTCCAAGATGGGTTGTTTGGAGGCTGGTAAGGTCTGCATGTCCGATTTCGCTGGCTCAGCTAGAAAATGCACCTGTGCACCATGGAATCCTTTGGCTAAAGCAAACACACACACACACTCTCGCACACACACACACATACCATATAGAGTAGGGAGTGTATTATATACGAGCCAAAACAAATCGAGCGACTTATCTCGGCTAAAACATCTCCCATTGACTTATGCACTGGAAAATGGAACAGTGGATGTGGATGGTTCCTGGTTGAGTTTGTGTTTGTGCGACCCATTCCTGCGGAAACATTCCTATACCGTTATATGGATATATATCCATCTCCATCTCCATCTCCGACTTCTTATGGCAATGGCCAGCCAAATGAGACTGGAAATTGGCGAATGGGGCTATGTAGGAATTTCCGTGGTAGTTGCTCATAAATATTCAGACACCCATACATAAGCAGTTGGGGAGAGCGCACAGATACACAGATACAAGGGCAAAGTGGGCGGAGCCGACACAGCATAAGGTGTGTCTGTGTGTCTATGTGTGCCATTTTTTATGCGCTCCATGGCAATTCAAAACGCCTACTTCAAGAGCTCTGCCAAAATGAACCGAGCAGCCACAAACAGCAACAACAACAGATGGAATTCCACCCCAAAGCATAGATTTGTGCTCCTGCACAGTGGATCCGTCATGGCAACATTGATTTGTTTTTTTTAATATTTTGATTAAATTATTATTAAACTCAAAAAATATCTTTCAGATAGAAAACTATCTTATCTTATTACCTTATATATAAATCATATTTTTAAGCTCGAATCCTAAATTTATAAGAATATTCCAAATTGAATGTAAGTATTTATAACATCTGGTCCCACTGTGCAGTACCCTCTATCTACGAAGCTTTCCTGGCTCTGGCTTTTGTTGTTGTGAGAGAGAAGCAGCCGGCAAAGGCAGCAACAACAATAACTGTATCGCGAAAGGGTGCCTTAGCTCTCCGCTCTTTTGCTCGCTCTCTCTCTCTCTCGCCGACAAGTGCTTTCCCTTCCCTTCCAATGGCACTTCCATTTCCACATCTAGTTCCATTTCCAGCAGGAGCCCTCGGAGCAAAAAGCCATCAGCGAATGGCGTTCGAGCTCGGTTTGGTTTTTGTTGTGTTGGTCGGCTTTTCGGTTTTGGCAAGTCGTTTTGTTTGTCGGCTGGTGGCTTTATGGGAATGGATGTATAAGTATGGGTTCGGGTATGGCTATGGGTATGGGTGTGGGTGTATGGGTGTGGGATTGGGTGTGCGCGCGTTTCGCTGCCATTCCTAACTAAGTTAACATCCAGGGAGCAGAGAATCCAGAGCAGAGCTTCCAGAGCAGTGCCACCCTTCAGTCAGAGTCAGTCCGGCCGTAGTTGAACCGGACCCGGAGTTCAGTCGCCACCGTTAACTCTTTCAAATTGGACGCGAAAAGCGCGTTCGGGAAACTAGTGACCGAGTTAGAAAGAGAGAGAGAGAGAGAGCGAGCTTATAAAGAAAGCCCCAAAGTGTGGAAAGTGATCGCAAAAATTCAATTTAAATTGATATTTAAATATAAAAAAATAAAATTTAAATAATAAAAAGCTAAGAAATAATCCATATTACTCTTAACTTCAGTAATTAAGCAAAGAAATCTTAAGAAAAATCTTTGTTGAGCGGAAAAATAATTAAGTCAGGAAAAAGAAAAACATCATCTTTTTTATGATTAACTCAAATTAAAACTTAAAAAAAACCAATAAATATTTGCCGTTAGCCCTGATCGCGTAGTTGACGTTCAAAACCACCCACCAATCACCACGGCCACTCCCTTGCATGTGAGACCCGTAATCGACCCTCTCCGGTCCCTGGTCGATCCAATGAAAATGGAAGATCCCACCATAAACGACACGTATGTGCAGGAGTTCGATCTGCACCACCTGGAAGTGGGCGGAAATGGAGCTGGCCAGGCTCACGGCGGGCTCCCAAGTGACCACAATTGGTCATGTGAAGCGCGAGGATCACAGTCCGCCGCAACCGGTGGCCGTTAAGTGGACAACGATCCACGGCGAGCCTACAAATCCGGATGATGAAGCCGAATCGCTGCCACTTTCTGGACCAGAACCCGCCGGAGCCGTAGAGGTCTCCCCGTCGCCGCACATCAAGCTTAGGTCATTTTCCGGTCACAATTGGCACATGGACGAGAGGCGCCTGCAACCACTATCACCGCCACCGGAGCAATATGGTCCATTGCCTGGCCAAGCGATCCTGGTTAACACATCTTCGGGAGCAGCGGGAGTACCGGGCGGAGTTCCCTCAACGCCGCCGGAAACACCACCCGTAGTGGGTTCGCCCACGGGCAGCAGCAGTTGTCCGGCACAGACTTATGCCCACCATTATGCCCGGAACCCGGTTAGTTCCGTTTCTGCCTCAGCCGCCGCAGCAGCTGCCGCTTCCGCCGGAGCTGCTTCGGTGAGTGCCGGACTGAGCCACGACATGATGTGGCTGACAAATTCGATACGGGCGGAGCCACAGCCTCTGGACCTAAGACCTTTGCCCTATCCGGGATCCCAGGAGGAGGCAGAAGAGTGGGACAGACAGCGGGATTACGCCCTGCATGCGGCGGCTCATCACCACCATCACGGACAGCCGCTGATGCAAGCACAACATCATCCGCATGGCCACGGCGGACATCCCCATCAGGTGATGCTGCAGCAGGGCAAATATCCGCATCATCATCACCACCACTTCCACAATCTAGAACTGACACCCATCAATGTCCATGCGAATTCATATGGCAGTGGTCCTGGACCCTTTCACACCCACCTGCGTCCAGCCCCAAGTGCCCAGCAATGGGAGTGGCAGCAGCGGAGGAGGCGGAGGCACTGGTAGTGGCAGCGGAGGTCCTGGCAGCGTGGGTGGTGGATCCTGCGTAATCACTCGGGCTGCCCTCCAACCCTGCCGACCACTTTCTGCCAGCTCAACAAGATCCTCAAACAACATGTCCCCTAGAACCTGTTCCGGTGCCTACAGCAATGCCACGCTGGAGGATTGCCTCAATGACGACATGTTGACCACATTGACGGTCAGGGAGCTAAATAAACGCCTTCATGGCTGCCCACGCGAGGAGGTAGTGCGTCTGAAGCAGAAAAGGCGCACCCTAAAGAATCGCGGCTATGCCCAGAATTGCCGATCTAAACGTCTGCATCAGCGCCACGAACTGGAGAAGGCCAATCGCGTGCTCAACCAGGATCTGCACCGTCTGAAAGTTGAGTACTCGAGGGTATGTCAGGAGCGAGATGCCCTCATGCAACGGCTGCAGCGGGTGGGCGCTGCAAATGGCGGTGCAGGTGGATCCACCGGTGGCGATAGCCAAAGTTCCCCGGAATTCTACCTTTGACGCCAACTGGCGGCGGCCAGCGGCTCTTCCGCATCATCATCATCCTCCTCGCAGCAGCACCACCAGCAACTCCATCTCCAGCATCGGGGTGCGCAATGGAATACCCAGCAGCTGGTTAACTAAATGAAAAGCTTTTTGGGTTTAAGGTATTCCTTTAAAGGGTTAAAGTTTGTGTCCAAGTAGAGTTGGGAGTTTCTAGAGGTTCTTCTTAGGTTTTAAAGTAAATTTTTAAAGTACATTTTTAGATATTCAAAAATATTTTTTAAAAAATTTAAAGGGTTTGATCAAAGAGTTTTAAATAAAATGTATTTATTTCCAAAAATATATTAAACTTCTTTTTTACATTCAAAATAATTAATATGCCTAGAATTTTTATAGGGAAATACATATTAACTTTAAGTTTTTACTTTGAAATTTGATTTTAACTTTTCAACTAAAAAAACCCATTCTCATAACCACCACTGTTGATATTTATTCACGCGATTTAGCTATGTTAAAAACTCTTTGAATAGTTTTTATAATTATAAATAATTTTACTAAAAATTCTTTAAATTACATTTTGTTTTTCATCTTTAAAATGCATGTGCAGAAAAACATTAATTTAAAAACATTTCCGTTTAATCATTAGGGCTAGAAAATATACCTCTTTCAAGGAATTCTGTTGAACTTTTTTACTACGAAATTTTTGAATGGGGTTTTTTCAAGCGTTTAAATCTTTACTATATTAATTGCGACAATAAATTCCGATTGAATATCAGTTTGAGAACTTCGAAAGTGATCGACAGAGATTGAAAATAGATAGGGAGAAAAGTGAGAGATAGAGAGAGTGCATGTTTGGATGGAACTTTTGCTGATTATCAGTCTGACTAAGGCAAAGATCGATTATAAATAAAACTAATTCGAACTCGTATGTATAAAGGACAAACATTGTATAAAACAAAGAAACAAAAACAAAGAAAGAACAAAAAAAAACAGAGTAAATTAAAACTAGCAGCTTCTGATTAACAATCGCTACATTATTACAAATTACGAGTTAGTAACACACGCTTATTTGTTGATTAGTTCTAGCCTTAGTTTCTCTACTAGTATTAAGCGAGAGCAGAAGCGAATAATAATATCATAGATGCGATAGTTCTTCTTAGAGGCCGTCTTTCCGTTTCCGTTTAAGCCGCCACACCACCCCACACACCCCTTCAGTAAGCAATAAAATTAATAAAACTAAAGGTTGTATTACGTTTAAATGCCGCAAAGAAAAAAACTTAACTTAACCGACGTTGTATAAAGTGAAACTGGAACGAAACGAAGAGGAAAACTCAACTGGAAGCAAACTAAACAAACAAGTCCTATACATTGTAATAAGCACTGAGAACGATAATGGAAAATGTAAATACACCCAGACATTCTTGTAAATTTTAAGATTTTTTGAAACGATTCAAATTTCTGTCTTTGTGAAACTAGAAAAGAAAAACACGAATACTGAACGCAAAAAATTTAAGATAATTTAATAACTAAAAACAATTGTGAGTAGTCGATAAGTGTGCATAAAACAATTTAGTAATAAATAAATCTAAATTAAAGCATAAAATAAATGGATGTATTTTATTGAGATGGTAATGTTGATTAACATTAAAGGTACAGGATTGGATGGTCGCTAAGACCTCAGCTTGAAGGTTTCACATTGAAAAATATTACTCTTAGATGAAGATGATTAAATAATAATTTGGTTGGTTTACTAAGAATTTTTGATATAACATCATTATAGTTTTTGAATTGTAGGTTGTTTCTTATGTTTGCGATAAAATTGGAATCAAATTTTGTTTTACAAAAGATTTTGATCTTCTTCTACTCAAATCTAGACTTTAAAAACTACCGATTAGTTCTCCGTTTCCATCATAGATTGGCTCAGATCTCTTGGACTTCCAAGAAGATTACTTTTCTGTGTGGTCTGTCGGCATGGATAAATGGGCTTTCGGCGACGACGACCACCGCGGGCAACAGTTTAAGAATCAAAACAAACATCTCGAACCCTCTCTAGAGGCCCCTCCGATAAGTTCTGTCAACAAACTTTGGTCGCGTAACGGCGCATGCAGGAGCAATCGAGGAGGATGCTGGAGCCGAGCTGCAGCATTGAATTACAATCATCAACATGGAGATCAACATCAGAGGCAATCTGCAATCTGGGTACTTTGAATGCCACCAAGACTCAATGGAGGCGGCGTAATTCGGCAATGAGATGAGGCCCATATCTACATTTAGCCTCCGCTTTTCCCGCCTTTCCCTGTAAATCTTCATTAACAAAAATTAGGTTCTTCCAGCTTGTTTGTTTTTTTTTTTTTTTGAACGGCACTCGCGGCGGTCTTTTCAGATTTTGGTTTTGAATTTATTATTTTTATTTTGATCATATGAATTTCCTGCCCTACCAAGAACTCGAACTCGAATCTCCCTCCCCAACGATAGCCCACGACTTAGGAGTTTATGTAACCAGACGATCGAAGAGTTGCACAAGAATTTTTGTTGAAATTGGTTTTTTTTTTTTTTGGGGTACGACTGATGGCGATCGCCATCAAGTGGCCATTTTACTTTGTTTTCTTGGGACTTTTTATTTATTTTTTTTCTAGCTTAATTCTCTGCCAGCAGGAAGTGTCAAATTTCGATTTCATTTTGCGCATGCAATAAAAATGATGGAAAAACTTTAGACAGAATTGGAATCAAGGGATAGGGAGGCAAGGAAAGAGTTTTAACGGTATGGAAAATATGTTATTTATTAAAAATTAGTATAAAGTTCAGAGAATCAAGAAATATGGCTAAGGTGTTAAAAATCCTTCATTATCTGCAGTTTTCTGGGGCATTAAACTTAGTTTTCTTTTTAAGAGACACTAATATCTGAAGCATTTACATAATATTTAAATTACTTAGAGATTTGTTTATTTACTATTTGGTACATTAGACTACTTATTTTTAAACAAACCAAAAATATTTCAAAATTTTTCCCCGCCCTTCAACATTTCACTTTCATTGATCGCATACTTAGACTTTCTGGCTCAGAACCAATCCGATGGCAATTTCAACTCGGATTCCTATTCCTCTTGAGGTCTGCGACATTTTGTGAATCGACTTCAAGTGCAGATTAAACAATAATTATGAAATTCTGATGCAAATCGCCGGCGACAGAAAGTCTCCTTGCCCCCGGCTCCCTTACCATGGACTTCTTGTCATATTTCCAGCCCCAGGCCAGACACGAGTGAAATCCAGAGGAGAGAAAGGCAGGCAGCCAGAGTGGATGTCAAGAGTGGATGAATAGAAGGAGTGGGTCTTCGGGGAGAGATGCTTTGAGTGGCCGGCATCTTGTCAAATTTATAGACACGGCAATGACAATCGGTAAATTGTCATGGCCATGGGGCTAAGTTCATCTTGGGCATAATCAGTGCTTAGGGGCAGAACCCGAACCCATAATCGTACCTCTAACCCGAACCAAAAAACCATCTCGGACAACTGGGATGATTGTCAACATTATTATGGTCCACACACACACACCGTTTGATTATGCTGTGCATTCGGGGCACTCTTTTTATGCCTGCACTGCGACGTGTGACGGCTTTGATGAGACATACACTGGGAGAAAAACTTACTATAAAGTAAAAACATCACAAATCAAGATAATTTAGCTTAAACATGAAATCAGATACTTAAATTTACAAGTTATGAAATGATAAATGTTCATTTTTTTTTAAACCATAAGAAACTTTTATTAATATTAAGCAGTTAAGCAGTTAAAATAAACTCTTTGAAAAACTTAAAAATAAATATTTAATAATCTTTATCTCGAAAAAATACATAAAAAATATCAAATTAATTAAAAAAATCAGATTTCTTTAAGTGTAGCTTTCAGATCTGATGGTTTTTGGAGGGGGAATATCTTCTTGGTTTGCGGGGTGGTGCTTTTTTTATGATGCTCCTCAAGTGGACGAGGATGAAGCAGCGTCGAACGACACGCTTAAGTGGCTCGCATACGTCGCCCCACACCCCTCCCTTGTGGACTGGTCTTAATTCAATCGATAGTTCACACATGTAATCGCATGGCCCGATGATTGGGGGGCTTCTTCCTGCATTTTACTTTTACTCCTTGTCTACCCGATTTTCCGCTTTTCTTTCGGTTTGCATGCCAAACACGTAGCGTTGACATTGAAATGGGTGGGGATTGGGGGTATGTCTTGTTCCTATTCTCTGATCTGACTTTAACCTTAAATCGTTAACACATTAGTTTTCCAGCCTTAGTTGCCGAGTCACTCGACTCATTAGCTTAATGAAGAGCGGCGACCAAGTCCTTCAGAAGCTCATTAGCTGTCGAATTGTTTTGTCCTCGAAAGTTTTTCACCAAAATATGCTCGTAAATCTCGATTTGGCAGGCAGGAAAAAGGGAAATTTATCTCGCCAAAGGACAAGTGCCAAAAAGTTTTCCACCAAAAGCCTATCAATCATTGATGTGTGTGTGGATATTTTTGATACTATACGGGAAGCCTTTAAAGATTGAAAAGTATCTAAAGGAGGCTGGTAAACTATTTAGGTATCTTAGCTTATTAATGGCTAAGTATTTAAGTCAAAAATATAACTAAATAAAACCTACTTTAATCTACTCTAGAACTTTCTTATTTTTAATCCATAAAATCCTCAAAGAATTTCCTTACAACCATTGTTAATCTGGAAAATTTAATCTCTACATCTGTCACCTCCTTTCCTCACTAAATTCCTCCCATTTCTAATCTGTGGGCTGGCATCTTGTACGAGTCCAAAAGTTCTTCCTCTCCCACAAAGAATCCTCATCCTCATCATCAAACTGGGTCCATTGTCTTGCGTTTTTTTATTGATGGGCTGCCTTGACTGTTTTTTACGACTTCACCCCGGCCTGGTGGTGAATGGTCAGTGTCAGTGTTCAGTGTTCAGTGTTCAGTGTCATCCCCTCCATAGTTCCAATCTTTTCCAAAGGCATCCATGTACTTCCTTGGCCGTGCAGCTCTATCGGTCGTCCCCAAGGCGATTTTCATACTTGGACATCCGTTTGCAATGTATCTTTATCGTTTTATACCGCTTCCGTGGCCAGGACATGGACTCCTTCGGCGTCGCATAATTTCCGTAATGACCAATGATATAAATGGAACTCATTTGCCAGTAGCCCCCTCCCCTCGCTAGCTCCCTGGCTCCCTGTTGTATTGATGCGCTGCCGTAAATCGCTTTGCACCCCTTCCCCAGGCTCCAAGTTACAAGTTATC